ACCAATCATGAGATTTCAGAGTTCTAATTGATGAAGGAAGCAAGCACCCCCGAGGAGCAAGTGAGCTTTATTGCCAATGCTAGGAAGAACAACAACCCGCTAGGGAGAACAACAACCCCTATAGAAAAACATACATCCCAGGGTGGCGAAACCATCCGAACTTCGCTTGGTCTTCCCTGAGCAATCCAAGACCCTCTGGTTTTCAAGGACCGTCGAGAAATTATCAACCAAGGCCTCCTTCCTTTCAACAAAGGCCACAATTTCAAGGATTGAACTTCCAACAACCATTCCAAGCACAAGGTGGTCAAGGGTTCCGACAACAACCCGATAAGTTTGCAAAACTTGAAGACCTAGTCACCACCTTTGTGAGTACAAGCTCTCAAAAGTTTGAGAAGATTGAGAAATTCTTGGATGTGGCAACTAACAAGTTTTCCTCGATTGAGGCGGGTCTAAGAAGTCATCAAGCGAGTCTTCAAAATTTGGAGACACAAATAGGCAATCTTGTCAGGATCCTCACCAACAGACCAAGGGGAGCTCTACCTTCCCAAACTATTGCCAACCTCAAGGATCAAAATGACGGGTTGAATGCTACTACTTTGAGGAGTGGGAAGGTAACTCCAGATTTCTTTTTTGCTAAGGAGGTAATTCAGGAGAAGGAAGCCCCTCCAACGGCTGATGACAAGAAGTTTTGGAAGGAGAGGATGGAGAGATTAAGAATGCATCGCCGACGCCACCACTAGTGGCTGAGTACAAACCTCCTCTTCCTTTCTGTACGAGGATGAAAAGGACCGATTGGAGATGCTCAAAAAGCCTTTTCCCCATGTCCTAGACCCTAGCCTGTCATTTGAACCTGTGTCCAAGACCTCCGGACAAGCTAGCAACGACACCCATCTTGTGAGCTCTAACATTTAGAGGCTATCGTCATGGTAAAGGGACGTTAGGATTGAGCGTGAATATGCACATATTTTGCATCAAATGGTCCTTACCCCACTGGTCGAGAGTGAGCGATTCTTCATCATGTTTTGTTCATTTATTTTACCCCGGTGAGGACCTAGGTTGCTCGATCGTTCGTTCCTATGATGTGATCTTCATGCATGAGTAACTGTGATTGGTGAGTCGTCAAGGCATGTTGTGTGTTGATTAATGAATAATGTGAGAACTCTTCTTTTGCACAATCTTAATACAGTTAAATGTCATTTGTGGTGGTTGCCAAGATTACTTTGTTTTTGTCCATAGGTCGGTGTCAAATAACCATTGTGATTCATTCGTCTTGTGCCCTATGACATGCCCCAAAAAATGTGTTGAAAAAGAAGTTGTAAGCTTACCTTGTTTTGTACTTGGTTTGCTTGGGGACAAGCAAACGTCTAAGTGTGGGGGTGTGATTCGGGCCCAAATGTACACATTTTACCCCTCATTTCTTATTCGTTTAGCTTAGTATTTCATCGTTCCTTGACATATTTCATGCTAGGTTGTGTTTGTTTTGATATATTTAAGGTCCTAGCACGTGTGGAAGGGTCGAGGTCGAATTTTGGGATAATTGGGGGTCAAAAAGTGAAAAAACAGAAGAAAAGTCTGAAGTAACGACCGTGACAATTGCCTCATAACAGTGAAGCGAAGGCGCCCCAGGAAACAACCACAGTTCACGGCCAGACGAGGTAGTTCACGGTCTCCTAAGACTGTGAACTTCCACCACAAACCGTGAACACCGAGGCGTCTAGCGAGGTTCCTGAAGTTACTGACGATAAGGCAGTTCACGATCTCTAAGACCATGAACTGTGGCCATTGACCGTGAACCCAGGAAGCAAGGCGGTGCATTTTGGAGACGACTGAATTTATGGACGCGTTTAGGTGTTCACGGCCGTGAACTGGCCAACGCGTCCGTGTACTGATCGCTTTCGGGCAAATATGAAGACAATAGCGGGGAGAGAGAAAGGGAGAGCTGGTTTTTGGAGAAGAATTGGTTTCTTTCTCTAGGGTTTGCCCAAAAACACCAAAGGGGAGTTCTAGTGTGAGAGAGAGAGAGTGCTAGAGTGATCTTGGAGCATCATTGGAGGCTTGGGTGGAGATTCATGCCTATAAGAAGAAGAAGATATTGAGCTCAAACTTGTAATCCCTCTCTCTCTCTCTCTCTATCTCTAGAAACTCACTCTTTTTTCTTGGGTGTTGTAGATCCCTAACTAATACTTTGTTATTACTTGTTTAGATTGAATGATTTTTATGGGTATTGTTTAATCAAATGATTGAGGTATTATTCATGTTGATTGTGCATGTGTGCTTAGCAACCTAAGGATTGTGCATGTTTTGTGCTTAGCATCCTTAGGTTTGTGCATGTTGGTGCTTTGCAATCTAATTAGCCACTTTAACCTAGCTTAGAGAGGAAAATCCTCTTTCCAAGGGAGACTCAATCGAGTTGATTTTCCTTTAGCTTTTTAAGCCACCTAACTAGGTTAATTTAGGGCAAACCTAAATGTTGAATTAAGCAAATTGGTTAATCACGATTAAACCGTACGACCCTTGACTTGAATGAGGGAGTAACTCAACCACTGATTGCCTAAACCGAGAGGGCCGAGTGACACGGCCATAATGTTCACCTCGATTTAGTAATTGAGATTGTGGTCTACGACCATATATGCATCCCTCTGCGGTTCGCGGTTACCTTGCTGATAGCAATCGTTTCAATCCAACGAGTCACGGTAGCTAGTTAGGGGAAAGCAACTCCTGGGTGAAGCTCCCTTAGTTAGAAATTTCCTTTATCTACTTTTCTTTGCTTGTTTAGTTTGTAGTTCTATTACTTATAAACCCAAAAGTGACTTGCTAGATAAGAGCCTAAACAATTGAAGTAGGGGTACATGTGTCGCAACCGTCCCGTCCGGGGGGTCCGATGTCGTATCGTCGGCATTTTTGGGAGTCGCCATCGATCTTACTTGGAGTGGATCGAACACTCGTCGATTGGCTCTAACATTAGGTCAGAACCGAGATATGGTCTGCGGTTAAGAGATATGGGTTCGGGAGTACGGTTACGTGTGGGGAAGTTAAGCAACACCCCCACAACGCCCTAAATCGGTACTACTTAAGTTGATAAGTTTTATACGAATTGGGTGTATTTTTAGTAATATTTTTGTAATTTTAGGGTCCCACTGGACCATTAAATAATTTTATCGTATTAGTTTATTATTAGGTATTTTAGGTACTTTTAGGGCCTTATTAGACCACTAAAGAAATTAAATCGTATTAATTGTAATTTAATTATACGCCCACCGACTTAATATTAAAGAGATAAAGTTAATTGGTTAATTGGACTCGAACCTTATCGGTTGCCTACGTACCCGTTAGATGGGATCAAAGTCCACGTAGTTCGTTTGGACTTTGATAATTTTAAATAACTTTTACCACGTTCCACTGAACGTAATTCTCGTAATAGAATTTTATCGTTAAATTTTAGATTGATTATTATTAGGATTTTAATTATTAGGATGTATCTTTGACGTATTAGAAAAGAAACAAGAGAAACTTAATCCGCATTCAACATTTCGTATTAAGGGTTATGAACGAATAAAACTAGACGAGATAATTACAATTACGCATGATGGGCTATAGCCCAACTGGCTAGGGAGCTAATTTTAGCGCTTTCGTGCATAAGGATGCGGGTTCGAAACCCAGGCTCGACGGTTTTTGGGGTTTTTCGTTTTCATCCCAGAGAAAGGGGAAGGTCAGTGTCGTAATTACACAAAAAGACGGTGGCAGGGATGTGTAATTTCAGTGAAACCCTAAGGGTGTTGCAGTCATTTCAACCCTTGGGGTTTATAATCATTTTTTGGATCCCTAATCCTAAGCCAAAGCAAAGAGGCAGCCGCCTCTCCTCCTCCACTCTCTCGATTCTTCTCCTCCCTCCTCTCTTCTTCAGAGAAACAAAACCCTAACCACCATCTCATACCACCGCCGCTGCTCTCCCTCTCCCTCTCTCTCTCTCTCAATGAACAGAGAAGATGAGGCGCCCTCTCTCCAACCCTAAATCGAACGAGCCGCCCTCTCTCTCGTCTCTCCCCTTCTAAAAAAAACGAAAACCTAGGCGCCGCCCTTCTCTTCTTCTTCCTTTCATACCAGAGAACCAAAATCGACCTAAAAACAGCCGCCTCTCTCCCTGTTCGATTCGCCTAAAAGACCGCTCACACTAGACGAAATCAACCGAGATGGCCTCGATCTAGGTAAGATCGAAACATGCATGGTCTTTTTTATTTGTTTTAGGGGATTTTTATTGCGCTTCGGCTAATTTTTCTTTCGTTTTCCTCTTTTTTCCGGAAATCGATTCGAACCGAGGTGGGACTCTCGCCTGTTCGCCTAGTATCTCAACCCGACCTTCCTCACCAAAACGATGGCGACGAGGGGTGACTCTTACCCTCTGGTAAGATTTTTCTACATGCATGTCTCTTTTCGTTCGATTTATGCATTAGATAGAGATTTAACCTGTTTGAGCTTTGGTGTTTTTTTATTGTTTATGTTTCGGATCTCTGTCGAGGGAAGGAAGGGAAGGGCGGCGGTCGCCGGTTGCGCGGCCTGCGCCAGAGCCGGCGGCGAGGGTTTAACCTAAGTAGGTTTTTTTTCTTTTTGCTATTTGGTTTTTTTCTTTGTTTATTTGAGGTTCTGATTTCTACTTTTCTGCTCTTTGGTAGGTTTTGGGAGTGAACAGATTTGGGTAAGGACGTCCTGAACTATGGTTAAAGTGATTATGGAACTTAAACTAAAAAAATAATGATAAATTGCGAGTTTTATATCGGTTTACAGATCTGTGATTTTTATATATGTTGTGTATGTGTTTGATGATCTCGAATTTTTTTATGCTTGGTGGTTTGGTGGGTGGTTTTAGAAGGAACTCATGACATGCTAGAATTTGCTAAGAAAATAATTTCCTGTAATGGGAAAGTAATTAACATGCTCTAAAATTGGTATTTTTGGTAATGATAATTACAAATCACTGCCTCGGCTTTTGATTTTGCAACAGTTTGAAATCTGAAATTTTATCATATTTAGGGTGTTTTTGTTGTATCTAGATCTGGATTGCCCCGTATCTATTTGCTTGTTTCTAAAGACCTCTGTCTATTTGCTTGTATATGATAAATAGACTATTGGCTAGCTATTTGCTTGCAAGGAAATGGAAAGCATAACATAACTTTAAAATAGTCTATGAATTGATAAGAGAAGTAAATAAATACTCAATTGAAAGAAGCTTAATGCCGAATTGGAATTGCTATTGCTATGAGCAGATCTTATTACAAGTAAATACAGTTCTTGAACGTAAAGAATGCAGAAGTGTTTGTAAATTAAATTGCTTCAATACAAGTTGATGGATATTGCAATTGTATAATGATCAAGACTGGATGAAACGAGCTGAAATGCAATCTATCAACATTAAAGCAGAGTCAAAAGTACCAACCTGATTGGGAATTCTGCTCCAAGAACACTTCTTTGTGCTCCACCCTTCAGATCTGGGCTCAGTTTGTTGTTGTAATGAAAAGATTAGTCTCTTGTTTTTTTTAGAATTTTCTGTATGTTTCTCTCCTTTTTCCATTCGTCCCCCTCCCAACAAAGAGCTCAAGGAGCTCATTTAAAGCAAACCAAACGGCCACGTGTCGCTATATAATTCGTCCATTTTTTTAATATGACTTTGAAGAGTGTGCCTGGTGTTGAGGTCGGCTGTGGATGGGATGTGGTCAGGCCGAACCAGGCCGGTTCGGTTATGGTCCGATTTCGATGGGCCGAGCTGGGCCTGTTTGTTGGACGTTTGTCTGGGCTGGGCCTGTCATAAATTTTCTGGGCCGATACTGGGCTCTGTCTAGTCTTGAATTACTTTGATTTGGGCTTAATCTATGGACTTGGACTCTCACTTGAGAACTGACTGGTCTTCTTTTTTTTCTGCAGGTTGGGTTTGCTTTGGGCCCAAAAGAAATAGCAAAGAGGCCTAGTCTTGATCTGATTGGTGCCCAAATTTTGTAGAGTTAGCATTAGTCATTGTAGTTAATTCTAATTCTTGCTTCATTTAGAGGTCATTACCCATGTTGTACAATCTTTGATAATAAAGCTCATTCCACTATTCAATTTGTCCCATTTCAAATACCGAATTCAAATCCAAACTCGAGCAACAAAATTTGCACTAGTTATTTCTTCCATCCAATTGAGAATTTATATGTAAGATTTGCCACTGCTAATCTTAACTTAAACCGGTCCTATCTTAACTAACTAGGCCCTAGAATCGACTAGGAGCAAATTTGACAATTGTTGGTTCATATTGACTTGCAACTGATAGTCTCAACCAAACTATCTTCAACTTCTATTTAAATATAATTGTAGTATGACGTGACAAAATTATTTTCAATAAAACAATTATCTCGGACAAAATGTGGTGTCTACAGTTGCCCCCCTTTGTATATCTCTTTGTATAAAGAGTTATACAAAGTGTCTATAAAGACATCACATTTTGTGAGAGTAGTCTCGATAGTTGTGTTAGAGTTTCAAGGAGAGTAGGGTTTTTTATTTTTTATGTGAGAACTGTTGTTAGTTTTGTGTGTTGGTATGAGATCGCTGATTGCGAGGGCTTCAATTTCTTTGATAGCCTTCACCAATGAGGGATAATTTACGTACTTATATAGCGTTCGTCAACGCGATAAATTTTCTTGTACTCACTCTACAGTACTTTGTTGACACTTAACATCGTTGACGGATTTTCTGATGCTCGTCAATCATCTTCTGCTATATTTCTTTAGCGCTTGCCAGTTCCGGTTAGGTATTTACTGGTTGGGGTGCTCTTTATCTCTTATGCGTTATTGAATGATAGAGGGGCTCGCCAGCTCCTGTGAGGTATTGATTGGTAGGGGTGCTCTTTATTTCTTATGCGTTATTGAATGATAGAGGGGCTCGCCAGCTCCTGTGAGGTATTGATTGGTAGGGGCGCTCCTCAGCTCCCGTGCGTTGTTGACTGATAGAGGGGCTCGCCAGCTCCTGTGAGGTTTTGATTGGTTGGGGCGCTCCTCAGCTCCCGTGCGTTGTTGACTGATAGAGGGGCTCGCCAGCTCCTGTGAGGTTTTGATTGGTTGGGGCGCTCCTCAGCTCCCGTGAGGTATTGAATGGTAGGGGTGCTCCTCAGCTCCCGTGAGTTGTTGATTTGTTCCCGTGGCTGTAGGGAAGACTTTGGAATTTGGTTGCCCGGTGTGGTAAGCAAAGTGGGTGTAGATTTATTCCCATGGCGGTAGAGCATACTTGGGATTTCGGTTGCCCCCTTGCGGTATGCAGAGTGGGTGAAGGGTTTTTTTCTTTCGGTTGCGGTAAGCAGACTCGGGAATTTGGTTGCCCCCTCGCGGTATGCGGAGCGGGGTTAGGTTTTCTACATTGTCCGTGATAGTCGACGAAACAAGTTTTAGAAGGAGGGATCTCATTTGCTCGTGAAAGCCGACGAAGCAAATTTACTTAGTTATCTAAACTGCCCGTGATAGTCGACAAAACATGTTTAGCAGAGGGTATAATTTGCTCGTGATAGTCGACGAAGCAAATTGACTAGGTTCTCTAAATTGTCTGTGATAATCGACGAAACAAGTTTAGCATGAGGGTTTTAATTTGCTTGTGATAGTCGACGAAGCAAATTGACTAGGTTTTCTAGATTGCTCGTGATAGTAGACGGAACAAATTTAGAAGGGTTTTTTTAATTTGCTCGTGATAGTCGATGAAGCAAATTGACTAGGTTTTCTAAATTGTCTGTGATAGTTGACGGAACGAATTTAGTAGGGGGGTTTTAATTTGCTCGTGATAGTCGACGAAGCAAATTGGCTAGGTAATTTTTATTTGCCCGTGATAGTCGACAGAACAAGTTAAAAAGATGGTCTAATTTGCTCGTGATAGTCAACGAAACAAATTGTCTAGGATTTCTACCTTGCCCGTGATAGTCGACGGAACAAACTTAGCAGGGGATCCAATTTGTTCGTGATAGTCGACGAAACAAATTGACTAGGTAATTTTTGAATTGTCCGTGATAGTCGACGGAGCACATCACAAAGATTATCTAATTTGCTTGTGATAGTCGACGAAACAAATTGACTAGGTAGTTTTTGTAATGTCCGTGATAGTCGACGGAACACATCACAAAGATTATCTAATTTGCTCGTGATAGTCGACGAAACAAATTGACTAGGTAGTTTTTGTAATGTCCGTGATAGTCGACGGAACACATCACAAAGATTATCTAATTTGCTCGTGATAGTCGACGAAACAAATTGACTAGGTAGTTTTTGTAATGTCCGTGATAGTCGACGGAACACATCACAAAGATTATCTAATTTGCTCGTGATAGTCGACGAAACAAATTGACTAGGTAGTTTTTGTAATGTCCGTGATAGTCGACGGAACACATCGCAAAGATTATCTAATCTGCTCGTGATAGTCGACGAAACAAATTGACTAGGTAGTTTTTGTAATGTCCGTGATAGTCGACGGAACACGTCCATTAGAGGGCTCGCGATTGTTCGCCCGCACCGATATCGTATGTTCATGGTATTTGTTTAGGACGTTCCTAAACAGTTGTTATGGCTTGTCATAAATGCACGTGAAAGCTAAACATGAGACTTGAAGAATTCACGTGAATGTAGTTGTTGTATCTTGTAGTGATTCCTTTTTACAAACATTGGAAATCCAACTAAATGTATGAGTTATTTTGGGAATTGCTGGCAATAAATGCATGACCCATTTTAACATATGATGTTATTTAAGGAGTATCAAAATGATTTTTGAAATTGATGGCGTGATGAATCACGCTGATGAAGTCGTGAATGTTGAGTGAAAAGAAGATGTGATGCATTTGATAATCTCTATGCAATTTTTGCCTGGGTCTCCTTTAAATTGCTCATCTTCGAAGATTGTCAATCCCTTTCGATCAACTTGACACATAGTTCGTGCTAATGCTGAAGCGATTTTGAACTTGTTGTCCTGAGGTATATCTTCTTGGTGGTAGTTGCACGAAGATATACTTTGTGAGCTAAGGTAATGATGTGTTTTTATCTATGTTCTTCTTGTGGGTCAAGTTTGGGCCCACATATTTCAGAGTTGTGCATCTCTTGGTATGTGCAGTATATTGATTCCTTCTGACCATGAAGTTGAAGGATAATAAGTTGGATGGCTGGTTTAATGAGATTTGAATGTTCTCAAATCCCTTGAGATTTCTTCATCAGCTCATGAGTGAAGTTGATTAATCTGATTCTTGGGTACTCAGACTTCCCCTTCCTCCATATTGCACCGTTTTTGCCCCCAAAGATCTGTTGCTCACTTTCTATTCTCCAGAACAAAGAGTGACTTTATCAATCTTGACTTAAGATGAATGCAACAATGTTTGAAAATGTTTATTGGAGAATTAATAATGAAAGCCATATTAAGACTTTGCTTTGTGAAGTGTGTGCAAATTGGATAAAATCGTTTTTGCGTGGTAGTTGCCATGTGGTCAAATTTGATTTTCTCAAATAAAGAAGTGTAAGTCAAGCCATGAGAATATCAGTAAGCCCTCACTCTCACTCTTGCTTTTGATTTTGCTCGCTCTAACTTCCACTTTTGGTTCTGCTCACCACTAATTCCTATAGGTGATTTGAGTGTACGACATTTCAGCTACCATTAAGATTCTGGTCACCTTGAGATGTCTCATTTTATGTTGGTGGCCAACTGTGTTCCTTGTGCAGCAACGTGGAAGACCTTGGTGTGATTGATTTAGGATACCTTCCTATGGCTTCGTTATGGACGTTGGTTTCCCATAAAAGGGGTTTTTGTCCGATATGACTTTGATGGTAGGAGTCTTCTTGCTCTTGAAGTGTGGTTTATTCAGATGGGTGATGGATAAGTCATATCTTGATCTTACCCATATAAGGCTTCTCGTAAAGGGATTTTGGCTATGCCCACCAAGTATGGGATTGCCCTGATGGGTTGAAAACCACTATTATCCCAGACATTTGTTGATGGAGACTTGTTCAAAAATGTAGGGAGTTCTGGGCATATTTGGGGAGTTTATCTTCAACTGGTCTTGCCCCCTGTCTTTGAAATTATGGTTTATGAGTCAAGGGTTTTGAAGTTTTTGCGAATGTAATCTGGTTATGGACTTGTCAAGGTTTTTGTTTGACCTCTAAATGTGGGTTGTGGTGGGGCTTCAGCTTCTGACTTGCTCTCAAAATGATGAGTATCTGGGACGAAGTGATTTTGGCCGAAAAGGCTTTCTTATCATGGAAGGTCTTGGCTTGAGGTCATTATATTTTCCTTGTAAGATCTTGACTTGGTGCATGCGGTTGATACTTCAAATGCTAACTAGGGGCACCTAATTTGTAAGTCCCACAACAATATTTTCTATTTTTTCACTTATTTTTTTCATTTTTTTTATTTTTTTATTTTTTATTTTTTTATCCTTTGTTCTTGAAGTGGTGGCCTGACCCACTTATGTTGCTGGCAATTTGGGATTGGTTCATGGAGGAGGTGGCCGAAATCCTCTTTTTGGATTTGGCAGAAACTCTGCTGCTCTGCTGTTCTGCTACTTTGCTGCTCTGCTGCTCCTTTAGATAAGGATGATGGGTTTGGTTGATTGGGTTGACCTGAGTTGACCGATTTGACCAGAGTGGACCTGGGCCGACCATACTGGATTGGGCCGAAATATGGGCCTGGGTTGAGTTTTATAGTTTGAGAATTGGGCTGCTGGTGTGGGTTTGTTTCTGATAGTTTTTTTTTTAATGTATAATTACTAAGTGTATCTTAAAGGTTATAAATTGTACTTTGTAATTACACATTTATTTATTTATGTTATTGCCTTCAGAATTAGATGATCATTGTATCTGTATGTAGTGCTCAAACATTCAATTGATTCTTCCAACCCAATTTGCTCACTTATCCAATTTCAAACCAAATCCAAACATCTAATCAATGCTTCCCAAACCATGGATTTGGGAAGTTAAAGCAAAATTACCAATCTTTCTATACCTTTTGACCAACTTTAGACCAATGAGACCAACTGAATACAATGACATTAGCATAGGTCGTGACAACATACTATTGTTATTCTAAATAAAGCGAATTCGGTAGCCATTAGCTACTGCTAATCCTACCTAGTACAAATATTCGAACCAAATACTATTGTTATTCTAAATAAAGCAAATTCGGTAGCCATTAGCTACTACTAATCCTACCTAGTACAAACATTCGAACCAAATAAAACGGACTTAAAAAAAAATCGTTGGTACTTATTGATTTGCCATTGCTAATCTCAACCAACCTCGTCCAAATTTTTACTTGAGTTTTCTTTTTAAGTGGATATTCTTTTGAGTTTTGAGCAGGATGGTTGCTCCGGACAAAATGTGGTGTCTACAACATGTACCGGCCCGGGTTGACAATTTAAATACTTGCTCTATACTGCACCATGCTAGAGTTTAAAAACTTAATTTCTAGTCGGGATTAATTTGTGGTGTAGTTTTGTGCGAGTCAATAATATTTCTCAATAATGAAATAAATATCAATGCTGTCAAAGCCGAGCCGGAGTATGACCCGGTAACGTGAACGGCTCGGTCATTAGTGGTCCAGCCGGGACTAGACCGTTTAAAAACCGTTTGAGAACCGGTACATTATAAACAATATAATATCATAGTAGAACACACATAAAGTAATAATTCAATGATTTAATGAGTAAAAATGATAATTACAGGTACCATTTAATAATTCTACACAACATATATATATACATCAACTAAAAAAAACCCTAACCTAATCCTAAGCGACAACGCCGCTTCCCCACCCATCACTCTCCTTCCTTCCGCTTCCCCATCCCCCCTCCCTCTCTCCTTCCTCCTCTCCCACCGCCGCACCTATTTTCATTTTTCAGCCACTATAGCCTTCTGCAATTCCTCAAAAATCCATCACCTCATCCTTTCTTAACCCGTAAATGCTCTTCCTCGTCCCAATCCGCGAAATGGCTCGGATTCAATCCAAGCCTCTGGTGAGATAGGGCAGCTTAGCGGGGAGCTGCTTGCGACGGTGGCGACGGGATGGAAGCGCCGGGAGCGGGGAGCTGCTTGCTACAACAAGGACTGGCGATGGCGATGCGATGGCGACTGGGGATGGCGATGGCGTCGGGAAGCACCGATGCCGGGACAAGAGGTGTTGACGGCCGATTCCACGATTAGCCTTTTCTATTTTTTTTTAGGGTAAATCAAACGGCCGAACCGTGCGACCGGCTCGGCAGTTAACCGCTTCGGCCGCTCGCCGGCCGCTGTATAAAACCGTGGTGGTTAAATAGCTGAACCGAGCCAGTTTTATGGCCGGGTGGCGGCTTTGGCGGTCCGGTCGGCCGGCTCGGTTCGGCTTTGACCGCACTAGAAATAATCCAGGCTTTTATACAAAAGAAATTGTATATAATTAACTGCGAGTGATGCTTGTTAGGGGTGGGCAACGGGAAACGGGTATTTGGGTATACCCGTACCCGTCCCGTTTTTTAAGGGTTACGGGTACCCATATTACCCGTAATATTTTAAACGGATAGGACTTGTGATTGTACAGTTCTAATATGGGTACCCGCGGGTTACCCGCGAATACCCGTTTGGGTAATATGGGTACCCGTTGTACCCATTCAAATTACAAAGACAGTATCATGGAAGGTGTAAGCATTGCCTAAAGAAAAAGGGGGCTAGGGTTCAAATTAAAGACATGAAAAGTTGGTATACTGCTTGTGTAATCAGACACATAACGGCTAGCTTAGCATCATTGATTGAGTTAAGAAAAACATACTATGAAAAATATATGCTTCGTTTTGGCAGGTGAGTATCCATGATCTTGGGCTTAAGAATAAAATCCTCCAAATCAGGGCTCTGTTGAGGGTACTTCATATGTTGGGGACAAGTAGTCAGTGAGGAAAGTGTGGGAGCACCCTAAGGCCACGAAGTAATAAAACCCTTCGGTGATACAGTGGGAAAATGGCAGTGGGTTTGCCTTTGGGATGTAATTGTCTTTAGCTAAAACGTCATCAGGGTTTAGGGACATGTTTTGAAATGAATGCTTGTGTATATAGAGATTGAATTTATGTTTTTATCATATCGTGTTCTTATTATTCCCCGCAAGAGCATGTTATTATTAAGATATATAATGTGATGTCATTTAAACTTTGGGTATTTATGGGTAGTATGGGTACCCGTTATCCGTCCCGTATGGGTAATGGGTACCCGTTTCCCATATGGGTTTGGGATATGGGATGGACTTTGGTCTCCAAATGGGAATGGGTACCCGTTTAAAATGGGACGGGTATCCCGTCCCTTCCCGTTGCCCACCCCTAATGCTTGTCTACACATAATATAATACACCAAAGGGAAAAACGGGAGCCCCATTTCAAATTTCCTGCAACGAGAGTGAAAGTAGGAAGGACATTTTGGTCTTCACAATTACTTTTTTTTATTCATTAAAAAGATATGTACTGGGATTTGAACCATGACCATTTTAAAGAAAGGCAAGGATTATAACCAATCACACTAAGTACATTTGTTGTATCCTTTTAAATTAAAAACATATAATAGCAGGGTGGAAAAAACTCTTCCCCCATTTCAAATTCCATGTTCCATGAGCGTTTGTAGGAATGGTAGAATAGGGAGTGTCAATTTTTTTCTCTTTCCTCTGTGGAACGGGCCAACTTACCGTACACATGCGGATTTAAACGAGTCCAGGAATGTCAATTTTTTTCTTTATACCCTTTTATTTATCCGTGGTGATAAAATATATATGAAAAGTCAAAAATAATACTCCTTTTTATTGTTAAAAATAAAAAATTTAACAATAGACTAATGCATGGTATCTAATGGGCTAACCGCTAACCATAAAATAAAAGAGTTGAATGGGTCTGACCTACATGGGATTTGGTCATCAAGTAAAACAAATGAACATCATGGGTTTGCCATTCTAAAACAAGCTATTTTCTATGACATAATATATATTATGCTATTATTTTATATCTTAGTGGCTAAAATATAATGTATTTTAAAGTTATTCAATGGTTCAACCTCGACCAACCCAATTAGTCCAATTTTTATCATTTCAAATATATATTTTATAATTATTTGACATCATAATGATCAAATTATAGTGTATTTTATAGGGAATCGTTTGGTATTTGTTAGTAAAAAACTAAACATAAAAATCTATTTGGTAATTTTAAACATTAAAACGATCCTCAACATTTTCAGTTCCTTTTGAATTTATATGGTTTTATTCCCGAATAAGTGATGTGCAAATGGCGAATTGTAGTCGTCTTTTTTCTTTCATTATTTTTTATTTTCAAATAGAAAGTTTAAAAGTAAAGAATAATTAGAATTTGGCATAGGTCGGTCAAACAGGTTGAATTTCAAGTTTTGGCCCATTTGTTTTATGCATTGCAAATTTATTAGCATGTTGATGGAAATGGCTTGGAAAAACGACATATAAGTTGTATCATTGAAGAAATGTCCTCAAATGTTTGAATGCTTTGTGAATCAGGTTCTGTGACTTTTGTGATGGTGTATGTGCTTGACGATTGCTCGATGTTGTAACTACTTAATTTAAGAGTAAATCTTTTGATTTTCCCTATGAGTTGTGATACCAGTTCTGGTGGTTGCAGCATGTTGTCGTTGTTGGCCTTTAAAAGTTGTTCCGCCGTGATGCTAAATACCTTTCTTTCTTTTTTAACAAATTGTGTAGTAGTGCTATGAAACAGACCACCCATGAACGCTACGCTTATTATGGTCTGTTCTTACTTCCGGTGGTGAGAAATTGTGAATTGAGAATCATATTCGCCTACCGCACTGTGTCTGGTTGGTGGCTGCTTACTGTGCTCTCTAGAGTTATGAAACAGACTACCCATGAACTTTACCCTTAAGAGTCCATAACTTTGCGAAAAAACAAATATAGGCAATCAAAGGTGGTGGATGTGTGATGATTTTTTATGGCTTAATTGTTTGTGAATTAGATATTTGATCTTTGTATGATTAGAGGGGATGTTTGCTTAATAGAATAATCCATTTTAATTCATGTTTATTTTTAACATGAACTTTAGTAACTCAAAACCTTCGAGACACATATCACCTACTGCATTGTATCATTTTGCCTGGGTGCTTGCTGTGTTGTCAAACTTCTTTGCTGCTGATGCATTTACACTAACAGGGGAGTTAAGAACCCATGAATGTTTCCGTTTGACACAAACAAGAGGACTTACTTCTAAATCGTGCACTAAAGATGATTGGAGGAAACATCTCTGTTGCAGTTGATACACTGGAGACCATAACAAAAGCAACGTATAACATCAAAACCAACCATATGAACTATTAGCATTGTTGCTTTACTCTTTTTTCGTGGTTGAGTCTCCTTCAAAAAATTTAGTTTGATTTTAGAAAATTTTGCTTCTGCAGTCCTGTCTTGCCACCAACGCGTTCAGTAGATGGAGATGGCAGAGGCGAAGGCTATTTTGTGTTGTTGTTGCTGGTTTAGGGATCGGTTTGTGAAGAAGAGGGAGAAGAGAGGGGGAAAGGGAAATGCATGAGAGGGGAATAACTCTTTTCTCCGACAAAAATGGAGTGAAGAAAGGAATTATGATCAGTAAGGATATGGTTATCTTACATAACTGTGTCTATTCTGTTTGAATTGAGCTTGGGAGGTAGTGATAAGGACGAGCTGCAACCAATTCATAGTGATAAGAGTGCTATGAACTGTGATCATGTCTTATTTCAAGTTAGAATGTAGTTTCAGTATAAGGATTATTTAATTTGACAAGTTATTTCGTCCATGATTCTTGGTAGTTTCAGTGCCATTCTAGCCATTGTTTAGTCTGTAATTTTTGAGAATTGATGTGCGAGTAATGACTTTCACTTAGCTTCAACTATTATGTGTGTATTTATTGGCATGTGATAGAATTCTCTTTTCCTTTTCTTTGAATTCATTTTCATACTTTAATTGTATCATTTGTACATAGGCAAATCATGCTCGAGATGACAACTTGCTGATATGGCTGGTGCAAGGAATGAAGCCATCATTAAAATTCAGACCGACAACGGGGAGGGATGCCCAGGACTAATTCAATGATGATTGATGATGGTATGATAAAAACTGCAGTCTGCATCAACACCAATTTCTAGGCCTAAGTAAAGTTATTCAACCCAGAACTCTGCTTAGCGCTAAAAATTGCCCTCACCCAACCTTTATCCTGTTTGACCCACTTCTGAAGAGTCAAGATATATTACTAATTCTCTCCATTCGTATTTTCTTATTGACTCTTTCTGACCCTTTAGGTTGGGGCGGGTCGGGAAGAATCGGATTAGTGGGCCAGTCTTAATCAAGTGGAATCCCAATCCCTTCACTCTCACTTGCTTTCTCTCCCATTCCACAAGTGGGTAACATACAGTAATCCGGCCAACGGGCCGGGTAATAAGCTAGTAATAAAAATGCTCGGATGGGCCGCAAAATAAAGCAACTTAAGCAAATAGAAAAAGTAAAAAAGCAAAATGATGAACGGGGACCGCTGCGCTGACCGACACGCTACACTCCGGACGGACACCGCCACGTGTGAGCTCCCACCTTAAAACCCCCGCCATTTTGCCTCATTTTCAAAACGCGAGAATTCGTTTTTCTTCTCTTCTCTTCTCTTCCATTTCCTTCCAATTTCTATCCTCTTGCTCTCCGCTTGCTACATAAAACCCTAGAAAGAAACCAAAACATAAAGAAAACCAAGAAAATTCCAATCCTCCCAAAGCTCTCTCCCTCTGTCTTTCTCTGCTTCCTTCCATTTCTACCATGCACCTATTCTCCTACACCGTCGATTCCCTCTCCAAATCCCAAGACCTAGCCGCCGCCATCCTCGCCTCCTCCACTCCCTCCCAGATTTCCGCCGCCTGCTCCTCCCTCGACTCCTTCCTCTGCTCCCACTCCCCCGACCAGTCCCGCCACTTCTTCTCCCTCGCCTTCCCCGCCCTCATCTGCAAGCTCTACGGCTTCGACGACGCCTCCGCCTCTCCCTCTCCTTCCCCCGGCGGCGGCGGCTGGATCGACGCCATCCTCCACTCCAACGACGCCGATCTCGCCGCCAGGGTCTTCGACCTCCTTTCCCCCGACGGAGTGCTGTTCCACTTGATCTCCGCGGTCGATCGTCAGTCCCTCGTCAAATACGTGTTCCCCACCGAGCGGTTGCCGGAGTGGGCTCGGCTCCTTCTCTCTGCGGGCAAGGATTGTCAGGGATTGAACGCCTTGTGTCCTGTTTTCCAAGGTAAAGTGAGGGAAGGAGGATCGGGTAAGGGTTCTTCCTCTTCTTCTTCGTCGTCGTATCAAATTCAGCTCAATGTTTTCGAGTATTTCTTGTATTGGTTCGCTTACTACCCGATCTGCAAAGCCAACAGCGAGAATTCGAATGGTGCTACGATCGGGACGGTGAAGAGTAAGGCGGTGTCGAAATTGGAAAACTGGGCTTCTTCGATCCCCAGGCTGTCGCATGCTAAGCGTGGGAATGAGCTGAAATTGGAGTGTGATCTTTACGTCAGGCTTCTGTATGCTTATTTGCGTGCGTTTGTGCCTGTTCAGGTTCCGGGTACTCACCAGCCTCATCGTAGCTCGCTTTTGCATTATGGGTATGGAAATGATGGCTCTGCTACGATGAGAGCCGAGTTTTTTGTTGATGCTTTGGTGCATTATTGGCTAGTTGATAATGATTTCTCGCCGCTACCGGTTAATCTTTGTAAGTCTGTGGGATTATCGTTTTCACTGAGGTCTGTACTGGGTGAGACTCCACCATCATCTAGTTTGGGTGAGGTAGTCAATTTGTTGGTTAAGTACTTGAACTGGAGTGCCAATGTGTCCCAAGAAGGTGTTGGACGAGTTGCAAATACAAATGGGGGAAGGTTTTCTCCAAGTTTCTTTGATATGAAATCTGGAGAGTTGGTTGCTTCTGTATACAAGTCTTCAGAGTTGGCTGGCTCGTGGAACTTGTGCATTCAAAGACCGTTGTATCGATTCATTCTGAGAACTTTTCTTTTCTGCCCAATGGGAACTTCGATAAAGAATGCATCTCAGGTGTTCTCTGTTTGGGTTGCTTACATTGAACCATGGAAGACCACGATGGATGATTTTCTGGAGCTCGATGCAATTGTTGGTTGTTCTGGGAAAGATGGTAATAAGGAAGTTGGACAGAACAAACAATGTGTCTATCTATCGTCATGGGAAGGCTATGTCTTGTCCAATTACTTGTACTACAGCTCATTGGTTATGCATTTTATTGGATTCGCACACAAGTTTCTTCACACTGATCCTGTAGTGATTGTGGAGATGGTGTTAAAGGTTCGTAATTGCCTCTTGGCTCTTTCCATGTGTATTTTAGTTACTTCTTCCAGTATTTTACTTCTGTTTCTGGGCACCACTTTTTGTTGGAGCCATAATCTGTTTGCTCTCGACTTCGTTGTCTAATGGGATCGTTGTTTACAGGTTATAACAGTATTGACATCAAACAAAGAGTTGATAAATCTGTTAAAGAATGTGGATAAAGTCTTTCATGCCAAACAAGCCGGATCTGGCAAAGCCATGCTCAGTAGTTTATACAAATATGTACCCCTAATCAGAGAACAGCTGCAGGTATGAACCACTTGGATTTTCTCTTGCCATGTTTCCTGCCATTGTTTTTCCTACTGTAGTGTGGCTGCTATCTAATTTGCTGCAAATTCTTAAAGTTGTTGTAATTGACTATCAAAGCCATTGGTTTCCTTACTTTGGCTTCTGGTAAATAATGCTTGTTGATGTAGTTTGTCTCAATTGTTTGTATATCGTGCAATTATCCTAGCATTGCCTCAGCCTTTGGTTTCTGATGTCTGCATCTTCTCTTCCATCTTCTCGTGGCACTAGGATTGGGAGGATGGTTTGTGCGAGAGTGATGCTGATGGATCTTACTTGCATGAGAACTGGAACAGAGATCTGATGCTTTTTAGTGATGTAGAAGATGGAGGACAACAATTGTTACAGGTTTTTATGCATTCTTCTATTATTATGCAGTCTTTTGTTTGAAATGGCTGGTTCGTTGTACAAGACGACTTTATTTAGTTATTATGGTTTGTTGCTGCAGTTGTTTATACTACGTGCGGAATCCGAGTTGCAAGCCAACTCTGGTGTCAACTATTCACAAAATCTGGAGCTTATAGACTCACTGAAGGAGCAAGTAAGCTGCTTATTTGGTTGCTATGGCGTGAGATCAATTTCTTTCACACCAGAGAAGAAACAACCGGCAGAGCAGATGCGAGATGAGATATTCACCCCCAGAAAAGCTGGAAGCTACACCTTTGCTGATGTCAAGTACAAGGGTGACTGGATGAAGCGTCCAGTATCTGCTGATGAGGTTGCATGGCTTGCAAATTGGTTTGTTTGCTTGTCCTGTTGGCTGAATGAGACCCTTGGGTTGGATCGAGCTGAAAATGGCGATGCGAGCTCAAAGTGGTCTTATGTTGAGGTTTCCAGCAATGCAGCAAATATTGATGGACCTACAGAAACCATGAAGACTGTGTTGCGCGCTATCTGCTCATGGCTCCTAATGCTTGTTGCTACGGTTGTTGGGTTTATGAGGAAGCATGGCGTTCGGGTGAATCTTAGGCCACTAGCATCGAAGAAAGTTGTTACAGTTTTGCTTCTGTCTGCTCTTTTTAGTGTCGTGAAGAAGGGTGTTAGAATGTTTCTGGGAGCATAGCCTTTTGCGAAGAATCGAAATCGGGAGAAACAGAAGAAATGAAAAGGTAAAAAAACTACCACTGTAGGAGTATGTAAATCTTTACTCAGTTTGCTAAAAAAAGAAAAGATATGGCGAAAAGTCTACACAGGAAACAGTTTGAAAGAAAAGCCGCTGTGTGAGGTTTGCCGCTTTGAGGGCTTGTTCGCCTTGCTTTTGTAACTAAAGGTCTAAGGGTAGGGATCTTGTGCAGCTCTTGAGGTTTTCTCCTTTCTTTTGTTTGCTTACTGAAATCAGTAAGCTTCTTACCTGAATCATGTTCATGTACAACACAACACCTCTTGTAATTTTGGTCTGAATGTGAATATATTTTTCACACATGAGCTTTACATGGATCCACCATTACAGAATAGATGAACTGAAATATGATTCTGGATAATATTTGCTTTCATTTGAAGGATCGTTTTGAATTGATTGTTGTCAAAATAACATATACACCATATTTGTGTACACCTAGAGGTCGCGTGCTTGAAATGAAACATCAACTTCATACCTGCTTCCTATCCGACCTTTATGGAATTACCAGCGACTCGGCCATAACATCTAGTTATTGCCTTCTGGGATCCTTAGAATGATTGGGTAGTAATCACAATTCTCGCCTTTGGTTTGGTTTGTGATTCCTGCAACAAATTCAATCCGATCTGTGTCACGGGTGTCTCTCTGGAAGGGTTTTGAGTCATCATACCCATTCACAATACAGAGGTTCAGCCCGCAAAGAGCTCGTGGCCTGGAACTACACTCCTGAAAATGTGGAAATGACCCTTCCGTTTGGTGATGGAACCAGTTCTGTATGAGGTATTTGCCTCCTGTACAGGTAACAGAAACAATAAAGGAAGAAGAACATGAAATGGCTGACATCGATGGATCACCTGGAGACTAGATGTCTTCATCGTTCCTGGTGTGAGCATATTAATCAGCGTAACTTCAATGTCTCCAACAGATTCCAAATGGTATAGCTCGTATCAGTTGATCAGCTCAATAGCATCTTCTACAGCAGGCTCCAGCTTGAACAGTCCCTGGATCTCGACGAGCTCATTGCAATCGATAATGCTGAAAACAAGGAATAGAAGTTTGGAAGATTTGTGATCCTCAGTAACTAGTTGCACTGGAACACATTCAGCTTCTCCAAACTCCCCAGGAATGTACAACGGGGTAGGCTTTTCGAGATAGAGTGAAGTCTGAGTTAATTGCATTTCATTATGTCCCCTACTGAGAAGAATTGGCTGATATATTCACAAATGGCTTAAGTGCACACCTGTTTCACAAGATCCTCTTCAAGCTGGGAGTGCATGACATACACTTGCCTGCTTGCTTGGGCTTTCAAACATCCTTCTCAAGGACACAGTAAGAGATGAATCAGAACAACAGCAGCAGGCACTTGCAGAAGTGAGAAGAGATAGAGTGAAGCTTGCTGCTGAAGAAGATGAACTAGACATAAATAAACCCGGTTAGAACCTGTTATAAACAGAGGAAAACGGTGTCCTTGTAATCAATTCGTTATACGCAGAGATGGGAATTTTATGTGTAGATGTTAGATTATGATTGGTTAGCATGTATTTTGTCCTGTAACTTAGCTGTTAGAGATATGTTCTGTACAGAGGAGCTGGACTACTTCCTTTTGTTCTTTTGCTTTGAGCTTAATACGCACAAAATGAACGTTTAGCCATTGCTATTATTATAGGTGTCAATCGGGCAGGTTCGGGTTTAAACGAGTTGCGGGTTAGTCGGGTTGCGGGTTCATCGGGTTCGGGTTCATCGGGTTCGGGTTCAAACGGGTTGCGGGTTAGTCGGGTTACGGGCAAATCGGGTTGCCAAAATCTAATTTTATGTGTAGACACCGTTAATTGTTTATTTGATATTTAGTATTAATTCAGTAGTAATTGGATTAAAGTATCTCGTTTAGTATAACCATGCAAATCTGGTATTTGGCGTGTGATATTTGGCAAAAACATAGTGATAAAAGGAGTTATTTCAAAATAACTCATTGCCAAAATAACTTTAGTAAACTGTTGCCAAACGAGTTATTTGTAAAATTGTTCGAATTATCCTAAAAATTGAACCATTAAAGATTAGCTATCAAATTTAGTAAAATTATTGTGACTTCAATCATAACTTACTCAATAGCATATATCCTATACACTTAGCTTTACTCTCAATCAACAATATTAAGTTAGTATATGTTGTTGATTGTATACCCTAAACCATCAATACATTATACACTAACCACATAACCTATACCCTAACCATATGTTCTTGAGTTGTGATTTTGCTAGTATAGTTAATTTAAAAGTGAAATTCATACTTTGATTTTCAAAACATAGATAAAAAGTGATATTTGATAATTGTTATACCCTAACCATATATCCTATACTTTACACCACATACCTTGTACCCTAATCACGTACCATAAACATAAATTAAAAAGGGATCTCCTGCCGTTAAAACTTCAAATGACTTCAAGTGAACATATGTTAATAAAAAACTTAGAAGCGTCAAGACCATCAATATCTTATACCCTAACCATATACACCCTAAACCATATGTACCTTATACCTTATATCCTAACCATATACACCCTAAACCATATGTACCTTATACCTTATATCCTAACCATATACTTTATATCCTAAACAATGAACCGTCAAAGATTACTTATCAAGTTTAGTATAAATTGTTGTAACTAACGGTTAATTTATTTATTAGCACATAAAAAATTACATACATATATACTGTATACATATTAGCCTTCAAAGCATATAAGAATAATTTTAACTAGTCATGCCCTCCATATAAAAGTTAAAGATTCATATTTCAAAAGCTAAAATTATGAAAAACCAAAAAATTGAAAACACCAAATTTGTTTCCTTCTTTCTTTCCACAAAAATACTAAAATTTCCCTCCTTCTTTTTCCTTCCATACATTAAAAAAACTCAATTTTCCCTCCTCTTTCTCTTCCATAAAATTGAAAGAACCAAATTACCCTATTCTTTCCTTCTACAAAAAGTTGAAAAGTCAAAAGTTTCCCTCCTTATTTCTTTTTCATAATCAAAAGAATCAAACTTTCCCACTTCTTTCTCTTCCCACATATCAAAACCACCAAAATTCTCACTTGTTTCTTTTCTAAAAAATTCAAAGAACCAAATTTTCCTCTTCTTTCTCTTCCCAAAAACTTGAATTCACCAAAATTTCCCTCTTCTTTTAAAAACATCAAATTACCAAATACATTAATTTACTTTATTTATATTTAATTGATAATTTTATTGAATAGTTAAATTAACCAAAATTTTAATTTATATATTATATTAATATTGTCATGATCTCAAGTGACCTTCATGTTTCAATTTTTGTAATTTTCTTAAAATACGTAATATCAAGTGAGTTTCATATTTTTAAAATTTCTTATACGAAATGAAAAAATAATTTTACTTAAGTTTAGAATGAAAAACTTTATTTTGAAAAACTATGTATTGTATATTTTTATAATTATTCAAGTGGATTAGATGAAATTCGGGTTGAGATGGTCGGGTTACGGGTTAGGGTCAATCGGGTTCGGGTTAATCGGGTTGCGGGTCAGTCGGGTTGCGGGTCGATCGGGTTCGGGTTAATCGGGTTGCGGGTTAGTCGGGTTGCGGGTTAGTTGGGTTGCGGGTCGAGCAGATTACGGGTTGTTGACTTTTAGTCAATTCGGGTTGCGGTCGGGTTACGGGTCGGGTTGATCGGCGGGTTAATCGGGTCGGGCTATGTTTTGACACCTATAGCTATTATCACCAAATACTATCTCCAGAGATATGTTCTGTACAGAGGAGCTGGACTACTTCCTTTTGTTCTTTGGCTTTGAGCTCAATACACAGAAAATGAACGTTTAGCCATTGCTATTGTCACCAAATACTATCTCCATTCAATTCTTGTTAAGACCAAAGACTACAGAGATAGATCTTGCGAAACATAAGTGTAGTAAAGCATTTAACAGAAACTTACAGAATAGTTGCTGTATTAACAGCTGAGTGGATGCAAGCACAGGCCAGAAGCTTTTGGTAACGCGGAAAAGCAGCCATTTCTTGTTCTTTCAGACACACAGATGTGCCAATCCGACCTACTTCTCTTATATCCAACAAGACAATTGAACCCATCTGCAGGTAAGTAGCAGCTGTCATCCATACTGGCTTTGCCCATCAGAAACCTACTCATACATGGGGAACCCACCCCAACTGGTGCACAAGTAAAACTTAGACCTTTCCAGCCTCTTCGATACTAGCATCCATAAACTCTTTTGTGGTCTTTATGTGAAAGAGCAAAACTGATCGGCAATCACCAACGATTCTACTTAGGAAGAAAGAAGACTCCCTTTTTCACTTTCCTGATCAGGCTGACAAACAGAAGTAGGTCCATCTCCATATCCTTGTAATTCACATTGCAAAAACTGACTACAGATTTCCAAAGGCACGTGTCGGTGGGAGAATGCTATGGCTGCTCAGATGGCACAGGGAGAAACCAGTGCTAAAATCAACTCAGCCCCTGTGGGATTCTCAACTCTGTTCCCGATAACAGATTTGAGCTTCACTATGTTGCAAGCACAAAAGGGAAACCGTATACAAGAATTTCTGACATTCGGAGGCTCAAACTGGTAGGTTGATGGGTGGGTACATTACATAGTAGCTAAAGTGAACTCCAGATGAGGATGATCAGATTGGCAGCTGCGGCAACCCAGTAGTTGATGAAAGAACCGAATCTGGACATGTCCAGGATCGAGTTACACACACAAATGCCTAGTGCCATCGCTCTACACTCACAGTGGGCAATCTAATCAAACAAGAGACAGCTCAAACTCGTGCTTTTGTAAAACAGATCATCTGGGATGGGAACAAGAGCTTAATCGCCTCGTCTCGTAGAGAGCCTAACCGCCTAAGTGCTAAAACTACATGTATAGAAGCCAAGTTTGAATAATCAGAGCCCACAATCTGTATGAAAGAGAACAAAATGAACGAAACAAAAAAGACAGCATAGCAGCAAAACGTCCTTATTCAGGATCGCGGCCTTCTCGCCGTCTATTTCCGCTCTCTCGCCGCCATTTTTCTTTCTCAGTGTCGCTCTCGTCAAGTTCTCTATTAACCGTTCTCCCACGAACCCCCCACCGCCGTCGTCGCATTCACGACAGACATACAGATACAGTCTATGTCATCGTTCTGTTCATCCGCCGCCGCCATTGCAGCAGGAGGAGTAGCTCCAGACTGCGTCGTTCTCTGCCGATCGCCGGGATTCCCCAACGCCGTTGCGGCGATCCGACAAGTAAACTCGATGTCCACGTCCAAGTGTGATGTTTACCGTTTGAAATTGCTAGCGCGAACACGTCGAGAATAAGTCGGTAACCAATCAGAATACGCCAAGTCATTCAATTTGCCGCGTGTAACCCAGCCGTAGAATCGAACAACAAAAGCTTTTGACACGTGGATACGAAATTTCCTTTTGTACCCTTAATAAAATTGCTGACGAGGCACTGAAGCAAAACTCTGTTCAGTGTTGTCTTTTACATTATAGCCCCTGGACAATTTGTCAGGTGGTCAGCTAAAAAACTCGGTTAGTGCTAGTCACACTGACCCAACCCAACCCAACCCGATCAATTTCTATGAAACTGGAGTGGTATAAAAGGTCAGTGGTCTGCTATAAGCTCAATTTTTCAACTTTACAAATCCATCGTATATCCAATTCAATTAATGGGTAATTTGACTATCTTATACTTTGGGATATCAATAATCTGATTGAGCTACATTTTAATTAAACTTACGGAATATGATCTAATTCGTCTAATTGATACACGAAATAAAGAACATATATACAACTTCTCTTTATTGATCCTACAATATATAGAATTGTTCGAAAAGTTAATGCTTTATTTGTATCTTACGAAATTGAAAATTAGATCATACTACATTCAATTACCTCGCAAATCGCAATCATGTAGATTTCTCTTGAACTCCGCCGCTGTTCCTGATTAAATGTATTAGTCAGGACAGTAATTTACGAGTGACCTCTAACCTAATTAATTTGGCTCCGATTCAACCTTCTCTTACGACGAGGTTATTATGGGTATTGCAGCCATCCCAAAAGAAAATTGTAAAAACAAAAAGGAACGAAGCTAATCGGAGCTTCTCCTGGCAGATATCGTTTTCTTTCTTCCAAATTCATTTACATGAAAAAACAATATATGGATCGTCGATCTGCTTAAAATTGGAGCAAAACAATCCACTGCGAATTCAGAAAGATTCCTGTTAGGGTTTTTCTGATCCGTCCTCCTCACCAGTGCTTCAATCCCCACTCTCTCGACATGGCTGCGCCCTTCTTCTCTACTCCGTTTCAGCCTTATGTCTATCAGGTACCTCTCTTGTTTTCTACTAGCAATCGCCTCTTTGGGTGACTTCAATATGCCTTCAAGCTCTCGGAATTCAGGCCATGGAAGAATTATCTGCAGATTTTCTGTTTGTTTCAGTTGTGGAGTAGTATCTTGAATTGTACAGATTTTTCTTCCTTTCCTCCTGCCCAATTTTATTCTGGTGGTTTTGAATTTGACCTCTCTGCCATTGGCAGAAGGCTGTTGCTTGCTCGATTTGATGAGCTTAGGTCGACAGAACTTGGCTTTCTGCTTTGATTTTTCAAATGTGGTTGTACTTGCATTTAGTTGAGCATAAGGCTCTGGGAGAGGGAGTTCATCTAAAAAGCGGCTCAGAGAGAGGGAGATTTGAGTTAAGAATGTACGGAGAGGGAAAACACAATTCTCTGCTGTTTTATGACATTTTCAGTGACGAGAACTTATGGGTTTCGGATGTGGTTTAGTGTTATCGGAAGAAGGTAGGAAGAGGGAGGTGAAAATACCCATTAGGTTTGTGGTTTAGCATTATGTGTGTAAGACTTGGGTTTTGAAGTTTATCGTTTATGTTGCCTGATCTCATAGTGGATAATATGCTTGCAGAGTCAACAAGCTGCTATGATTCCTTTCCAGATTATGGGTGGTGAAGCACAGGTGGTTCAGGTATGCATGCATTTATCAAGCTCTCTGGCAATTGGCTCTCTATCTCTCTTTTTTGCTCATCTAATTTCATTCTGTTATCCCTTGATTGTCAGATAATGTTGAAACCGCAAGAAATGGTTGTTATGCGACCAGGTCAGCATAGTAATTTTAATTGCTGTATTCATGAGCACTCTTTCGTATCAATGAACTTATCAATCATTCCGTGGATGTCCTTCAGAGCATTCCATCCTTAAACTCACATGAAAGCTATAGTTGTTAAGTTATGCATAACTGTTCTGGCTTGGTTGTTCCTTTAGAGTTTTGGATTATTCCGAGATTTTGAGTGGTCAAGCATTCATGCTATTGTGTGACATCAGCTTGTAGTTTTACTTCCAGGAGTGGTTGTAACTTGTAACTGAATGTTTGTAAAATCTCCTAGTTTGGTTCTTGATACTTGCATAAATGAGTTTTGCAGGTGCCATGTGTTTCATGTCCGGGTCCATTGAAATGGTGAACATTTTTATGCCTGAAAATGAAGTAGGAATGTGGCATTGGCTTTTTGGCAAGACTATTACCAGTGTAGTCATTCGTAATACTGGTTCAAGCGATGGATTTGTTGGGATTGCTGCACCTTTACTGGCGAGAATCCTCCCGGTGTGTATGCTTGACTTTAGGAGTTTCAAAGAAGAATTACATTGGCTTTTCTGAAATATAAGCTAGTAATGAGCTGTATATTTTTTTTCTTCTTTATTTTGTAGATTGATTTGGCTATGTTCGGTGGAGAAATTTTGTGCCAGGTAAAACTACGAAACTGTATGTGCAGTCCCTGTAACATATTACTTACTGCTACATGTGGTGTTCTCATTTTCTCAATCAGCCACTTTAGTTGCTTGCCTTTGTATTTTGAAGCATACAGGAAGATCTTTATTTTTCCCATGGTGGTTCCTTGATTTTCGCTTACAGCTACAAATTTATGTCTCTTTTCACTTGTTGTGTAGCCAGATGCATTCCTTTGCTCCATCAATGATGTTAATGTGAATGTTGCGGTTGATCCAAGGGCGCGTAATGTGATGGGTAGTGCAGAGGTTAGATATTTGATCTTGTAATTTTGTGAAATAAACTTCAGCCTATCTTATTCATGTATTTTGAAGTGGATAAGATGTATTGGCCTGTGACAGGGATTTCTGAGACAAAAACTAACTGGGCAAGGGCTTGCATTCATTGTTGCTGGTGGATCTGGTATGCTTCAACATCTGAAACAGTGTGTGATAAGAAAACTACATTGGAGTTTCCTTACTAACAAGTACCTACTAACATCTCTTTTGATTATGTGTCCTTAGTTGTACAGAAGAAGCTTGATGTTGGAGAGGTACTAACTGTGGATGTTTCTTGTATCGCCGCCGTTAATTCCACTGTCAATGTTCAAATAAAGTATAACGGTCCTCTCAGAAGGGCTGTCTTTGGCGTAAGTGTCCCCCTCTCTGTCTCTCTGTTCTTTAAATGTTTCTGTCACAAATCTTAGTGGTGTGTTTGGAAACGCAGGGAGACAATATGGTAACAGCTACCCTAACGGGACCAGGGATCGTGTTCATCCAGAGTTTGCCCTTTCAACGTTTTTCCCAGCGCATTGCAAGGTACATATCTTATTACTTGACTGTCATGGTAGTATCAAGGCGCATAATGATGTTCTGGTTTGTTTCTTCTCTCTTTTTCTGATCCTCCAGGGCAGTGACATCGCCAAACATGAGAGAGAACCCCAAGTTCTTTGTTCAGATAGCTATCTTCTTTATCCTGGCGTATGTTGTGATTGTATCCTCCTTGATCTTGACTGATGTATGATATGATAGCCTTTGTTCCTCCTTTTCATATTCGTTCTCTTTCAAATTAACCATTCCTCTTTGGGGAAAACACTGAACAGCATAGTTAGAGTGCATCAAATCATAGTGCCATTGCCATTACGGTTGCCAGTTTTAACAGAAATTGATAGATATAATCAATATGGTTTTGCCTTCGATTTCATTCGTTCGAGTTGGTTCGTCGCAGTGCAGGTAATCGATGTAAAATATTATATATGGATTTGGATAGGTCATGTAATATGATGTATACATTTAGTTTGAAGTGGATTTGGTCGTTGCTGCATGTGGATGTTCCCTTATCAGGATTGCCTTCTCCCTGTTTATGAATCAGCCATATTCGTGGCAGAGAAGACTTCATTTGGGGGTATAGTAAGAACACCATACAAACGAAGCAGATCAGGCCAAACGTCTTTGGTTGGCATAGTGAAACTAATAATTTCTACCTCTCATTTTCATATATGAATGGCTAAACCTCGTCCTAATTTTATTTTTATCGCCCTAATTTAAAGACGGAAATGACGTAATTATCCAAAGACAAACGATACAAAAAAACACTTCTCCCTTCTCAATGCTGCCGAGTGCCGACATATGCCGCCTGCATCCACTCAATCCGCCATCGACGTCCTCCTCCAAAAGACACCACCCAATCCCGGCTCCTCTGTTCTTGCCGCTGTCGTTCTCATCTAGCACTGCACACGCTACCGCAGTCTCTCTTCCAGTCGTCATTCTTACCCGACGTATCCTTTTCCCCATTCGTCATTCTCGCCATTGCGCTGCAGCCTCTCCTCCGTCCTGCCGCTAACCCTTCTCTGACGTCTTCTCTTGTTTAAGGTAATGGCGATATATATACGAGTCAATATGTATCAATTGTAAGACTCGTTGCTGCACTCTTGCTGATTCATCGGATAGCATTTGAAGAGTTTTGATCAGATCCACCATCTAAATTCCATTCCCAGGGGAATTGTTACGAAGAAGACTCTCGCTCACCTACCCATATATCTGTCTTTGTAAACTCTCGGATCTCTCTCTTTCCCATCTCTCGTTGACTCTTATTGAATGAGTGAGAGATTTTGGGTTCTGTCTCTTATAATAAAATATCTACCAATAATCTAAAATGAAATGATAAAGAAGTAATTTCAAACGTATAATTTAGGGCGATTATAGAAGATTAGGACGACAATTAACAACTCCCTTTGATATAGGTCTTGCAATCATTGTATGCCTCCAAAACCTAAATGCTTTGGCTGGCTACGATGTCTCAACTCGTACCTCTATCATTTATCGTCGGTTCAATTCATGTTCGCTTAGGAGAAACAAATGTGCTTACCACTTAAATGGTCTTCAAAAGACCTTGTATTTAATAGAACTGAGGACATCATTGATTGTGGTTAGTGACGGAGTCACGTTTGAGTACATGTAAGGTAAATTTACAAGTAAAATTTGTATTAATTTTTGAAAATAGACTACTTAGTAAGGCTCTACTGCGCTTCCTATTTACCAGGGTTGTCGAATGCAAGAATCGACATTTATTTGTAGATGACCCTTGCCCTTCTCTTACGATCGGGTGTTGTTGCAGGATTAAGTGTGAAGGTGGCACATACTTAGTATATCTCATTAATCGACAGGTCACGCTTCTTTATAATGGACTCTTCCCATTTCACAAACTCTATTCCAAACAACCCAACTATTCTTGGCTGAGTGTCCGGTTGCTTGTGCTTCATTCCTTTTTAAAAGAAAGAACGTCATTAGTTAGCTCCCAAGCGTAAAAGGGGTATGTCTATTATGATTCGGTTAATCATCGAGTTCGTGTGATGTATCATGTCCTTTTTATGGAGAACTGCGTGCAGCTGAACCCCAGGAGAGATTTCGTAAGTTCCTCAATTTCGTTACTCTATTTTTTATTTGATGTCTGTCGTAATGGGGCCTGCTCAATTAGTACGATATTGTCCGCTTTGGGTCAAGCCCGCACGGTTTTACTCTTGGGTGTCCTCCCCAAAAGGCCTCGTACTAATTGGGCTAGGTGGACACTTATATACAAGGGTTCCTTCCCTTGTATTTCCGATGTGGTACTTGGATTGTCCCATAACAATCCTCCCCTCAAGCCAAGGACCACGAACATCGTGTCCTCACCTCAGCGATTATCTTGATCTGCCAAGCCCAAACTTGGATTTCTCCTAGATCCACCAAACCAGATGCAAATCTCAAATCCCGAGGTCACCGAATGAGGGTCCACCAAACTGACGTCCACCGCTCCAAAACGAACCAGGCTCTGATACCACTTGTCATAACGGGGCCTGCTCAATTAGTACGATATTGTCCGCTTTGAGCCAAGCCCACACGGTTTTACTCTTGGGTGTCCTCCCCAAAAGGCCTCGTACTAATTGGGCTAGGTGGACACTTATATACAAGAGTTCCTTCCCTTGTATTTCCGATGTGGTACTTGGATTGTCCCATAACAATGTCGCTACTCACGGACGTTCTTCTTCCCAAGGCCACACGAATGAGGCTTAGGATAAGGTGAGTAACCATTGGCTACTAACCTATGAGTAATTAAATATGGACCCTTAGATCTAAGTGGACCCAGAAAATTCAGATCTAAGGGTTATCAATTAAAGACATTTTATTTTCCCTAGTTTTCATAATCGGCTCATATCTTCTTCGTTTTAACTCGGATTTCAATTTTTTTTGCACACATGGAACGAGTTCGTTGTGCTCTACCAAATAAGATCAATTTTCAATATTTTTCGAGAATTTTTTTTTTACCAACTACATACCATATGGTAACTTCTTCTTTTTTAAGTCGTTTTTGAAAACGTTTGCTCAGAAGGAACGAGTTCATCATGATCTATTGGATCTACAAATTTCTGGGTGAAAAAAAATACTAGACCAAAAATTACCATACTTTACCACCATGGTATGTGGGTGGTAACTTATGGTAAACAATGATGAAAGTCGTAAATGACAGTTAGTATACTCTTACTATCATGTATTCAACCTTCTTACCATATGGGTATGTTCATACCATAAAGGTACGTTTTCTTACCATATGGTATTAAATATGAGCATACCATATGGTAATGACTGGTAAAAAATTATTCAATTTTTCTGTACTAAAAATATATAAAAGTGGATATCATTTTAAAGAGTACATTTAATCTGATTTATCCGTGCAATTTTCAAATTAAATTTCGACTTAAAACGAGAGAAAATTCGTTCGTTAAAGATTAAAGGGGAAAAGATAAAAGACTTTCCAGGAGATGGGATGTTGATGTCATGCGGATGTGGACAGGTTACTGATGGTTACTCACCATAAGGGTTACTGACCTGATCCGCTCCCACGACCGAGCCTTCCGAGGAAGAAAACAATGATCATCATGAGCTACCACAAATGACTACACAGATGCCCCTCTATTCCTCCTCTTTGTCGCTCACAAAGAGCTACCAAAGGTCAATATGGTTTTACAATTTTTTATTTTTTTTTTAACATAAGGCTCGGGTTGAAAGACGTGTCAAGTCTGATTTAGTCACGGTTGAACTACGACTTTAACATAAATATTCTAATGCTAACTTTTCTTATACGACGTATCTCGAGTTGGAATAACTTGTTGATGAGCTAGGGAAATATATAATTCGGGCTGAGATCAGGTGATTAAGGGGGGTCCCCTTAGTCACATGGCTAAGTGAATCTCCACTCTTGCACCTCATTAAAATCCAAGGGCTCCTGTTAATCCAATTTAATGAAGGGCAATGTAGTAATTACATGTTTATTTTTAATTTTTAATTATAAAAAAAAACAGCATCGTTTCCGTCGCCGTCTCATTGCGTCGTCGCCTCCCGTCTCCTAATTGGCCGCCTCTGTTTCCTGGGCGCCATTATTTTCTGTTCTTGGCGCCATTATTAATTACCAAAGAGAGAGGGAGGATTTTTATTCCTTTGCTGTTTCCCCCAAATGCAACGAGAGAGATGCTGGGGATTTTATTCCTTTGCTGTTTCCCCCAAATGCAACGAGAGAGAGAGATTCTGGTCGGAAACTTTTTTTTCCGGCGACCATCGTCGACGGAGAAGAATTTTCCGACGACAGTGCTTTGTGATTTTTGTTGACATATTTTGTACTGTTTGTACGTTTTGTTATTTTGTAATGTTTGTAAACTTTGTTATTTTTGTCAACCATGTTTGTAATGTTTTTTTGTCTAAAAAACAACCTCATTGACTTTTGGATGGAACTTCTCTATATAGGGATGAAGCCTCCAAAGTCAACCCGAGTGTTTTTTTCAGTTCGTATGGATTGTCGGTCTAGTTTGTCATTTTTGTCCACCATGTTCGTACTGTTTTGTATGTCTAAAAAACACCCGGGTTGACTTTGGGAAGGAGCCCCTCTATATAGGGATGGAGCCTCCAAAGTCAACCCGGTTGTTTTTTCTTTTTGTATGGTTTGTATTGTTTGTCGGTCTAGTTTGTATTGTTTGTACAGTTCATACGTTTGTAATGTTTGTGAATCTGTTTGTATGTTTTGTCGCTTTAGTTTGTATTGTTCGTATGTTTGTACGGTTTGTACTGATTGTAAATCCGGTTTGTATACTTCGTAATTTTTCATAATATCCAAACTACCCCTGTCATTAATTAAATAGCCCTTCCCACTTTTTAACCATTGAATTGAAGTGTCAAGATCTAATGACTAGGAGTGGATTAGTCAAGTGACTAAGGACCCCTTAGTCATGGGATCCGCTCTCATATAATTCTCTTCATGAGAAGCCACTAAATCATCACGTGTTCATGAATATATGGTAGGTTAGTGGGGAAAATAACAGTAGACATTTTAGCCAACCCCATATGCAACAGGAACAATGGAACGCCATCACAATTACTTCGGACATGCTACTCATAATTCCATCTTCGTGCCCTCCACTTACCACCAGGCTAAGGGTCATCCTGAATGGGACGGAGCAATGAATGAGGAGCCGCCCTCAAAGCTAATGAAACTTCAGACGTGGTAGCAAAGGAACCAGATATGCCTGTCGTGGGTTTTCGACTTGTAATTGGGTCTTTACCATCAAGATGAAGCAAGATGGGACAATAGATTGAAATAAGACACGTGTTGTGCCACAAGGGTTCAATCAAGAGTATGAGATTGACTATGATGAGACATTTGCTCTAGTTGCAATAATGCAAACTGTCCGATGTGTTCTTATCGTTGCTGCAATGTGTAATTGACCTCTTGTTCAAATTTCAATAGCCATCAAGAATGCATTCTTTCATGGTGATAAGAAAAATTGTTTATATGGTCCCTCTTGCAGGTTACACCAAATGTGGTTTTGGCATGGTGTGTTAACCTCGTCGTTCACTATATGGGCTCAAGCAAGCTCCTAGAGCGTGGTTTGAGAAGTTTCATAGTACAATCCTTCAAGCTGGTTTCTCTCAATGTCAAAATGACACATCTTTGTTTTTAGAGCTAATTCCACTAGAAAGTCTAAACTATCCAAAAAGTGTCATTTGTGTCAAACTATTCAATATGACAAATCTGGCACAAACTATATGCATTTCGGGACATTTGTGTCATAAACTATTCAATATGACAAATCTGGCACAAAACGCATAGCAGCTGACTAGATTTTCTATTCAATACTAACAATCAACGCTGGTCAACATTAACAGAAAATACTTGTTTTTAATACTAACGATCAACGCCGGTCATCACAAACCAAATAGTTTGGTCCATAAAACAACATTTTCCTTCCCATCCAATTTTCTCTCACTTCCAAATTTTTCTTCCACTATATTTTTCTCTCTTTCTTCGAGAACATAATGTACGTTATGCTGACTCGCCACAGATACACCGTGAATTAAATCTCAACTAGAGCTCAAGCATAAACTCTATTCGGGTGCATTATAGGGCAAGTATGTTTTAATTGTCGAACCCGGGTCGGCCCATGTACCCCTACTTCAATTGCTAAGTTTATTGTCTAGCAAACATTTTTTGGGTTAAAAAAAAAAGAAAACAACAAATGAAAACAAGCAAGTAAAGTAAAATGAGGTTGTCCCAATGAGAGAAGAGTTCACCCAGGTATTGTTCCCCCTAGCTACATATCAAGATCACCCAAATCGAATTAAATGTGCGGAGGTGTGTTAATATACCGTAGGAAGGCACAAGTGAAGGAAACCTCACTCTCTTAATCAATTGGTTAAGGAAAAAAATTAAGCTAGGAACCTTAGCTCTCTCAATCAATGGATTAAGGATTTCTACAATAAACTAGGGAGTCTATCTCTCTTAACCTTTCGGCTAAGGATTGCAACAATAAGCCAAGAGTGCACGGTCCCAGTCGCGCCCAGTTCACGGTCCCAGTTGACGACCGTGAACACAGATCAAAACGCACCGCTTCACTTATGGAGTTCACGGTCCATGGCTCCAGTTCACGGTCTTACGACCATGAATTGCCTCGGCGTCAGTAACCTCTAAAACTCATCTGGACGCTCTGCGATTCATGGTTTGTGGTTCCAGTTCACGGTCCTAGCGACTGTGAACTCACTGCTTGGACTCTAAACTGCGGCTGCTTTCTTAGGCACCCGCGCTTCATGGTCACGGGGCAATTTTCACGGCGACTTTGGACTTTTCTTCGATTTCTGCGCTTTTCAACCTTTGATCGTCCCGAAACTCATCCTCGACTCTTCCACATGTGCTAGGACCTAAAATGTATCAAAACAAGCACAACCTAGCGTGAAATACGTCGAGGGACAATGAAATGCAAAGCCAAGCTATCAAAAAATGAGGGGTAAAGTGTGTACAATTGGATCCGAACCACTCCCCTCACACTTGAACGTTTGCTTGTCCCCAAGCAAACCAATCTCGAACAAGGTAATATTTCAACCCAACAACAAAAACTTGGGGACCAATCAAAGGGCACACAATGGATGAATCTCAATGTTTATTTGACATCAACAAATGAACCATCACAAGCAATACCGACCCCAACCACAATACTTGGCGCCAGTAACTTGTAGAAACGCTCTGGAACCCGGCCAGTTTACGGTCACGTTTGGGCATTTTTTCACTTTTTCGCGCTTTTCGACCTCCAATGGACTTGAAATTCATCCTCGACCTTCCCACAAGTACTAGGACCTGAAATGTAACAAAACAAACACAACCTAGAGTAAAATAGGTCGAGGGACGGTGATCTACTAAACAATATGGACAAGAAATGAGGGGTAAAATGTGTGCATTTGGACCCGAATCACTCTCCCACACTTGAACATTTGCTTGGCCCCAAGCAAACTAAGTACAAAACAAGGTAAGCTTGCAACTTCTCTTTTCAAAAAAAATTATTGGGGCATGTAAAAGGGCACAAAACGAATGAATCACAATGGTTATTTGACATCGACCTATGGATAAAAACAAAGTAATCATGGCAACCACCACAAACGACATTCAACTGTATTAAGATTGTGCAAATGAAGAGTTCTCCTAGTATAAGGGGCACTTCTGAGTCTTCATTGATGTCCAAGACAACAAAATCCAACAGATAAAAGAATTTGACAACCTTAACCAAGAGGTCTTCCACTATGCCCCTAGGATGAACTACAGATCGGTTAGCTAATTGAATACTCATCCTAGTTGCACTTGGTTCACCTAGGCCTAGTTTCTTATCCTGCAAGAGTGCCTGCTGGATCCTCTGGCTAGCTTCAATCTCCATGAATTTGCCCGCAGCCACTTCGATGAATTGCTCTAATTTATTGAACTTCTGGGTACTAGTGCTGGCCAAGGTGGTCACTAGATCCCTCAGTTCTGACACGAGATGGCCCGGTGCTGGGACTAATGGAGATGCACCAGGCTGCTGGTACTATTGCTGTTGTGGGGGCTGTTGAAAAGCCTGTCCCTGTCTGGGCTTATAAAATGGTTGTTGTTGCTGCATCTGGCCCGAGCGAGGCTGGTATGGCTGTCTCTGGTTTTGAAAACCACCTGCATGAGCCTAGAAGCCAGGTGGCTTGGGATTTTTGTTGCCATTCCAGGAGAAATTTGGATGCTGGCGCCATCCCTCGTTGTAAGTATTACTGTAGGGGTCATTGCGCCTAGCATTGTTGATGAAGTCCAACTGCTCCTGGGGTGTAGTCGACTCCCTCGTCGCCTAACAGTCTTCTATAGTGTGATGGGAGCTTTCGCACCACTGGTAGTGCATTGCCTGCTGCTGTCATGTACCTGAAACCAATCCAGAACAATCAATGGCTGAGACCAACTTAGATACAACCTGCACCAACTCAGACGACTTGTGGCTACAACATGCACACCCCGATCTCGTGCTCGTCTCGATCTCCTAGCAGTTCCCCAATCATATCCCTGCTCTGCCATCTCTTCAAAGAGTAGATTCAGCTATGATGGCATCTTGGTTAGCATATTCCTGCCGCAAACTAAGTCAATCAGTTGCTTGTCTTCTGGGAAGAGGGCGTGGTAGAAGGTGCCCACCTTGAAGGCGTCAGTGAAACCATGATTAGAACATTTCAGGAAAAGACTGGTGTATCTTTCCCACGCATCCCGAATGGTTTCATGTTCTTCCTGGGCAAAATGAGTGATATGCTTCTGGAGGTCCGCCGTCTTTGACAGAGGATGATAGCGGGTGAAGAACTTGTCCACCAAGTTGGCGAATGTGGTGATCGATCCCAGAGGCTGAGTGTCCAGCCACTCCTTGGCCTGCCCCTCCATAGTGAATGGGAAGTATCTGGCACGCTAAAACACAACACCAAACTGCGACCAAGTGTAATCGCAGTCCGAAAATGCAGTAAGTGGCAAGCTCTATTTGTCAACCCGGGGTCTAGATCTACAGCCTACTCTGTGAATATCTATTATCTAGCAAACTAAGTCGAGTGATTGTGATTTTAATTAAAAGCAGTAAGAAAGCAGGAAATGGTTCAAAGTTCTTTAGCAAGGGAAGAGTCACTCGGGAATGAGCCCCCCTAGCTCCTTAGTTAAGTCGAGGTTGAAATTACCCTGGGTTGATTAATTGTTGATTAAACTGCGGAAGATCCGACAGTAGCTTGGAATCTCTTAAGCTGACCAAGCCCTCTCAGGCAGGCTAACCGGAAGGCGACTAACCTTCACTAGAATAGACTGCTGAAGCAATTAACACAGAACTCCACTATTGGAATTGGGTTCCAGTACAAAGCAGTAAATCGATTAACTCTCATATAACCAATCTACCACTACCGATTGATGAAGCTCTAACAACCTAATCAGATTCTATCTATCTCAGGTTGCAGCAAAAATCAAGAAAAGATTATCAGACTTCAATTGAATCAATGAATCATGCATCAATCGATTATAACCAATCAGTATATCAATCCCAAGTCATTACAATCAAGATTCCTAACACATGGAACTAGGGTTCTTCATATCCAAGTGAGAGAAGGTTCTACTCCATAGAGAGAGAGAGAGAGAGAGAGGAAAACAGAAATAAGAGTAGTCATACTCATAAAGATGAGGATAATCTGCTTTGGGATGTCGATCTTCACTCCTCATGATGCAATCTGGGCTTCAATGGTGAGAAAACCACTCCAAATAGCTCCTAGGGTTTGTTTTTTGCACTTTCTCTCTCCAAGGCTCTGTTTTCTGCTCAAAAACTCGATTCCCCCAAAATATGTGCTCCTCGCCAAATAAGACCTGCACAGGTGCAAAATACGGCCTCTAAGCCCAAAAACACGACCGTGTTTTAACTACAAGAGGCCAGGTTTTTAAATGATGATTCTGTGGAGGGTAGAGGAAAAGCACGGCCTCTAGCACAAGGCCATGTTTTTCACACATGAGGCCGTGTTTGAGGGCATGTTTTTCAACAGCTCTGCTGCACATCCTCGCGACCGACTTTCTTTCACCTCCAAATGTCCCAAAACTCGTCCCAAGGCCATATCTACGTACTAGGACCTGAAATATGACAAAAGAACACAACCTAGGGTAAAATAGGCCAAGGAATGACCAATCACTAAGCTAAACAATCAAGAAATCATGGGGAAAACATCTGCGAATACGGTGTTATCAAATTCCCCCACACTTAATCGTTTGCTTGTCCCCAAGCAAACCATGTTAGACACAAGGTAAGCTCAAAACATCTTAATCATGCAACCCTTGGGGACATATCATATCGGCACAAAACAAGTGAATCATACTGGCTTTTGATAATTAACACATGGACAACTCAACAGCAACCTAGACAACCACCACAGAGGACATTCAAGTGCAGCAAAATCGGGTAAAGGAAGAGGAATCCTTTCTGTTCACTAACCAACATAGACTTGACTCAAACACTTAACCAAGACAATCATCGCATGCATCAAACTCAAGACATCAGAATAAAGACCGAGCCATCTAGGTCCTCACTAGGGTAAAGAGCATAAAGAACAAGGAAATGAATCGCTCACTCTCGACCAGTGGGGTCGGGACAATTTGATGCGAAAAATTTGCATACTTATTCTCTCAAATCCTAATGTCTCTTCACCATGATGGCAGCCTCTAAATGTTAGAGTTCACACAAGGGATGTCACCACTAACTAATCCGGAGGTCTTAGACACAGGTTCAAGTGACTGGCTAGGGTCTTGGACATGGGGAAATAGCCTTTTAGGTGTGGAAGTATTCATAGCACAAGGTTCCATAGTTCCAAACCCAACACAATCACATCCATCAAACCACTTACTTTCTTTCTGCTATTCTGCATTACTCAAATTCCTTAGAGCACAAGAGTGAAGGAGGTCACAATAATGTTAGTATTTCCAAGCCAGACTGCTAAGAACACTAATTAATGAGCATGATTCAAATTTTTGGTAGTGGCTCTCTTTTGCTTCCATTCAACTTTTTTTTTTTTTTTTCATTTCTTGAGAGAACCACCACTTATGCACAATTTTCAAACACATGCCCAACTTTTAAGCACTACATCCAACCCTCACATTATTTTTAGCAGAAACAACAGAGAACAAGCAAAAACCACTCTATGGAACCTTCTAAGAGATGCAAAAGGGTGATTTTCCATTGTAGACCGAAAGAAAGGAAATTAGATGGCTCAAAGGGGCTGACTAGGGGGTATGACACACCAGGACAGTCAATTTGGTCGTGGGCTATTCCTATGCCTCCATCATCTTAGCTAATGACAACCTGAATGCTACGCATCATGGAAGAGGGATCTATCGCACAAGAAAGAAACGAGTAGGCTCAAATCTCACATGGCTACCTATATGCTCTATCTCTCATTCTGATTCCTTGAACTAGATGCATAAACGTCTGTCAAGAACAAGTGATCAATCCAAGTCACAGTTGGTAAGCAAAAAGTTGAAAAACTGAACCCCTACACAACTCTACTGCACGTCTCAGTCATCATTATAGGTTGTCCTAGTCGCAATCCAGTTGTCATGCATTAATTCAAAAGTCATTCAATTCACCAATTAAACCCACAGTGCTAATATGATCAAGCAAACAACAGTACTTGGAGCCGTCAAATCTCAAGATTTGGATAGCGGACTAGCCTCCAAGAAAACATGAGCCATCACAAGGCTCGGCACAAAAATACTGGCATTAATTTGTGAATTACGGTCGTAATTTAGGTAATATAAGCGGTAATTTGTGAATTACGACTGTATTTTTAGGGAGTCTGCCTCAATTTCATTCTCAGCTCCACTTCTGAGAGCCTTTTGAGTGACCGTGCGCATATTCCTTCCTTTATTTGCTAGGACCTGAAATATGACAAAATAACATAACCTAGCGTAAAATAAACAAGGGTGCAAATATGTGCAAATACGACGTTATCAGTTATCTAGCCAACCTAGGATAGTGGGTAATAAAACTAAGCTTACTAACCTAGACTAACCACTAACCTAGCTATTTACAAGGTTTGGAGCTCTCTTGGGTTAAATCCCCCTATTTCCAACCTTTGGATCGATGTTGTGTATCCTCCTAGTTCGATCGACTCAAATACTCTACAGTTTGGAGAAGGACTCCCTCAGGACGGACCTAGAACGGGGAATAGGTGGATGGGTAGGTGCTCTATTCAACCTAGGGTTTCATATATTGCGAGGCCAATTGAATCAACTCCCTCGGGGATTACCCAGACAATATATGATAGGAGTGACCCAAAGACGCCAATAATGGGCTCTAAGGGGATTTTCTCCCTTCTAGGTCAAAATTTCAATTCATGAAAATGAAATCCAAGCTCATGTCATTCATGAAAACATCCATCAATTAAGTAAAATCATCAGTCCAACATGGAATTTGTCACATACATCAACATAAAATCAAAATCAAGACCTAGGGTTCTTAAACCCAAGAGAAGTGGGTGAGTTTCTACATAGAGAAAGAGATTACAAATTGGAGCCCAAGATCTTCTTCTTATAGGCTTGATTCCTTTCTTCCAAGCTTGACCAATGCCTTCAATTAAGCTCCAAGACCACTCAAGAACTCATTCTCTCTCTCTAGAACTCCCCTTTGGTGTTTTGGGTCGAAACCCTAGAGAAAGAAACCAATTCCTCTCCAAAAACCAGCTCCCCCTTTTCTTCCTTCTGCTGCTTCCTTTTATACCTAGATCGAAGGCTGTTCATGGTCTGAGTTCACAATCGTGAACTCAAAGCCTGGACCGTGATCTCGGCCAGAAATGCGACGTTTCGCTATAGCACTTCACAGTCTTACGACCATGAAATGACTTGGCGCCAGTAACTTGTAGAAATGCTCTGGAACCTGGCCAGGTCACGGTCAAGGGGCAATTATCACGGTTGTTTGGGCATTTTTTCACTTTTTTGCGCTTTTCGACTTCCAATCGACCCGAAACTCGTCCTCGACCTTCCCACCCGTACTAGGACCTGAAATATAACAAAACAAACACAACCTAGCGTAAAATAGGCCGACGGACGGTGATCTACTAAATAAAACAGACAAGAAATTAGGGGTAAAATGTTTGCATTTGGACCCAAATCACTACACTATTCATAATTATTCAAATGAGGGCAAATGCATTTACCCTTCCATTTACGAAAAAAGCACAAAATACACATGTTATTAAAAAAAATTCCCAAAATACATAAGTTATAAAAAATCCCAATCTACACATGTTTGACATTCACTATCGTCATCTAACGTAGTGAAGCCATTCCCCGTGTCGAAGAAAAGCGGTAAAATTATCACCGGTTTATCCCCGCCTGAGAAAAACAGTTGTGAATGATTCCCCACCTTTGTTAACAACATTTAAAATATCGTCGCCTTAATTAAAAGCGGGAACACTTCACCGCTGTCGTCAAAAGCGGTGAAGGCTTCACCGCTAGGTTACAACGGGTAACAATTGCCACGTTTCCCACCCCTGGTAGGCGAATAATTAAGTCACAACCACCTAAACTTCACCGCCTTAGGGCAACACGGTGAATGCCTTCACTAATGATGGCAATTTGAACCCGCCACCGCGGGTATTACCCGACCTGACTCGCTATGGGGCGGGTATTACCCGACCCGCAGTAGCGTGGGGCAATGCATAGGTATCTACTTACGACCCACCCCGCCTCGCCCCACCCCGATATTGGCCCATTCTACCTCACTTTCGTACAATATCTTTACATATTTCTCTTATTTTGAGTTTTCTTCAACTAGTTAGAGTTTATCTTTCAACTGGTTAGACTCAATTATCCATTCTATTATCACTATTTTTCATTCATAAAGTGTTTTCCCCTTCGTTTTATCGTAAAAGTAAAATTTGTGTATGTTGTTTTCAAATAACATGTAAGAGTGGTTCGACCCGCCCGTCGCGTACCCGCATGGGTTTTTACCTGCCCCTACCCATAGTAGCGTGGGGCGGGACATGGGTATTGAGCAACACACCTCGCCTCGCCCCATTGCCATCACTAGCCTTCACCGCTTTGCATAACGGCGGTGAATGCACTATGTTTGTCAAATAAATACCCCCTCCCATTTAGCTGTTGCCGAAACTACATCCCCATTTCTCATCCCATTTCGTAGCCTCTCCGCCATTTCTGTCAAATTTAAGCAAAAACCCCATTGTCAGCCTGCTTCCAGCAACTACGGTTACAGAAACTCCAATTTCTTTGTATGATATAATTATGTATTGTTTAGATTTTTATGCTTTAGTAATTATGTGTATGTATTTAATGAATTACTATTAGTGGCAAATATAAGTAGTTAGAGATATTTAGATTAATTATGATATGATTGATGTTAGTTAGTTATGAATTTAGATGAATTTGTTTACTATACTCATATTATTGTAATGTTAATTATGGTTCATGTTTCGATTAGTTAGTTGTGTTTGTTTATGAGTTTGGATGATATTATTTTCCTAGCCCTAAAAATATGGTTTTGGTTAATGTTTATGTAGCACCAAGTACTAATTATAATATACTAATTTCATTCTACTTAAGCTAATAGTTACTTATTATGAATTGCAGATATGGATAAATTTAAGAAGTTTCAGCTTCTTGTTCGGTGGCATGGTCGGGTGAAAAACTCTGACATTGGGATCGATTATGAAGACAATGAAACCACTATGTTGACAATTGAATCGAGATTCACGTGGCAAGAACTTCGTGACATTTGTGCATACAGAATTTGTATGGGCGAACAGGCGAGAGTTGGTAAAATTACTTACCGGTATCTAGACATGAGTGCTGGCGGGGTTATGTACAAAGAAGTTTTCATAAACGATGATGACGTGGTTACCATGATGTTACAGTTCCTACGTGACAATGGGATGCGACTTGCAGAGGTGTGTTGAGATCGAGGCGGTCGGTGAAACTCATTCTCACCAGTATTCTTATGATGATGGTTTTACAGGAGGGTACGGATGGGGAGGTAGTTCAAGCAACGACGGAGAAGGTAGTTCTGCAGGAGGGTACTGATGGGGTGGTAGTTCAACCAACTACAGAGGAGGTAGTTCTGCAGGAGGGGTGCCATGGGAAGAATACCCGCAATGTGCTGAACATGCCCCATTTTTTGAGCTCGACATCGTTCAATAGCTTGCTTAGGGCCATAGTGGGATGACATTGAGAACACCATTCGATCTAGGCGTACTTCGCAAGAGCAAGAAGACAATGTTGGTGATGGTGGTCCCGATGATCCGCATGGCCCGAGCTATCCATTCGACTCCAGCGACAAGGAAAGTGCGGAAGATTTGAGATCAGTGATCAAGGAGGAAGATACTGACGATACGGACGACGAGGTGCCATTTTGTGAGCCACCAACGCCATACTACATAGAGGTTCCATCTCAATTTTTATATAGTCAGAACGATGCCCCCAACTTTCTCCCTATGCCAGTGTATAAACCGATGACCAATTTGGAGGTGGGTATGGAGTTCGCATCAAAAGATACTGTTCAAGATGCTTTTACCAAAGAAGCCATGCTGCGCAATTTCGAGTGGAAGGTAAAGTATTCTGACGGCAAACAACTACATGTCATATGCAAGACTGCTGGAAAGGTTTGTATGTGGCAACTATGGACTGCAAATATGAAGAGAAAGGGTGCTTGGGTCATTCTAAAAGCAAAGAACAACCACAGTTGCTCCTCGTCCATACTTTCCCAGGATCACCGTCAACTTAAAGCAAAGAAAGTGGGGAGATCATTAAGCAATTGATCGAGGCACAACCAGATATCAAGATTAAAGCTATCATGGCCGAGGTGAAGGATCGACATTTAATGAGTACATATTTACACATGTTTCACCCCTCATTCCTTGATTGTTTAGCTTGGTTTTTATCCTACTTTGGGCTATTTTACTCTAGGTTATGTTCCTTTGTCACATTTCAGGTCCTAGCATGTAAAGTGAAGCCTTGGTGCAAGTTTCAAGTCAATCGGAGATCAATTGGCGACTCGGGGTGAGAAACTCGGGAATGACTTGAGGAAGAATGGATTTCTACCTCATTTTATTAACAAATAATCATGAAATCTTGTCATGAAAAAAAATAGGATAAGACTACGAGCATCTGGGATCAAAAGGCACCTGAATCGGAGGTCAAACGAGCTCAAACGAGAGCAACGAAGCTTAGGAGTGCATGCTGGAAATTGTGCACGGCCGTGTAAAATTATGCACGGCCGTGTGAGTTTCCAGGGGGGTTTGCACGGCCAAAAATTCAATTTGCACGGCCGTGCAAGTAGGGGGTGCGAGTTTCAGCGGGTATAAAAGCTGTTTTGCGATTTTTGGAGAGGGAGAGCTGGGTTTTGGATCCCAAACACCCAAGGGACGAACCCTAGAGAGAGAGAGCGACTGGGGATCATTCTTGTACCTATTTTGGAGGATTTATTCACCATTGGAGCTCGAGAATCAAGCTTGGACCTAATTGAGGATCTAGGGGGAATCGTACCTAAGTGAATTCCCAACTTGTAATTAGTAGTTTAGCCTTAGCTTAGTTAGTAGAGTAGTTTAGTAAATCAATCATTAATCTGGTTTGCTAGATAATGAACTGAAGCTGAGTAATAGTAACTCTAGAGACCCGTGGATTCGATATTTATTATTGTGCCACTATACTGCAGTCCCTTTCATTGGATACACTTGGCCATTGTTCGGAGTTGTGTCGTAGCATGTCAAGTTTTTGGCGCCGTTGCCGGGGAATTTCTAGATTATTAGGAAAGGCATAAGTTTGTTACTTTAGCATATTTTTTTTCCACCCTTGCTTTTCACTTGGGTGTTTTTGTTTTAGTTCGTGCAGATCTGAATCATGGATCCTCATGGCTTCTTCAACCATTGGGGGTATCCACCACCACCCGAGTGGTATTACCCCGACACATCCTGGAGCAATCAAGCAGGAGAAGGTTATGGATTCGGGTTTCAATACCAACCCCCTACTATGGAGAACAACCAGACCCTTGGGAACCTCAAGAACAATGTTCTTATCAGGAAGAATTCCTCCCACAACCAGAAGGGCCATCGGAGTTGGAGTTCATTGCACAAAATGTTGCCCAACGTGTGTGGCACCGTTCATTGCACAAAATCGGGTTTTGGAAGAGATTTTAGTGATCCTTAGTGGGATGTACACCTACAAGGTGAAGCTAAGCCGTCTCTAGTACGAGTAAAATTTCCACCCGTTGAACGGTTTGCCTACTTGAGGATGTGTTTTTAAGGGCACGGATAGAGCTTCCGACACCCCTTAATTTCATTGACCCTCCACACGAAGTGAGGAAAAAGAGTTAAAAGAAGTACTCTGGCGAGCGACAGATGTACAAAAATTGCTCTTGCTCAACTAATAAGGGCCGACCGGGCATACAAATTATTGTTGGAACCCCAGTAAAGTAAAGCAAAAGAAGAACAAATAATGCGAAAAGGGGTTCCAACAAGTGAAATGAAATGAAAGAGCACCCGATACAAAGAGTCCTTGGTTGTTGAATTGTGTGAGTCCCTCTATCCATGAATTGGTTGTCTTTGTTTTGCTGCTTCTCATGATCCTGGCTTGAGCCTAGTACTCGCATTAAGAGAGATAGGGGACGTCTTAGAAGACCAGTTGACCTCGTAAGATGCTAAATGATCTAGGAAATCCTCTACCGACGATCGGGGTTGTATGTGGTTGTAAAGGACTGGAGAGTTACATTGGTTTGAGTCAGGTTTCCTTGGGGACAAGCAAACAGTTAAGTGTGGGGGAATTTGATGACTACATATTTACACATGTTTTATCCCTCATTCCTTGATTGTTTAGCTTGGTTTTTATCCTACTTTGGCCTAATTTACGCTAGGTTGTGTTCCTTTGTCACATTTCAGGTCCTAGCATGTAAAGTGAAGCCTTGGTGCAAGTTTCAAGTCAATCGAAGATAAATTGGCGACTCGGGGTGAGAAACTCGGGAATGACTTGAGGAAGAATGGATTTCTACCTCATTTTATTGACAAATAATCATGAAAGCTTGTCATGAAAAGAAATAGGACAAGACTACGAGCATCTGGGATCAAATGGCACCTGAATCGGAGGTCAAACTAGATCAACGAAGCTTAGGAGTGCACGCTGGAAATTGTGTGCGGTCGTGTAAAATTCTGCACGGCCGTGTGAGTTTCCCAGGGGGTTTGCATGACCAAAACTTCAATTTTCACGGCCGTGCAAGTAGGGGGTGCGAGTTTCAGCAGGTATAAAAGTTGTTTTGTGATTTTTGGAGAGGGAGAGCTGGGTTTTGGATCCCAAACACCTAAGGGACGAACCCTAGAGAGAGAGCAACTGGGGATCATTCTTGTAGCTATTTTGGAGGATTTATTCACCATTGGAGCTCGAGAATCAAGCTTGGACCTAATTGAGGAGCTAGGGGGAATCATACCTATGTGAGTTCCCAACTTGTAATTAGTAGTTTGGCCTTAGCCTAGTTAGTAGAGTAGTTTAGTAAATCAATCATTAATCTAGTTTGCTAGATAATGAAATGAAGCTGAGTAATAGTAACTCTAGAGACCCGTGGATTCGATATTTATTATTGTGCCACTATACTGCAGTCCCTTTCATTAGTTCACTTAGCCATTGTTCGGAGTTGTGTCGTAGTGTGTCAAGTTTTTGGCGCCGTTGCCGGGGAATTTCTAGATTATTAGAAAAGGCATAAGTTTGTTACTTTAGCATTTTTTTTTCCACCCTTGGTTTTCACTTGGGTGTTTTTGTTTGTGCGGATCTGAATCATGGATCCTCATGGCTTCTCCAACCATTGGGGGTATCCACAACCATTGTGGAGCAGACAGAAGTTGTCACGAAGAGCTCTCGTGATGATCATGATCAGGAATGTCGTGTTGTAGCCAACCACACCTTTCCACATCTCACACAGAGCTTTGAAGAGGTGGGCATGTGTGAGGATATGCAAGATGATCTCATTAAAGAAATTGCTTGGCGACTTGCTCTCCACTCCGTGCTGAAAGAAGAAGAGCGAGAAAGGACGAGGAAAGAAGTTGTGGAGGATGACAGAAGTGAAGTAGAGGAAGTTCTTGATCTTTTCCCAGGGGAGGAATCAAATTTTGAGGAAGGAAGGGGGAGTTGAAGAAGCAATTGGTGTCCAAGCTTGACAATCAAGCTTGGACCTAATTGAGGAGCTAGGGGAATCATACCTAAGTGAGTTAATTACTCAATGTTCAGATGAAATTTCTCATGTATTGACCAGTTATTTTTTTCACCTTGAAGCGTTCACATCAACCAAAAAAGTACGAGCATAAGATGAAGACGAACCGTCAGATACACCAGGCGGGGGCAGTATGGGCTAAAGGTCAAGATTTGCACATGTGGATACTCCATATGGACAACGAGGCTAGATTCGGCATTTCAACTACCAACCATACGAAAGTATAAATGGAGTGTACAACGGCCTTAGGGTGATGTATGTTTCTGTCATAGTGGAGATGTCATACTGGAAGGTCAACGAGTGGTTTGTGCAGAGACTTCAAGAAGCTATATGGAGGGAGTATGTTGGACATGCGATAGCACGTCACGTCTTTGATAAAATGCAGAAGAAAGAAGAAAAATTAAGTAAACATATAGTTGTTCTTTTCAACCATAGTGAATGTGTTTTTGCTTTCGAGACATGTATATGGGTGAATGAAGATGTGGGCACAATCATCAATCCGTTACTCTACACATAGAAACTTGTACCGGGGAGTGTACATGCCAAAAGTGTAAAAACATACGAGTACCTTGTTCTCATGCAATATCAGTAGCTAAGTCAATAACCATCAGCCCTTACGGTCTGGTGAGTCCTTACTTCACCGAACAGGAGATCAGGAACTCTTACTCGTCCAATTTTAGCCCACTTCCAGATGAAGCTTATTGGTCTGTAGACAATGGGAAATTAATTATCCCACCGTTGCACCTAACGTTTACCAAGGGCCGTCCTAGGAGTGAAAGGATTCACAACGAGATGGATCAATCATAACGACTGTAGCGAGGTCCGAAATGTTGCTTTAAGTGCAGACAGCCTGGACATGACAAGAGGCATTGCCCAGGTCCATCTCTCCAACAAGGTTCAGGTATAAATCTGGACCAAGTTTAAGGCTTTTGTTTTTCAACATTGTTGTTAAGTTGTAATGATGTTTAAGTTGGGCATTTAGTTTAATCTTGTTGAGTGATTGTAATGAAGATGGAATTATGATCAATGGAAAACACAATATCAGACTACATTAAGACAACATGGATAGTTCATTGAAAACACAAGACCTAACTACAAGACCAAAAAAACCAAGACAAAATAGATAGTTCACTTCTCGCCTTCATTTTGTTCCCCATCTCTCCCTCTTCCTCGTCCTCCACAACGTCCTCGACCCCTTTTTCCTCCTTCTTCGTGAGCTTGTTGGACAACTGCTCACGGATTCCTCTTAACCCGACCCCATCGGAGTATACACGGTGGTGGAGGTAGAGGTGTCTGAGATGGACCAGTAGACTAGTAGTAGCTCGATGCATGAGACTGAGCTTGTGGGGTCGGGTACACCGGAGTCCGGTGCTGATGGTAGAATTTTGGGAACCCTTGGGGAAACATGTCTCCCTCCTTAGATGGCGCATAGGTCGAGGACCCTCCAGCCTGAGATGGGGCATAGGTCGACGACCCTACACCGTAGTTGTCCACTCGTATGGAAGGGTTTCGAGAAGGCGTGTAGCTTCAGTCGGACGAAGTTCTTCAATTGTTGGCTGAGCCCTCTTTTTGCTCCTACGTGGGGGCACAAATGGGGGCACAATGCTCTCACCACCAAGGAAAGATGGACGGGTAGGAGCAAGTTGTGGAGGGTATGCTATGACATCTCTCCTTTGTTCATGGGTACAACTCAACAGGTTGTGTAACACTCCGACCTTTGAATTTAGGCTCGACCTTACGTGAATGGTTGGATTAACGGTTACGTACGAAGGGTTGCAACCGCAGATTATGAATGATAATAACTATTATTATTATATAAAATTAAAACTACTCGGCCATATAAAGGGGCCGAGCAGCCCCTCACTTCCCCCAACTCTCTAAAAATAAAATTAAAAAACCCATCCTCCCCTGCAAGCAACCCACCCCCTGCCTCTCAAACCCCGCCGCCAATCCGAGTCCCTAGCGCAAGGTGAATTTCCCCGGCGCGAGGAGAAAAGAAGAAGCCCAATGCCGGTTCCGACCACGATCTCATCTCTTTCGTGTTTCTAGGTAAGGATCACGAACCCGTTCACGATTTCGAATCTCGATTCATCGATAGTCTAATCCGAATCTAGCCCTAGGCACATTCTAGAGGTAAGGGAACTCGATCGACGAGGAGATCAAGTCCCGAGCCATCCAATCTAGCCCTAGGCACGTTCTAGAGGTAAGGGAACTCGATCCCTTTGAGTTAGATCGACTGATTTGATGATTTTTCGTGAGGGTGCAATTCTGGGTTTTTAGCAACAGACGTTACAGGCTTTTAGTGACATATTTTGGGTGGTCACGAAAGTTGCTGAGAATTTGCAGAAACTTATTTTGGATGTTTTAAATTGTTTCGAGCCCTTGTGGTTTTATTTTCGTAGGTTTAATAATTTTATAAATTGAGGGTGGTCTAGGAGATGACTGTAATTTAAATTGGGGATTTTGAAGATGGATTTGAGTGATGGATTTGGCCATCAAATCCCAAATATCACTTGACGAAATCTATCGTTTGTTGGCTAAAAAATTGAAACACAAATCCGTGGGTCCCACGGATTTGAGCATTTTTTTTGGGGCCAAATCCGTGGGGCCCACGGATTTATCAATCCCACGTTCTATTTGGTATTTGGCTGGGGGCAGAAAAATGTGGATGGAAAAAGACACTCCTATCCCGTTATTACTTCTATATTCCAATTTTGACCTTGCTGAGTTATTTTGTCGTTGTCTAATTTGCTTGCAATCTGTTTCTTTTGGTGGAGCTCGAGAGAAGTAGAAAAGAAAGGGAAAAGGCCATTTGCTTGCAATCTGTTTTTTTTGGTGGAGCTCGAGAGAAGTAGAAAAGAAAGGGAAAAGGCCATCTTGCTGAAGGAGTCTAGAATCGTTCGTCGTATCTCGAGGGCGTTTAAAGCCAAACAAAATTAATTAGGAAATGTGGTACGTTTAAAGGGATTATTTCTAGAAAATTTTTAAAGGGGGTTAAGAGACCTTTGGAGCGAGACTCGAGGGCAAGATTTTGAGGAGAGGATGTTCTAGTGATTCAAAAGGGGTTTTAAATCGATAAAAGTCGTCTAAGAAAATGGATTCTTATTAATAGGTATGCCCAAGATAATCCGGCTAAGGAGGGGTTTCTTCGAGGAAGGAATCGAGGAGTCATCTTTTCAAGGTGAGTGTAAAGGGGGTAATATCTCAGTCGTAGGTCTTTTAGTTTATGCTTTTATTTTCAGTAATGTTAGTTAATTTTTGAGTAAGGTCTATTATGTGTGTGAGGCATCCCACCGCCTACTTAAGGTGAGGGCACGCGTTGTGCTATGTATGTGATGTATGTTTGTATGTAAGATGAACCCCCGAGCGGTTGGGCCACTACTGGACACAGTAGATAGTCGGATCACTGCTAGACGACGAGACGTAATGCACCAGTTGATCGTGTATGTTGGGGTCACTACTGGACGGCGAGACGTAACGCAGTAGTTGACCAGGCATGGACTGGATGGCGAGACGTAACGTAGTGCCATTGCCGAGTTTGGGTATGAAACCGGACGGCGAGACGTAACGCGGTTTGCATACTAGGGTAGGGTCACCGGACGGCGAGACGTAACGCGGTGGTCCCTAGTGTTGGTGTCTATGGATTTAGAATATAAGCAAGGAAATTTTAAAGATAAAGATAAAGGATGAAAGCGAGAACGACTTTTGTCTAAGTCAAGAACCCGAATAATGTGTTTAATAAGGAGTTTCTTAGGTGCGATGACATTATGAAGTAACGACGAGACTGAACCCTTCTCACTCGCCAGGTGCAGAGAGGAGAAGAGGACGGATCCATCAATAGGAGGTTACCTGAGGAGAGCAGCCGCGGCAAACCTGAAGATGTCAACTAGATCTGGGAAACGGGATTGGACCTCCCATTATATGTTTCTTTATTTTCATGTCTTAATTAGTATACTGGGAAACTCAAGGATTGTGTTTTATGTTTTGTTGCTCTGGATTGAGGTCTCCCAAGTGTTTAGGGCATTTCACTTGAAAATCTTAAACATTGTTGTTGTTGATTTTTGGTTTTGACTTGTAAACCTGTTTTGGGTTGCTCCGGAGTAACCAGTTTGTGGTTTGAGTTATGGTTTGGTTTTCAAAAAGGATCGGGTCATTTCATTTTGGCATCAGAGCCGGCATTCCTCTGTTTCTTGGTCTCCAAGGAATACTAGAGTGACGATCTGGGTTTTCAAAGGTTTAGTTTTAAAGGAAAAAGGAAATTTCAAGAAAAACAATAGTTGGCCAACCGATTTGAAAAGGTTTATAGAGTCTCCAGTATACTCAAGCATGATAACACATTAATGTGGTTCTAATAAGGGTACTACTTACTTGCAGAGCAAGTAACACCAATGTTAACCACGCGGCAGCTAGGCAACCCCCGAATTATGAGGCTTTCTGGAGCTGAGGAGTGGTTGATTTTGATGAGGACCGCTCGAAGGATGCTAGTGAAGTAAAGAAATGGATGGCGAAGGTCTCGCGCACGTTGACTGAAATGAATGCAAATGATGTGGACAGGGTGCTACTGACAGTATCCCTCCTCCAGGATTTAGCATACAATTGGTGGTGCACCCAGCCAGCTAGCTCGGAAGACCCACCAGCTATCACTTGGCCAGAGTTGGTGCGGGTGTTCCGGGATCACTATGTACCAGAGGCCTATCGACTTAGCAAAAAGAGGGAATTTTTGCTAATCAAGCAGGGATGGGTCGATGAAGGAGAGGAGGGTGTTGCAGAGTACACTTGCAGGTTCGAGAAGCTGATGCCCTACGGGGGACCCGAACTCCAGGATGCAGCATCTCATCGTGCCCACTATTTGGAGAGTTTGAAGCCTGCCCTTAAGAAGTTATTGAGCATGCTAGCGTGGAACAGTCGGGAGGAGATTTATCAGGCGGCTCTTCGGATAGAGAGGGCTGACACAGCTGTGCATGAAGAAGGGATACAACGAGAGGGAAGCAAGAGAAAGGCAAGTAGCATGCTAGAGTGGTCCGGCCAGCCCAGTCAATACAGGAGGAGGCAGAGCGGTACCGTTAGCTTTGGGGGTACTCAGAGTCAGGCCTGCTCGGTCCGGCCTAGTCAAACTTTCGGCAACAAAGGTCTCTACACCCAGTGTGGTCGGGAACACTCAGGGGAGTGTAGGTAGCCCCCCAGGGTCTGCTATAACTGTAACGAGCCTGGGCATTTTGCCAGAGAATGCCCCTGAAGAGGAGGACAAGGGATGACTCAGTACGAGCAGTCTGTCTTGGGTGGTGGAGCGAGGACTCACGTAGGACCACAGTTTGGCGGCCAGCCGAACTGCTCCTTCTAGAGCCAGGAAGGACGCACCGGGCGATTCGACCGCACTGATCGGGACAGAGACCAGGGGCCTCCAGCAGGGGGACAGCCTAGGGTATTTACCATACAATGGATAGAGGGCGACCGTGGTGACAATGGAGGGGACGAGCAACTACAGTGATGTAATCATGTGAAGCAAATTGGGAGACTAGGGAGATGAAGTATTTATTCTAATCATAGACCGCCAGTTGGTTGTTTTTTTGAAAGACGCTCTTTTAGTTTTAGTACTCGGTACCAACCTATTAAATTAGTTCGGACCAAAATTTTGAGGTCGAAATTTTTTTTTAAGGGGGAGGGAAATTTTATATTCTAGCTTGAGAAGTTAGAGTCAAACACCAAAAGTTTAAGACCAAGTAATTATCGTTCCGGTTCCAAATTTCGGGGAAGAAATTTTTATAAGGGTGGATGAAATGTAACACTCCGACCTTTGAATTTAGGTTCGACCTTAATACGTGAATGGTTGGATTAACGATTATGTACGAAGGGTTGCAACCGCGGATTATGAATAATAATAATAATAAATATTATATTATTATTATAGAAAAAAATTAAAACTACTCGACCAGATAAAGGGGCCGAGCAGCCCCTCACTTCCCCTAACTCTCTAAAAATAAAAATAAAAAAACCTCCTCCCCTGCAAGCAACCCACCCCCTGCCTCTCAAACCCCGCCGCCAATCCGAGTCCCCAGCGCGAGGTCAATTTTCCCGGCACGAGGGGAAAAAAGAAGCCCAACGACGGTTCCGACCTCGATCCCATCCCTTTCGTGTTTCTAGGTAAGGATCACGAACTCGTTCGCGATTTCGAATCTCGATTCATCGATAGTCTAATCTGAATCTCATATTTTATTAGCGATGACGTTTGAGGGTTCGATCGAAGAGGAGATCAATGTCCCGCGCCATCCAATCTAACCCTAGGCACGTTCTAGAGGTAAGAGAACTCGATCCCTGTGAGTTAGATCGATCGATTTGGTGATTTTTCATGAGGGTGCAATTCTGGGTTTTTAGCAACAACTGTTACAGGCTTTTAGTGACAGATTTTGGATTGTCACTAAACTGCTAGGAATTTGCAGAAACTTATTTTGGATGTTTTACATTGTTTCGAGCCTCTGTGGGTGTTTTGTTCCTAGGTATAACAATTTTATAAATTGAGGGAGGTCTAGGAGATGACAGTAATTTAAATTGGGGATTTTCGAAGATGTATTTCTATTTTTAGAAACACAATTAAATAAAAATCTTATCGAGGGGATTTTATTGGTTTGATAATTTTACAGTGTATAGATGCTCATGGTAGACATAGGAAAATTATTATCCGTATTTTAAAGAAGGTTCAAGTTAAGTGAAAAATTCATACAGGACGAAATTAATTAGGAAAAGTGGTCGGTTTGAAGCGATTATTTCTAGAAAATTTTTAAAGAGGGTTAAGAGATCTTTGGAGCGAGGCTCGAGGACTGGATTTTGAGGAGAAGATGTTCTAGTGATTCAAAAGGGGTTTTAATGGAGAAAAGTCATCTAAGAAAATGGATTCTTATTATTTATTAATAGGTTTCCCCAAGATAATTCGGCTAAGGAGGGGTTTCTTCGAGGAAGGAATCGATGAGTCATCTTTTCGAGATGAGTGTAAAGGGGGTAATATCTCAGTCGTAGGTCTTTTAGTTTATGCTTTTATTTTCAGTAATGTTAGTTAATTTTTGAGTAAGCGCGATTATGTGTGTGAGGCATCCCACCGCCTACTTAAGGTGGAGGCACGCGTTGTGCTATGTATGTGATGTATGTTTGAATGTAAGATGAACCCCCGGGCGGTTGGGCCATTACTGGACACAGTAGATGGTCGGATCACTGCTAGACGGCGAGACGTAACACAATAGTTGATCGTGTGTGTTGGGGTCACTACTGAACAGGGAGACGTAACGCAGTAGTTGACCGGGCATGGACTGGACGGCGAGACGTAATGCAGCGCCATTGTTGAGTTTGGGTATGAAACCGGACGGCGAGACGTAACGCGGTTGGCATACTAGGGTAGGGACACCGAACGACGAGACGTAACGCGATGGTCCCTAGTGTTGGTGTCTATGGATTAAGAATATAAGTAAGGAAATTCTAAAGATAAGATGGGAGTGGAGATCTCTTATAGACTGTTTGATAACAAAGTATAAAGGATGAAAGCGAGAACGGCCTTTGTCTAAGTCAAGAACTCGAATAATGTGTTTAGTAAGGAGTTTATTAGGGTGAAGACCTTAGGAAGTAACGACGAGACTGACCCCTTCTCACTCACCAGGTGCAGAGAGGGGAAGAGGACGCATCCATCAAGAGGAGGTTACCCGAGGAGAGCAGCCGCGGCAAACCTGAAGATGTCAACTGGATCTGGGTAACGAGATAGGACCTCCCATTATATTTGTCTTTAGTTTCATCTCTTATGGAGTATACTGGGAAACTCAAGGATTGTATTTTATGTTTTGTTGCTCTGGATTGAGGTCGCCCAAGTGTTTAGGGCATTTCACTTGAAAATCTTAAACATTGTTGTTGTTGATTTTTAGTTTTGACTTGTAAACCTGTTTTGGGTTGCTCCGGAGCATGGTTGTCACGCCGGCCGGCGTGCCATTGGTTGTACCTGGTTCAACCGATACCGGTCATAAAACCGGCGTGACACCACCGGTATGATCGATATACGAATCTCTAAGTAAAATGACCTTACTTTAGTGAATTTAATTGATAAAAATTATTTTATTATTTATTTTATTAGTATAAAAGTTAAATATTGATGCTATTTGTTGAATTCAAGAATAAATGTTTAGGTATTGACGTTAAACGTCATGTGTTAAATATGTGTATTTATAATTTTATTTATAATATTGACCGGCATGAACCGGCACAAACTGGTATGTGCCACCGGTTAAACCATTCCACTCGCTAAACCGGCACACTGCATAAATAATGGGACGAAGAGGGAGACTTGAGATCACATACCAAGCTACCCATCACAGCTCCTTGCTTTGACACCCATCTAAGCGTGAAGTTCTAGTACCACTACATTTATCCATCGTGGTACTAGTACCCCATAGGCCTCGTCTCTGGAATCCCTTGGACCACCCAAGTCGCTCTATTCTCCCAAAATTTGATGTAAAACTCATGCTTGCATATCCAATCCTTTGACTGGTGGCGTAGGTTGATGGAATGGAGCTCACTGAACCATTGAGGCGGGGATGTTGAAATCGGTTGCTCCAATCGATATTGCCTCAAAGATCGATCCGGCAGTTGCCACTCAATGATATGCCAGCAGATCAAGGGCACCTTGCACAACCACGTCAAATTATCCTCGATGTGTCTAAGACGATGCATCTCGACCACTTTAAGTGGATATGGGTCATATGTCACATACACTCATTACTAATTTGCAATTATAACCAATTATATTCACACTAATACTAAGAAGTTAAAATATTGAATTGTTATGTTTACCTGGTTCAAGACTTATCAAACTCAGCACGATAAAAGAGTAAAGAGTGCTCAGGTTGGGGTTGTTTGTATTTGGTCTGATCCACCTTGTAAATAAAAGTACGCATATAAGAAGTTTTTAAAGCATGTACGAATTTCTAAAGCATCTAATCAATTTATGTAATAAACTAAGCATGAAATAAATCTCAATTAAATAAAGCTAGACATGAAATAAATCTTAATTAAATAAAGCCAAACAAGTAAAAAAAAATTAGCTTTAATAAATCTAAGTAATTTAACTAAATAATACAAAGTTAAAAGTAAAGTAAACTTACTTCACACCATAGGGGGATTTTGGACAAAGCGTAGCTCCTCATTTTGTGCCTATAATTCCCGCGTCTCGAGGTGCGAACATCGAAAGATGCTTCCATGCCCAGAGCTGGAGGATGAACATCGCACCACCAGCTTGTTTCGCTCCCAGCTTCGACCAAGTACAGAGCTCCCTATATATCCCAGCTACCACTGCCGACCCCCAACTCTTACTTCCGATCATATCCCTGTCACCGAGGAGCAACAACAACCGCATGCCATGTATCCACTTGTTTGCCTTGTTAAGGAATAAAAATACACCAACCAAGCCAATGAGGTAGACGTGTGCATACCGCTCCACTTGATCTTCTGGTGTGTTTGGGCCGAGCTGAACCTCATTCTGGATGTGATCAACGAGCCACGGGATAGATATTTGCACCCCATTCAGTGGTGGATGCCCACATCCTGGGCATTTAGTCTGTAGGGGTGGGCAACGGCTAGTTGGGTATACCCATACCCATCCTATTTTTTTAGGGTTACGGATACTCAAGTACCCGTATTTTTTTATGAAATGGGACTTGGGATCAACAAATTCTACAATGGGTACCTGTGGGTTACCCATTAATACCTGTTTGGGTATTACGGGGTACCCGTACTACCCTCCTTCCTCCTATTCACTTCCAAGCTTACCCGTAATACCCACCCTCCTCCTATTCACTTTCAAGCTCCCTGCTACCTTGCCTCTCACTACCTTTCTTTTCCCTACACTCTCTGAATCTGTGATTAAAGCAAAATTCTGCCCATTCTCTTAGGGGTCGTTTGGAAGTTGTGAATGTTAAATCGTTGCATTGTAATGAATCACCATAATATAAATGCATGTATTGATACAATTGGTGCATTTTAACAATACATTGTTTGGTTGTTGAGATTCTACTTTATGCATTGATTTACATAAAGTTATTTTTATGGGGAAATCTCACATTTATCCTCAACTTTTAGAATAAGACAAAAAACTATTAGGGATATAAATGGAAAGAAAAAGTTTCTAAAACCAACAATCACAACAATCTCAACTTTTAGTTGAGATTGTATAATGCATCATTTTTTGTGATTGTTGGTGGGACCTTGTTTTACACTTTGACACTTCCAAACATTGTATTGTGCACAATACATGTATTCAACAAACACAACTTTAACAATCACAACTTCCAAACGACTCCTTGATATAAGGTGAATTTGTGGTTAAAGCAAAAGTAGTTTTACGTGCAAATTTAAGTGCATGAGTGCATGAAAAAAAAAGGAATTGCTGCTGACTAGAATGAAACAAGAGCCGGACATGATGTTTCCAAAAATCGACTTTATGAGAAAACGGAACATTTTGTTCAAAACATATGTATATGTTTGTGAAGCAGTTAGAAAATTGATGGTAAAAGTGTATTCCGTGAAATGTTGCTTTTATGGGTTACCCGTGGGTACTCGTTATCCATCCCGTACGGGTAATAGGTACCCGTTAACCCATACGAGTTTGGGATATGGGATGAAATTTTCTCTTCAAATGGGATTGGGTACCCGTTTTAAACGGGACGGGTACCCAGTCCCGCCCCGTTGCCCACCCCTATCAGTCTGGGTCGGCATGTTGAAGCCCAGACGATTGAGAATCAACGGCCCACAGCCTAATTCGGGTCTCCCCGAGTATCCGATGATCGCATCTCTAATGACCGACATTACGGTGAGGATGGCAACGTCTCTAAGGGTGATCATCATTTCCCCCTTGGGAAAATGGAACGTATGTGTTTCGGACGCCGTCGCTCTGCCATTGCCGTCAGCGGATGATTGTCGATCTCAATCCGCATGAAGTGTCTCACCATATCCAAACTTGTCATCTCTAGATACGGTGAGAGTCGAGCATGCCAAGCAGACAAGCGTGTTGTCCCTCTATGAATGACGGGAACAAGTGAATTCTACAAAACAAAAATCCTGAACACAAAAGATGTTAGTCAAAGGAAACCAAAATACTAAATTAAATAAAGGGAAGCATGAAATAAAACTAATTTAAATGAAACTAAGCATGAAATAATCTAAATTAAATATAACTAAGCGTGAAATATATCTACATTAAATAAAGCGATATATGAAATAAATTTAGATTACATAAAACTAAGCATGAAATAAATCTAAATTAAATAAATCGAAGCAAGAAATAAATCTAAATTAAATAAATTAAGCATAAAATAAATTTACATTAAATAAAGCAAAGCATGAAATAAATTTCAATAAAATAAAATTAAGCATGAAATAAATAACTTACAAATATATAGGTACGTAGTGTTTACCGGATTGTTGTTTCAAATTGCATGGGAGCGATGATTTTCTTGCTCGGATAAATACCTCCTATCCCTTGGCCCAGGATCGATATACATTCGAGGTTCGTGTAATTCGACACCCATCTATAAATTTTTTGAATAAAATCATATTACTTTGCGTACAAAAAAATCACTAATACATAACAAGTACGTACCCTAAGAGCCTCTTAGTCCATTTTTTGTTGGAAGTCGGGCAGAGGTTTGACATATTTTTAGAGGGGATGGTTGAAGGAAATAACTTTAGAAATCTTTTTGATGCGGAAGATCGGACTTAGCTGCAACCACAGAGCAAATTTAGAATGAAACTAGAGTGGAGGATGGAGGGAGAAAGAATAAAATGTTTGGTGGTGTGGTTTGGAAGGGGAAGGAGGAGTGGTATTTATAGGGGAAGGATATGTTGGGGGAGAAGACAGAGCATTCCTCGCGTTGGTCAAAGGCATGGAAGAGTACGCCTTTGAGGAAAACCATAATTCGCGCCTCACTGCATCTAGTGGCAGAGGTGAATGGGCGGGGACTCGGATTATGGTTTTCTTGCCATATCTGACGCCTCACCGCGTTACACGTTAGCGGTGACTACTTTCCCGTTTTAAACAAATGCAGTGATCTATTCCTTGCTTTATACAAACACAATGATCTCTTCCCCGCTTTTCAGAAAAGCGGTGATTGCTCCTCGCTTTGAACGATGGCGGTTATGTTCTTCACTGCGTTAGACGACGACTGTGAATGTCAAACATGTGTAGATTGAGAAAATTTTATAACTTATGTATTTTGGGAATTTTTTTGGGTAATGACTATTTATTAGCCGAACCTTTTTCGAATTCTTTTTTACTAGCCAAAACCTATTGAAATACTAAGAATTAGCCAAATGTTAAATTCGAGTTAGAAATTTTGTTAGTAATATTGACTTGACATCATGATACTAACTTGGAAAAGACACATGAAGGTCAACATTCCAAAATTTTAGTAATTTTTTTTGGAAATAAACAGGCGCCAATAGTGCCTTACAATCACGAGACTAGCCTGAGATTCTTGCTCCCTACCAGATCAAATATCTGCCAATGAAGCAAAGTCGGTCAAGGACTAAGAACAAGATGAATGTCCAGAGGTTTGAGGTGACCGGTCGAGGCAAGAAAATCAACAACCACATTACCCTCTTTGAAGATGTGTCCCATCCAAACTTCCCACCCACGCTCCAACATCCTCTGGATCTGCAGAACAAGCTGGTAATGAGGATGAAATTGCATCGCCATTTCCACCAGCTCGAGCGCAGTTCGGGAATCAATATGCAGTTTCAATTTATGAACACCCAGCCAGACACACCTCAAGCCGTGAAACATCCCCATCAGCTCTGCCCTTGTTATCGATCCCCCTCCTAGGTTCATTGTGAAGCCACCCAAGAAGCGGCTTGACTCGTCTCGAACAACTCCTCCTGCGGGCGAGCTTTGCATCGATAGTGACACTGAACCATCAGTGTTGACACAGTAACATCCATGCTGAGGGGGTCTCCACCAACCCATTTCCACATTTTCGGCAGCTCTTTTTCTAAGGGAACCTGTTCTTTGTCGAATGCCTCCTCCATTTGTTGACTCAGCCTCCTTGCACTCATTTGGATAGATTGGACCGTGCTTAGCTTCTTTTCAAACACGAGTGTTTCTATTCTTCCACAACAAGCAACACAATACAACATTGAGCGACGACTTCACCCTTGAACTCCTGCCCGTTAAGTAGTACATCATCCACGCATTCACATCCTCTAGAAAGAAAATTTTGGCTGGTTCATCCTCCAGGAAATTAGACCACACCACCCTTGCATAGGAGCAGTCCGTTAATACATGAAGAGTCGTTTCGCTGTTGTTACCACACACTGGACATAGGTCCGACCCAGACAGGTGGCATCGCTGCCTCTTGGCATTAGTTAGTAACCTGCCATATGACGAAAGCCTGAAGAAAGTATGAATTCCCTAGGTGGTGGGTATCTTCGAAACTGTTCTCCACAGCAGGTGAGCAGCTCACGGTTCAATTTCCTCATTGATAAGCTCATACGCCGTCTTTAGAGTTTAGAGATAATCAGTCGTTTGATGAGAAACGCCAAACTGGCTCATCCTGGGCCGCTTCTCTAGGAGTGTCATGGAGCTAAATCTGCTCCACTAAACTCGGGTCCAAGAACACGCGGATATAATCCAAGTTCCAATCACCATTGAGAACCATATCCGCCACTGTAAGGTGTCTCGCCTCATTAGGAAGATCAACAGCCAAATCAGCCTAAGGGGGTGCGTCGTGAAGCCATATATCTATCCAAAATCTCGTCTGTCGGCCACTCTGAACATTCCACATGGTAGCCTCCGGTAATAGATGTAGAACTCTAAGTACTCCTTGCCAAAGGTTGGACATATGGCCTGAGGTTCTGGGTCGAACAAGGTCCCCCTCCATTCTCACGTACTTGCTCCTTATGACCTGCGCCCACAAACTGTCAGATTCCTGCATCAATCGCCAAGCTATCTTATGCATAAAAGCATCATTCATTTTTGTGGCATCTCTTATGCTCAAGCCGTCTTCCTCCTTTGGTCGGCATAGAGTTTGCCAATCCATAAGGTGAATTTTGCGCCCCGCTTCAGAACTATCCCATATGAATGGTCTCAATTTCCTGTCGATATAATCCCGAAGCTAGTCGATAATAAGGTGGTCTGCATTGTGTATGCCGGTAGAGAGGTCATTAAGGACAGAGCCAATGTGATGCGCCCTGCAAGAGAGAGGGTCGAGACTTTCCAGTTTCTAACCTGCAAGACGCGAATCAATCTTGTCAATCATCTCCTGGAAGGTTTCATTCGATACTCGATGTGAATCACCGGGACGCCCAAGTATCTACCTAGGTTCTTTGTTTCCGGATCCCTAGGCTATTGCTAAGAGCTGCGGCTAGGTTATTTTGAACATTCTTGGAGTAGAAAACTCTTGACTTTGGCTTGCTGATTTGTTGGCCAGATGCTTCACCAAACACAGCAAACGTCTCATTAATCACTTGGTCCTGCGAGTCACCAGCTACCCCAAAAAGAATAAGATCATTAGCAAAAAACAGGTGAGACAAGCTTGGCCCTGCCGCTACCAGTTTGAAGCATCCATTCTCCTTCCTCGACTGCTACGCGGATCATATGACTGAGCCTATCCATACAAAGAGCGCATATGTACGGGGAGAGCGAGCAGCCTTGTCGCAGCCCTCCGGATGGTGTAAACTGGTCTGTCAATCCCCCGTTCCACTGGATACGCATTCTAGCATAAGTGATACACTGCATAGTGAGATCCGTGAATGAGGGTGGGAGCCCTACTGCCTGGAGAGGATCATGGACAAAGCTCCTACGGATGCAATCATAAGCTTTGGCCAAGTACACCTTAATAGCCATCCATCCCCTCTGTCCTGTTTTTGCTCGCATCGAATGGACTACCTCCTGCAAAATACAAATATTGTTAGGTATATGCCTTCCTGCCACAAAACTCGTCTGAGTCTCATGCACAAGTTTGGGCATCAACGGCTTGAGAGTCTCTGCTAGGCACTTGGTAATGATTTTATATCCCACATTGCACAAGCTTATCGGCCGAAACTGCTTAATCTGCACCGGGCGAGGAACCTTCGGTATGAGGACAATTATTGTGACATTAAGCTCCTTATTTGTCATGGGATCCGCCCAGCATTTAGTTGCGAAATCACACACAGTAGGTGATACCAGATCCCAAAATCTCTGAAAGAAAATAGGATTTAGCCCGTCCAAGCCCGGGGCTTTGAGCGGACCCGTGGCCATCACTGCAGCCTTCATCTCCTCCGGCGCAATCATTCTTCCCAGCGGGAAGTTATGCGGTAGCGGGATAGTCAGACCCAATGTTGTCATAACCGAACTGGAACATAACCCGGTAATGCGAACGGCTTGCACTTTAGTGGTCCAACCGGTATTAGACCATTTAAAAATCGTTAAAGAATCGGTACCTAATAAACGTTATCAGTAAAAATATTGGACATTTCTTAATCAGAGCTCATCTCTTTCCTTCAAAATTGTGAAATGGAAATAAGGATTCAGTTTAAGAGGCCGACGTTTTTGGTTTATTTCAATTTTCTGCAATTTTTTTAGTTAAATTAAGTGGCTGAGTGGCAAAAACCGGACGAGCGGCTCGATCAGCTCAAACGGTTAACCGCCTCGGTCGCACGCCAACCGCTACATAAAACCATAGCGGCTTTTAGACTGTTCCGAGCCAATTTTATGACCGGGTGGAGGTTTTACTGCTCGGGCCGAGCGGCTCGGCTCGGCTTTAATAACACTGGTCAGAACTCTGATGAATTGATATATACACATGTTTTTGTCCACCATTCTTACACCGTTTGAGTCTTATCTCTCGTGTTTTAGGCCAATTTCACGCTAGGTTATTCTTGTTTGTGATATTTCAGGTCCTAGTACGTGAAAGATGGTTTGGGCACGAGTTCAGGATCGATTGGACAAAGTTGGGGCGTTTGACGAAAAGCTGGAAAAGCCACACGGGCACGCCTAAAAACCCACACGGCCGTGTGACCTGGCCGTGTGGCACAAAATTGCACGGGCAAGCCACACTGGCCGTGTAGGGGACCCCTTGTGATCGTGTGGAAAGTCCACGGAGCACACACGAGCAGCCTGGAAATTCACACGGCCGTGTGGTTTTGGCCGTGTAGCGTACCTGAAGCCACTTAAGTGAAACGCGGCGTTTTGCACACTCACACAGGCAGCTGGGAAAGCCACATGGCCGTGTGGTCGGGAATTTCTGGGTTTTAACCCAATTTCGAGTCAAAGGGGAGAGAATCGACTTTTTGGAGCAAAAACATAGCCCTAGAGAGAGAAAGTGCGAAGAACACATCCTAGAAGTGATTTTGGAGCTGGGTTTCATCAATCGAGCTTGGAGATCATCATAGGAGTGAAGATTGACATCCCAGAGCAGATTCTTCCCATTGTTATGAGTATGACTGCTTTGTATTCTGTTTCCCTCTCTCTCTCTATGGAGTAGAACTTCCTCTCACTTGGGTATGAAGAACCCTAGTTCCATGTGTTAGCAATCTTGATTTTAATTACGTTTGGATTGTGATATTGCTTGATTATAATCGATTGAAGTGTTTTGATTAAGTCAATTGAAGTCTGATCATCTTTTATTGATTTCTGCTGCAACCTGAGATAGATAGAATCTGATTAGGTTGTTTGTACTGGAATCTAATTCCAGTAGTGGAGTTCTGTGTTCATTGCCTTAGCATTCCATCCTGGTGAAGACTAGTCGTCTGCCGGGAAGTTTGACTGAGAGGGCTTGGTTAGCTTAAGAGATTCCAAGCTACTGTCGGATCTTCCGAAGTATAATCAGCATTAAAGCAACCAAAAGTAATTACAACTGAGACCTAACTAAGGAGCTAGGGGGACTCATTCCCGGGTGACTCTTCCTTTGCTTCAGAAAACCGAACCATTTCCTGCTTTCTTACTGCTTTTACTTAAATCAACAATCACTCAACTTAGTTTGCTAGATAACAGATATACACGGAGTAGGCAGTAGATCTAGACCCCGGGTTGACAATTAGAGCTTGCCTGTTACTGCATTTCCGGACTGCGATTACACTTGGTAGCAGTTTGGTGTTGTGTTTTAGCGTGTCAACCTCCCTCGTCTATGAACAACGCCCCCCATAGTATGTGCAGGTCATGTTCATTAGCTCGCTTTGATCTTCCACCTAGTCGCCTTGGTTGTTCTTTAGAGCTACTATTCGGTTCCACTTTCTTATGTGTAGGGTGCAGGCATGTAAATATAGTGTATTACGATCCCCCCACGTCGTCCACCCTAGTCTAGACTTTTGGCACCACATTATCTCCTCCTGCAAGAGTACTTCCTCTAATTCAGAACGCAGAGACGTAAGCACATGGTGTTCCGAGTCCCCACCCCATCTTTTTTCTAAATATTCAATCCTCTGTAGTAGCTTGTCCTTTCTCCTAAGTATGTTGCAAAAGATGAAATGATTTCAGTGGCTAACATCCTTGGCGAAGGCCATCGTACTACTATGGAAATCAGCTCCCTTCTCCCACGATGTCTTCGCCATTTCGGGAAAATCCACATGAATCAGCCAAGCCGCTTGGAACTTAAAGGGTTTCGACCCATGAGCGGGCAACGCTGGAGTTGTTTTGATCAATAGAGGTTGGTGATCTGACTTGAGGCGGGGCAAATGTCTCATTATAGTCCCCGGGAAGGCAGTTACCCAGTTCGTATTAGCTAGGCATCTATCAAGTCGCTCTTTAACTCCACTTCTAAACCATGTAAAGGGAGGCCCCACATATCCCAAGTCGATGAGACCCGTATCAAGTAAACAATTCTGGAACTCTCGGACTCTACTAGCATCAAATGGTGGCTACTAGGGGTGGCTATACGGTTCGTTCCGGTTAAATTGGCCCAAATTGATCCGGTCTTTTCGAAAATATGTGTCGCAACCGCCCCTCGAGATTGGAGGTACCGCTCGCGATTTCTCGGAGTCGCCATCGATTGTACAATGTGGTGGATCGAACACCTTTTGTCCGGTTTCGACCTTAGGGTCGAAACCAAAATTTGGTCTGCGAAATTTAGATTTTCTAGGTTCGGGAATACAGTTACGTGTGGGGAAGTGTATTCACACCTCACAACGCCCCAAATGGGTACTACTTAAATTGATAAGATTTTTAAGGTTGGGTCTATTATAAATTGCGCCTTATTTGTGTATTTAATTATATGATTCAAATAGTTAGGTATTTATTTTTATGAGTTGATCATACGTTTATTGACGTAAATCTCAAAATTAAAGAAAGATTTTTTGATTAGTTGGACTCGAACCTATCGGTTGCCTACGTACCCGAGTAATCGGGATCAAAGTCCACGTAGTTCGTTTAAGTTGAGTGGTTTTGAAAAAAAGGAAGCTAAACACATTTCTATTGAAATGTGATTAGGAGAATATTGAGCTTTCAAGAGGCAACGTATTTTGATATTGTATAACAGTAATTGAAGAATTGATGATTTTGAGAGCAGATTCATCATAACGACTATCAAGATCTATTGACCATGATTTCTTATTATGTGATTTTATTCGAAAACATACATGTGTATGAATAATGACGCTAAAACGAGGATAATAATTCAAAAGGTTTTAATATTGAGAGATGTTTAGAGTAGCCTAATTAATTCAGACTAAAAAAATTTAACATGTTAAGTTGATTTGGATTTTTCGTATTATGCTTATTAAATTAAATTAAGTATCAGAATCAATATCACAATTAGCGGGCTGTAGCCTAATTGGTTAAGAAGTTAAAAGGTGACGTTTTGGGCTTAATGGTTGTGGGTTCGAGCTGCTGCTGGAGCTTTTTTTGTGTCTCGTCTTTCAGGGAGATGAGTGGCAGCAGGTAATTTTTAGAACAAACGAGGGGTATTTTGGTCTCTTAAAAGTCAGGCTGATCTAAGGGAACCCTAGCCTCTCATTTTCCAATCTAGTTATGCTCCTAACAGACCATTTTGTTAGGAGATACTAATAGGGCAGGATAGATGGCCACGTCGGCGAGCCGGATCGGATGGTGGAGGAGGATTGGCGCCGACTTGTGAGCATGGTCCATGAAATCGTACCGGCGGTTCAACCACGAAATACCAGTATCGGAGGCTAAACCGGTAGGCGGTATTTAACGGTACAATGATTGAACTACGATAAAACTACGGTTTTACCATAAAATACCCTACAGCTGACTTTTCCGGTACGGTCTCCGGTACGGTTTCATGAACCATGCTTGTGAGAGGAAGAGAGTCGAGTCCATCGGCTGCCCCAATTCCACTATCCAAAGGGGCCTACAAATTCAAAAAAATCAATTCTTTTTCTTAGTCTCCTTCTCTCTTCAAATCACTTCGTTAGTTTCCTTTCTCTCTCCTCAAAAACTTTTTTGTTTCCTCCTCCCTTTTTCTCCCAATAATCACCACAAACCCTCTCCGACTCTAACGAAGCAAGCGACGGCGACTGTGAGAACGACGGCGACGACGGTATCGCGACAAGGAAGAAGTTGTCGGCGACGGTAGTCGTGCTTGAAGGAAGAAGACGATGGTAACTGTGCTTTTTCCTCTCTCTCTCTCTCTCTCTCTCTCTCTCTCTCTCACATCTCTATTTCATTCTTCACCTTGCTTATTGTGATTCAATCGATTTCTGAAAGCGATTGTTCTATTTTCATTTAGGAGAAAAGGGAAGAAGCTTCGAAGGCGAGGGAAATATGGCATATTTGCAGATCCACACCGTCCTCATTGGAATATCACGAGGGGATTCAATTTTTAGGGTTCCATTTTTCTTTTGATTTTGTTTCTTGGATTCTGATTTTGTGTTTCAAATAAATAAGTAGTGTTTGAAGTTAGGGTTTCATGGATTCGACTAGATCTGGGTTTTCCTTTTCCTACGTTTTTTTGTATGAGTTTGATGGATTTGTTTTCTCGTAACTTATATTTGACTAGATCTGGGTTGTTTTCTTTGTGGATTATGTGGATATGTTTTCTGGGTTTGTGGATGTGACTAGATCTGGGTCTGGGTTGCTTTGTTTGTGGATTTTGCGGATTTGATTGAAACTGGGTTGCTATGTTTTCTGAGTTTTGTGGATATGTTTTGTGTGTGTTCCGATATTAGTTCTGTTAGGGCAGGATATCTGTTTTTAATTGCCTGGATAGTTGTTTGATATATCTGGATATTCCTACATTGATATTGGTTTTGGTCGACCATGATATCATTTGTGAATTGCATGGATAGGTGTTTGATATATTTGGATATGACTTGTTTGATATTACTTCTGATCGTTGGGGTATTCGTTATGTGAAGTCCAAATATTGGTTAGTTAATGTCAGGATATTCTACTGGGCAGGGTAATCACAATGACAAGAACTAAATTAACTGCAATGAGGACCACATCAGAATGCGGAACGTTTTAGGCCTAAATGTGCCAAACAACAACAACAAAATGAGGACCAAGAAATTGAGGATGAAGAAAGTGATGACCAAGACGATGAGGGAAAAGGAAGAAAAGTTGATTTTAGATTTGTGTAGTGTGATATTGGTTTGTAAAACTGAACTTAGGGTTAGATAATATTTAGGGAAGGATGTTGGTTTGTAGCATGATTGATTTATCAAATGTTGGATATAATTACCAACATAAGTTCTTATTCAAAAATATATCGTACCTCCCAGAAAAATATTTGTCTTTACGTAGAATACTATCCTTAAAGCTCAGGATAATATTTTTTGTGTGCCAAAGTATATCTTGAAAGCCCAGACTAATATCCTCGATCTCTTTGCCTCTTCACGATTCTTCAGTTTGTTTTCCCCTTTAGTCATCAATTAAACACATTTAATCCCTGTGAGGTCAAGATATTATCGAGGCGGGAAAAAGTTCAAAAGATTATCGACATTTTGGAGCGGTAAGCCCACACTTGAACAAAGAATTTTCTTAAGTACTATTTTTTGTTTGGAAAGTTATAATCGCCATGTCGGAATGACTTTGACTACTAATTGTATCGAGTGTTCTCACTAGTTTTGCGTACTAGAAAACCATAGCAGACCAATATCCGTACACCATAAAAAATATCTAAACCACCCAGACCAATATTCGTTCCTCACATAATAAATATCCTCACCTACACAAACTAATATCCACCGCTCAGAGACTAATTTTTGACTGTCTTAAACTAATATCCGACTACACAACCAACATATCCACACATCTCATACTAATATCCTCCAATCACATAATAATATCTTATCACCACAAACAAAAATCGAACCACCCTACATTGTGTTCAAAACCATTTCCACAATGTCGTCTTCTAAACCCGAAACCAAAACTCGAACCCTGTACCAGAAACCCTAACCCTAAACACTAACACAAAGCTTGAACCCTAAACTCTAAACCTCAACCCCAAACCCTGAACTCTAAACCCCAAATGCGAATCCTAAACCCTAAACTCCAAAATGTAAACCCTAATTCTAAACCCTAAACCCTTACACCAAACCCTTAATTGATATAAGCATATACAACAAATATCGAAACCACCCAGACTATTATCAAACCGTAGCAGACTAATACCCACCACACACAGATTAATATCTTACCATAGTAAATTAATACCCACCACACACAGATTAATATCTGAACATCACAAACTAATACCAATTACACATAAACACTAAACCTTAATCGCTAATTAAACTAAATTTCAAAACAAACATAGATAAACATCCACACAAAACAAATCCAAACCACCCTGAATAATATACGTTCACCATAACAAATATCCACAACACCCGGACTAATATCTCATCTCCTAAGACTAATATACATTCAGATCGTAAATAATATCCTCACCATACAGAATAATACCCACCACACAGAGACTAATATCTGACCATCGCAGACTAATACCCACCACATATAGACTAATATCTAACGATCGCAAATTAATACCAAAAGTAATTAAATTGGCTAATGAACAAATATCCAAACATCCCAGACAAATAGTTGAAAACATGAACTAATATCAATTCAACCAAAGCTAATATCCGAACCACCTAAACTAATACCCATTCTTTGCAAAAACAAATACAAACACCACCGAGTTTAATATCCGACTACAAGACTAATCACTAAATCATAAACCCTAAACTCTCACTCTCATACTATTATTGTTTCATGGGCCTTCGGCCCATGGGCCCTCGGCGGGCAGCCCTAACTAAGGTTGCAAGCCTTATGTGCTAGGACTTGATAGTGTGTTTAATTTTGATGGAAGACACAATATTCATTACTTCACAAACTAATATCCACTGCATATAAAATCAGTTCATGCAAAAATAAATATCCATACCGCCCATACTAATATCTGACCACATAAACTTGAAATCCTTCAGCCCATGGATAAATATCCACACAAAAAAGAATGAGAGGTTGAGAGAGAAAAGAAGTGTTCCAAAAATAAATTATCTCAATCACTCTCTTTTTTCCCCACTTTTTCGTCACTTCTCTCTTCCTTGCAATTACTTTTTTCCTTTTTTTCTTTTCATTTTCTGTCACTTCCCTCCTCTCTCCAATTATTTCTCACTTTTCTTTATATTTATTCGTCACTTCTCTCCTCTCTCCAATTAATTCTCTTTTTTTTTTCCTACTTTTTTCTTTGTGGACCCGCAGAATCCACTTTATCAGCTTCTCTCCCCCATTTTAATCATCCGTCGGGCCCACTTTTTCCCCTTTCTCCCGCCCAAAACATTGACTTCTACTAAGCCAAACCCATCGGCTCCCCCCTTTACTCGGCTGGACTAAAAAGCCCACAAGAAGTCACTTAAATGTGCCTTCCATTTGCATCCCTTGAATATGAGCTGCCTCCACGTGGGCCTCCATCCAACCCTATCATTATTTGCTAACAAAAGACATTGTTAGCGGTTTAACTTTTTCGCTCATTTTCACTTCTGCCGCTCACAACTCAATCTCCCCATCTCCCTGCTTTTCTTCCTCCCTCTGAAAATCAACGATCAACCAAAGAAAAGAAAGAAACAAAAACAAACTTTCCTCTTCCCCCTCCTCTTACTCGATGTGCTCCTCTCCTCATTCTCAATTATGGCGACGATGGAGAAGGAATGATAGATCGGTAAGCATTTCGATGCATGCATGCTATTTGGATTTGGATTTTTGATTCTTTGTTCTGATTTTACTGGGTCTCGTTGGATTTTTGGGGTTTCTGACTCTCTTCCTTTCTAGCATCGACGAGGAGAAAGAAAGAGAAAGGAGCAAAATGCGGTGGCGAAGTTGAGAGTGACAGCAATTGGCGCGCGCTAGTGAAGACGACGACGAGGTGAGAGATGACTTTTTGGCTTGCAACTCGAGTTTGGGTTCGATTTGGTCATTTGGGTTCTGATTGTTTTTTTCTTCGTATTTCTGGGAATTAGGCGAAACCCAGAGAAAAAGCGGTAGAGGAGCTGCGACACCCTCATCGATTGTAAGTGGCGATTTGGGTTTTGCATGCTCCTTTTTGTTTGATTATGATGTGATTTTTTATTTGGGGTTGACTTCATTTTCTTTCGTTTTGGTTTCTTGGTTCTCGTCTAGGATGAGGGGAAGGATCCATTAGTGACAAAGACGGGAGAAGGTGGTCTCCGCCGGCAAGGAATTCTGGCGATGACGAGGAGAGAAGAAAAAAGAAGAGTCACCGGCGCTCTAGTTCCGCCGGCGACGAGGAAAACCCAGAGCATGACTGTTGGAGGTTCCACTTGGTAAGTTTATTTCTTTCTGGGAACCTGAGGTTTGCTTTTGATGTCGCTTTAGAGGCTGATTTGGTGTTTATATGGAGTTTTACCAATCTTGGATTTCGATTGGGATTGTTTTGAAATTGGAACTTGTGGGTATAAGATGTGGATTCGAATCTAAAAATTTGTATACTGTGGGTTATGGTTTAGGGATTTTGGCGCTACCATGTTATACTAATTGTGATCATGATGTTTTGAGTTATACAACGTTTATGATGTTTGGTTTGATTCTTGAATTCTATTTGTGGTATTAGTGAGTTTTTGGTAACCGATGATTTGAGGGGTGGTCGAGCTCAAATCTGTCCTTTTTTGTGGGTTTTATGGGTGAATTCGGTTTTGGAAACTTGACTGGTGTTTAGGGTAAATTTCTGGGTTTTAAGTTTCTTGTTTTGGAAACTCAGATTTGATCATTTGATTTAGGTGGGTTTCAAAAGGTTTGCGTTGAGGTTAATATGGGGGTTTTATGAATCCAATATGGTTTTGAAACTGGGACTTGTAATTTGAGTTCTAAGGATGGTTTCGATTTCAAAAAGGGTAGGGGGGTTTAGGTTTAGAGCGGAAGTCCTTCAACAAAATAAATGCATTTCGAGATACCTTCAAGTGTTTTGGTCTAATTGAGCCTTATATGTAACAAACTTGGAAAATCGAAGCTAGAAAAGAAGAAAACAATCTGATTTTTATCACTATATGCTTAAACATGTATATGCATCTACGGAAAGACCACAAAATAACCTCAGATATGATTTTGATTGCTTTGATTGGTTAGAGTTGTTACTGCCATGTTGTAATTTGCTTGTTAGTCAATTGAGCTTTGATCTTTCTTTTAGAGTTATATAGATGTGTATGATGAATGGTAAAGATGATGATGGTTGGTGGTGGTATGATATATGATGGAGTACAATAAGCGAAGGCGAACATAAGGAAACAAAGTTAAAAATACATATCTTTACTTGTAGTTTGATAATGATTCCAACCTTACTTTGCCGCCTCCTTCTTGGGGTTTCTTTTGCTTTTCCTTTCCTTGTTTGGAGATGATTCTGTTCTTTCTTTCTTTCCATTGCTTCTGGGATTGCTTGTTGCGTGTTTTTTTGGTATTGGTTGTTCTCTTGTCCATCAGAGTAAAGGAAAGATGTGCTTTTGGCTCTGATATCTGTACGTGGGATTAAGGAAAGAAGGGGGAAAGTCTCTGGTGAAAGAAGGAAAAAGAAGTTTAGTTTCTCTGTTTATTTACTGTCTTTTTGTTTGGGATTGCTGTGGTTAAAGGGGAAGAAGCTAAGCTTGCTGTTTTTTGTGTTTTCAGGAAGGGAAATGAATACAACTTCGAGTCTTTCGAATAAAAAAAATAAATACATGAACAAGTGAAAAAATGTTTCTCTCTCTAGCTCCTGTTTCCATTTTCTCTGAACCCTCAGTGGTTCTTCTAGCTGTCCCCAACGGTGGGATTCTTCTAACTCTCTATGGAGAGGCATTCAAGGCACCAGAACTGGTGGAGGAAGATGGATCATCTATTACACCTTCTCTGCTGCAAACAAAGACACATCTACTTGTCATAAATGATGGAATTAACTCCTCTGTTCTGGTGGGTAGAAGGAAAGAGTACAATGAAGAAGGGAGGAGTGAATGCGATGGGACTTATCAAAAAGGGAAGAGAATAAGCAGAAGGATTAACTGGAAACCTCCAGATTTAGTAGATACAGGCTGGAGGAGGAAGAAACGCCCTCGAGTGTCCAAGGGGCTATGTGATAAAAAATCAAATCAAAGCCGAGCTAGAGAAAAGGTGCAGGAGATAGGGGGAAAGGGTGGGGGTTCATCAATGGGTGAAGAGATGGTTAACCGCCCCAACCACATATCAGTAAAGGAAGGGAGAATCAGAGCTATATTAGAGAAACAAAACAGGGGAGGATGCATTTTACTTCAGAACATACCTATTCTCTGGACTGTTCTCGAGGGAAAAACTCTATTTCTTCATAAGCTCAACCCTTACCGAAAACACCACCTCTTCTACAGCCTCCGCCTCTCAAAAATCAGGATGGATATCAACAGCCTTGTGACCCGCACTGAGAATCTAAGCACAGGGCGCCCCAACTTGGTGATGACGGGAGGAAGAGGCATCGCTATGATGCTAGGGAAGATGATGACTGAAAGCAAAATCGCCAAAGCCAAGGCTACTGGAGCAGCAAAGTTTGCTTGGGGGAGGTATGGAGAGGTAGGGGTGCAACCGGTTGAATCAACCCACAACCTCTTCATCTTTACCTTCGCAAGTGCTGAAATCAGGGAGAAAGTCTGGTTAGATAGGCCCTGGAGCCTATCTAACACTCAAACGGCGCTGCAAAAATGGAATGGGAGAGGATTACCAGAGGAAGTCAATATGGATCGGCTGGCTTGCTGGGTGCAAATCCATGGTCTTCATCAGTGCATGAGAGTGGAAAGCAATATCAAAGACATAGGTACTTACTACTTCCCCAAATTTCTGGGTCTCGACAGGGGAGGGCTGGAGTTCAATGGCTACAGGCTCTACTCAAGAGTGCTGGTGGAGCTCGATTTAAATGAACCTGTACCTGTGGGCTTCGATTTCCCATTCCTTGATGAAAGCACCGGAGTTGAACACTGTGAATGGATCTCGTTCAAGTATGAACGCCTTGTGGAGCTGTGCTACTTCTGTGGCTATGTTGGGCATAACTGGCCCACCTGTGCGCGCATGGCGGAAGATAGGAAGAGAGACCCAGAGGTTGGACTGTCGGAGATCTACAATGCGTCCCTCAAGGCTGGAATCGACTCACCCAGAAGCTCACCGTCGGCGAGTGGGAGCAGCAGGAGGAGGAGTGGCGGAGGGATGCTATCGTCGCCGCTCTCCCAGCGAGGTGGGTCCAGCAGCTATGGTTTGGGCGAGCATGCCGAAAAAAGCAAAAATCCAATCTGTGTGACAGGAGGGGAAAGGACGAAGGAACAATCAGTTCCACCAGGCTTTCGACCGTTGGAAGGAGGAGTTGGAGGAAGGGAGAAGCAAGATGTCAACATCACAAAGGGAAGGGAGAGTTGCAGGTATAGGTCTAGTATGGGGGCAAGGGACATCTCCAGTGACTTGGAGGAAGCAGCGGCGGCGTTGGAGGCTAACCTAAGCCTAGGGGAAGATGGAAGTGGGAAAGGAGGAAGGGGCCGAGATGGTGTAGTGGAGACAGGCCTGTCTTTGGGCCCAACTGAGGGCTGCTATGAAGCCCATAATACCCAATCATATGATTTAAGGTACTTCCATGACCAGTCCAGAATGGAGGGAGAGATGGGTCGGGCCAATAAAAAAAGGAAGGGAACAGATCACAAAGAGGCCGAAATTGCTTGGGATTTAAATGGGGGAGGTAGATTTTCTCAAGAAGCCCATAGTTCAAGCATGTCTGATGGGGTGGCAAACAGAGTGAGGAGGAAGAAAAATACAAAAGGAAGCAAAAGGGTAGTAGAAAAGGGGGCAAGCATATCAAAGGAAGGAATCTATCTTGGAGAAGAAGGAGGAGCAATGGCAGCGGTGGTTCGCCAGAAGCCACCTTACGAGCCATGAGTTTGGTGAGTTGGAATTGTAGGGGGTTTGGCCAACCCCTTACAAGAAGCTATGCAAAAAGGCTTTTTCAGCGTTATAGCCCATCGATTGTCTTTCTCATGGAAACGAGTAAAAACGAAGCTTTTATGGAAGATCAAAGAAGAAGTTTTAAAATTTTCCCAAACACCAAGTATGTGGATCCAGTGAACTCGTCTAGAGGGTTTGCTCTTTGGTGGAAATCGGGTATTGATATTGAGGTTTTAGATTGTAATAGCTATTTTATGGATGTTAGCATTGACATGGGTAGGAAGTTTTTTTGTACCTTTGTGCATGCCCCTTCTACATCTGTTAGAAGAAGGGAGTTTTGGGAGCTATTAAGCTCTCTTAGGGATAGTAGGGATGACAAGTGGATTGTTGTAGGTGACTTTAATGCTGCTTTGTATGATTATGAAAAAGAGGGGAGATGCCCCCTTAGGTACGAGAATGTTGAACCTTTCAAGAGGTTCATCTACCACAACGCCCTAATCGACATTGGCTTCAAAGGAGAACCGTTCACGTGGTCCAACAAGAGAACGGGTCAAAACACGGTCAGAGTTAGATTGGACAGGGTGTTGTGTTCCAATTCCTGGAGAGAGCAATTTGGGGAAGTAGTGGTTTTTCATGAGAAAATGGTGGAGTCAGATCACTGCCCTATCAGACTTGACCTACACTTTGGAGGCAACAGAAGGAGAAGGACACCTTTCAGAGTAGACGAGAGGTGGCTAGAGAAGGAGGAATGTCGAGGGATCATAGCGAGAGAATGGGATCCAGGGGGGCCATCTTCGGCACATTTGAACAAATGCGAGAGGGAACTCAGAGCATGGTCAAAGGAGTTCCATAAAACCAACTCGCAAAGAGAGACGGATATCTTGAACAGATTGGAGGTCCTACAACAACCTCCGAGAGATCAAGATAATGTGGAGGAAGAAAAGAGAATCACAGCGGAGCTGGCTAGATTGTGGATTGAGGAGGAAGCTTTCTGGAAGCAGTGTTCGAGAGTGAGTTGGCTCCAATCAGGTGATCTGAATACATCATTTTTCCATTCTAGTACAACGCATAGAAGACACAGGAACAGAATCCTTCGGCTCAAAGACGAGATGGGAAACTGGGTGGAGGATGAAGGAAGATTGAAAGGAATAGCAGGGAATTTCTATAAGGAGCTTTTCAAGGCGAGAGAACTGCCTCCTACCAACCATCTTCTGAGTGAATTCCCAAGAAAGGTAACCAGTGAAATGAACGAGGATTTGTGTGCACCGGTTAATAATGAGGAAATCAGGAAAGCGGTGTTCTCCCTTGGAGCAAAAAAATCTTCGGGCCCAGATGGCTTCTCGGGTCAATTCTATAGGAGATTTTGGAGTACTATTGGAGAAACCTTGTGTCGTGAGATTAAAGAGTTTTTTGAGACGGCTAGCATGCCGGATGGGTGGAATGATACTCACATTGTTATGATCCCAAAGGTAGATCACCCGGAAGAGATTGGCCAATTTCGCCCTATCAGTTGCTGCAATTTCAGATACAAGATCATATCTAAAATTATGGCCACTCGACTGAAGAAATGGACTCCCGAGCTTGTTTCTGAGCTCCAAACTGCTTTCACTGGTGGGCGATTGATACAAGATAATGTTATCATCGTCCATGAAGCTCTTCACCATTTCAAGAATCACAAAAAGGGGAGGAGGAAGGATATGATGCTCAAGCTAGATATGAGAAAGGCTTACGATTTGGTTGAGTGGGATGGCTTGGAAACTCTGCTTAGCAAGTATGGGTTTGAGGACCGATGGTGCAAATGGGTCAGTGCGTGTATCAGATCGGTAAAGTTTTCCATCCTCTTCAATGGAGAAGCTTCAGAGCCTTTTGCCCCAACAAGGGGTATCCGACAGGGAGATCCTCTATCCCCTTTTCTCTTTATTTTAATGTCGAATGCTTTATCCTTTCTTACTGAGAAAGCGGTGTTGGAGGGTAAGATCCAAGGTGTAAAACTGAATTCAAGATGCCCGGTCCTCACTCACTGTCTGTTTGCGGATGATACAGTTATCTTCGGAAAAGCTAATCACCAGGAGGCCGGACGGATCTTGGAGATTATCAAGGACTATGGTGCTATCACAGGACAAGAAGTTAACTTACATAAATCCTCGGTTTTCTTCAGTGCGAATGTGACGGATAGGGAGAAGGAGGATATCATTGCCCAAATAGGGTTTGCCAGCTCTAATTGCCACTCAAAGTATCTGGGGGTTCCTACGGAATGGGGTAACTCGAAGAAAGAGACCTTCTCTTTCCTCATCCAAAGAATGGAAAAGATGGGAGAAGTTTGGAAGAGCCTACTCCTATCCCATGGAGGGAAAGAAGTTCTCCTGAAAGCAGTTATCCAGGCCATTCCTACATATATCATGTGCCTTTTCCTCCTTCCAGTTGCACTCACCAAGAAGATGGACACGATTCTTAGCAACTTCTTCTGGTCAGGATCAATGCAGAAAAGCAGTATGCACTGGTGCAAAAGAGAGATCTTGTGCTCCTCGAAGACGGAAGGAGGGCTTGGCTTCAGAAGTTTCAAAGACTTCAACTTGGCACTCCTGGCAAAACAAGCATGGAGACTCCTCTCCTCACCGGATGCACTCTGGAGCCGTCTGCTAAGAGGACTGTACTTCCCAAGGGGAAACTTCCTTTCGGCAAAGAAGGGCAGTAGAGCATCCTGGATATGGGCGAGCCTATGGGAGGCCAAAAAAGTTATTGAGATGGGAACGGTAAAAGTCATTGGATCAGGTGAGGAAACATGGGTGGATAAGGATCCGTGGGTCCCTACCCTTCAGAAGGGGACTATTGGAAGCGGCCCTCAGAACCACATCAGAGTCAAGGAGTGGATTGAACCGGGAGAAAGGATCTGGAACTCAAACCTCATTCAGGGAAACGTGACGGAGGATGAATTGGAAGCTATTTTGAGAATCCCTATTGGGGAAGAGGATTCGGAGGACTTTTGGGCTTGGAAATTTAATAATAAGGGCAATTTCACTGTCAAATCAGCGTATCACGCGATCCATGAGACCAACACCATCACTGCGCCGCCAGGGAATTCTGATAAGTGGAAATGGATTTGGTCTCTACAGCTGCCCCCGAAACTCATTTTCTTCATTTGGAGATGTGCAAAGAATGGGATTGCCACGAAAGAGAGGTTGAGGCATCGTAAATGCTCTCCGGATGCGACATGCCCGGTTTGCCAGAATCAACTTGAATCCATCGTCCACTGCATGTTTGAGTGCCAGCATGCGTTATCTTCGTGGAACAACATTTTCCCATCTCTTCCACTTCCACCTCAATCCACCACCTTCTTTGATTGGTTCTGCTTATTGAAAGACAATGTGCAGCCCAATAGTCTCATCTTGATTGTCTACCTCTGCTGGAATATCTGGAAAGCAAGGAATGAGCGTGCCTTCAAGAATCGTATCCCGTGGCCCCCAAATACCTGTAGGCAGACCGTCAGGGAATTCACCGAATGGACATCGTGCCCGAGACTATCCCAGCCTCATGTCCAAACATCTTCTGTTCAGCTCAGGGATAACCTACCTCATCCTTCTCCACCGCCAAGCAATCACCACATGGTGATTCACTGTGATGGGTCGTTCATAAGCGACTCCCAGCCGGCGGCTTATGGTGTTGTTGTTATTAACCACCATGGACAAGTATGCGATGGGCGAGCTGACATTTTACTTTGTTCCACCCCGTTTGAAGCTGAAGCGAAGGCGCTTTTGGAAGGTCTCAAATTAGCCCAAGAATATGGAGGAGAATGTATTGTCCAATCAGACTGTCTTAATCTTGTTCAAGCTCTCAGACAGGACAAAGCGAGATGGCCATGGAGGGGAGCGGCATGGATGGGATCCATGAAATCGATCCTTCAGGCCTCAAATCGCATTGAGGTCAGGTTTGTTCATAGAAAGTTTAATGCTAGAGCTGATTGGGTGGCCAGGTCTTTTGCAAGAAATTCACTCCCAGATGACTGGATTAGTATTCTTGATCTAATTTCCGATTTCCTTTAGCCTTGTAACCGCCGTTTTTGGTCTCACCAGAGTGGAATAAAGTTCATCTTTGGTCAAAAAAGGAAGGGAAATGAATATTGTCGAAGAGGAGGAAGGAGAGAAGCTGGGAAAGTTTCGCAGAGTGGATTTTTTCTTCTTTTTTGCAGAGTTTTTGTTGTCAGTGTGGAAGAATGAAAAGAGGAAGAAGAAGCTCCTGTTTTATAGGAGAAGAGTTCAGTGTTGGAAAATTTTGATGGGCTAGAAGGGATATAGGTTGGTGCTGTATTTTTGTGATTGGCTGTTGAGTGGGCTGGGCCTGGTCCGGTTCGACCAGTCTGGTTCGGCCGAGACTGGGCTTGATTCGAGTTTGAGCCCAAGTTGACTGAAGTTTGGGCTTGGTTGACCAGCCTTGAATCAAGGTTGACCTGAGTAGACCTGGACTTGGATTTTGACCTGAGTTAACCTAAGCTTGGGCTTTGACTTTGTCTCTTTTATTATTTGTAAATGAAAGTGTAATAGTTATTTAGATTACTAGGTAACAATGTTGTATTTGTAGTTTTGTAATTTTATTTAGTAATGTGTTTGTAAATTGTAATTTATTTTAATAAGACCATTATTTATTTCCTTATCTTTAATTGTTCCCGAGGTTAAGTCCCAAATCCACTAATCAATTTTTTGGCAAATAAAGTTAGCTATTGCTAAACTTGTTTAATCGCCCAAATTTTAACAACTCGACCCATGTCCAAAACAACTCTGACGTCTCGGCATCCTTGGATTTGCTATTGCTTAATATTTATAAGCCATGACAAGTGTACTCGTACTAAATGTTAATCATATAGAGAGATGTTTACGAGTGACTAAAGATTGGATTGGATACAGTCTGGTCTTGATCCGGTCGGGTCTTGATTCGGTCGGGTACCAATTCGGTCTTGATTTTATATTAAACTTGTGGGGATTTGAGTGGCCTAAGGCCTGAAAGTGTAAGGAGTTGGTTAAGTTTTGTATTAAGTGCAAAGGTTTGTGACCGTTTATGCAAATTACCCTTAAGTTTTGGGTGTTAAGCTCTCCTATCCGGTCTTTATCCAGTTTTCGACCCGATCCCGAACGGTTTTTTTACCTCAAATCTAAGCCCAAAGATTGGATTGGATTGTTTACTATTCGGTACCGGTCCGGGTTATACGGTTCGGTTTCAGGTAAAACCAAAAAACCCGGACCAAATAGGGCTACTTGCGGGGAATTTCAAAATTTTAGTATTTTAACTAAGAATAGAGTTACAAAATTATTAAAGATAACATAAAAATGTCTAATATTTTGGTGCATTACGAAATATTTGGTTAATTAATAGCATTTTAATAGGTTTGGATAATATAAAAAAATTTGAAAAAAGTTTGGATAAAAATAGACTATACCCGTTTCTTTAATAACATATGTATTTTGGGATTTTTTTTATGGTTAATCAAAAAATTGCATTAAGCTCTAGAGATGCAACTGCAAACCTCCTTTCTCTCGGTTACATTTTTGTATTTGACTACCAGCAATAATTTATACTTCTATACTCAACAAAAGTCTAAACTTACTCTATACTAGTCCTTGTAGGATCTGGTCATTCTGAACAAAAATTGCAACATCTTCTTTAATCTGCTTTACCATTTGATCAGGCTGGCATATCCTCTTCATCCCATACATCCTGGAACAACGTTCCTTCCATACACTACTCATCGTCATCCTCCATAACAATCTACCAAGCTTCGCTGTTGTTGTATCTCCTCTCCATTCTCGAATAACCCACTACATGTGCTCCTGCCAACTTATAGTAACTTGAATGTAACTTATCTTCTAGAATACAGCCCTCAGAACATAACTCCCATAAGGGCAAAGAGCAAACAAATGATTACGAGCCTCTACCACACCTGGGCATAGTAAACAGATTTGATCAACTTCAATCCCCCAGGCCGTCATTTTTATCCTTTGTTGAGATTCTGCCTAGAATTATCAACCATAGAAGCAGGCTATGCTTAGGCATATTGGGAAGACCCCACATCAATTGATTACATTCGACCCTTGGATTAAACTGCCTAATTGATTCCCATATCACTTTAACAGAATAACGAGTAAGAGAATTACCGTCCCATGTGAGTGTGCTGTCGGAGCCTGAAATGTGCTGCTGGGATACCTGTCTGCATTTAAGTACCTTTACGCCAGATCCATGAACCAGTTGACAGTAAGGGCAAACTCCAAATAGGTTTGCCTTTTACCTTATACTTTTGAATCCATGCCACCCAGAGTGAGCCTGCTTCTGCCAACAAGTTCCATAGATGACATATTACACATGATTGATTCCAGAGTTTGAAATCTCTGATCCCCAGTCCTCCTTCAGCCTTAGGTTTAGCAACTGTTTCCCATGAAACCAACGCTCTCTTCCTTTTCTCAGCTCCTCACTCCCCATAGAAATTTATTACAAATTTGCTCCACATCTCGCAGTACTTCATTGGCAATAGAAACAGAGCCATCCAATATTGCAAGGTGCTTGTAATGACGGATGAAATAAGCTGCAACCTCCCTACATAACTCAATAGACTAGCTTGCCAAGTCCTAACTCTTGCTGTAATTTTATCAACCAAAGTTTTACAATCTACAACAAATAGTTTCCCTGTAATGAGGGGCACTCCTAGGTATCGCACCGGCAATTCACCTAGAGGGAATCCTGTATAATCCGAAATCATTCTCTTCTCATCTTCTGAAATCCCAGCACAGAACAACTGGCATTTTTCCATGTTACATCGAAGACCAGAATCTACATAAATATATCCATTAACCTTCTTATACCAGCCACTGCTCGAATAGATCCATTGGTGAAAACAAGTAGATCATCAGCAAAGCATAGATGTGTGATCTCCAATGCTTTGCACCTAGGATGAAATGGAATTTGATTATCGAGCACATCTAGCCTCAAGAGACAGGAAAAAACTCCATAGCCACAGTAAAGAGGAATGGAGAGAGGATCTCCTTGACGGAGCCCTTTCCTAGCTTGAAAATAACCACACAGACCTCCATTGAAGCATACACTAAGCATTGGAGTTTTAACACATGCTTCTACCCATTTCAGAAACACCTATGGGAATCCCATAGCCCTCATTACTTTGAACAGAAAACCCCAGTGAACAGAGTCGAAAGCTTTCATCAAATCAATTTTCAGAACACATCTCGAATATATTGTCTGCTTCTGATAATCCTTAACTAATTCTGATGCCATTAATATGTTATCATTTATTAGTCGCCCCTTAACAAAAGTAGATTGGGCTTTTCCAATAACCAGTGGAAGAACATTAGCCAGCCTAGTAGACAGGATTTTAGAAATCCCTTTGTATAACGCATTACAACATGATATTAGTCTGAAGTTCTTCATCCTATCTACTTGAGGAAGCTTAGGGATTAAAGCACGGATTGTAGAGTTTACCTGTCGAGGCATGCTTCATGTATGAAAGAATTCAAGGACCACATCCTCCACAGTTGAACCAATAACTTCTCAGTCCCCTTTATAAAATTTAGCGGTAAAGCCATCTAGTCCTGGTGCTTTGTCATTTGGCAAATGCATAAAGACCCTCTTAATTTATTCTCTGGTCACTGGAGCAATCAGTTCTTCTACATCCTCTGCCCTTAACTTCCTTTGCAAGATCGCTGCATAATACTCTACTGGCTTTTCAATAACTGCAGTGTCTTCAGCGCCCAGCAGGTTCTGATAGAATTCAGCAGAAACTGCCCCCATTTCTTTAACTTTTATTACCGTTGTGCCATCATCCTTTATCAACTTCCTTATTGTCATCATGTGATTTCGAACTTTTACCATTCAATGAAAGAATGTTGAGTTAGCATTCCCACCCTGAACCCAATTCACTCTTGATTTTTGTCTGTAGAAACTTTCCTCATCCTTCATTAATTCTGCACATTTTATGGCCTGCTCCATCTCAAGCTTAACATTCAATTCTGTCGGATCTTGGAGTACATCAGTCTGCCTTCTACACAATTTCACTTTTGCTTCTCGAGCTCTTTCTGAAATCTCAGAGTAGCTCTCCCTATTTAGAACCTTCAATTTCTTTTTAAGCAACTTAAGCTTTGTATAGAATTGTTTATAAGCTTCCCCTAAAGACTCCTCCCTCCATGCTTCATCAAGCAAACTCGCATAAGTTGGATGCTGTCACCACATTTTAAAGTATTTAAAAGGCTTGGGGATTGATTCCACCTCTGGACAGCTATCCATGAGCATCCCACAATGATATGAAACTCCAGGTGAAAGAGTTTGAGCGTTACTATGTGGAAACTTATCCATCCATTCATCACTCACCAAAAACCTATCCAACCTCTTAGCTATAGGATTCGCTGCCTGCTTATTTCACCACGTTAACCATGTCCCCTGCACTACATGATCTGTTAACTGCATATCATTTATCCACTGACGAAGCTCAAGGCAACTTTGATTTAATACCGTCATTTTTGAAGTCTCAAACACTGAAATCACTACATTAAAATTCCCCATGAAAAGACTAGGAGCACCAGCAAGTCTCAAAATTTTATACATTTCCGCCCTCTCTGCAACCTTATTTGGGGCATAAACTGCTGTCACCAAACGCCCTTCGTCACCCTTCACTCGCACCTGAATAAAATGCTCTCCATAGCTACTTATGCAACCTTCATTGATGACCTCCAGAACAACCAGACCCTGCCCGAGCTTGAATATTTATAGTTATTAAGATGTGTCCAATCTCTAAACCACTTATGTACTATTTGATCAGCATTACTAGCTATAACTCTAGTTTCCAGTATAGCAAACATATCTACTTTATTTTTGAATACTTTATTACTAATAAACCTATGTTTCTCACGTGCATTAAAGCCCCTGAGGTTCCAACATATCACTTCCATCACTTCCTCTTCCTGGCCCCCCTCTTCTTAGGAGAGTCATGAATCACCAAACTCTGTCCCTTAGCATTCAGAGGTACTCTAGCTTGCAATGTCGACGAGGGTACTTTTAAAGTAGACCCCTCAACTGCCTTCCCCTTCCTTACTACAAGCTGAAATTCATCTTCATCAACAATCTTACCATCAATAGGAGTGATTACTGTTCTGCTGCCAACAGGATCGTGATCCCTGGAAACCACCTTCCTTCACATTTGAGCCAGCAACTTGAATTGGTCCTCCTCCATTGATTTCTAGTGATCCCTGGACACCACCTTTCTTCACGGTTGAGCCAGCTACTGGAACTGGACCTCCTCCATTGATTAAGTCAACTTCAAGAACTGACTTTCCTTCATTCACAGCCATTGAAACAATATCCCCTACCTACTTGAACCGACTTTCCTCCAGTGGAGCCTGAAGAACTGGAAGTTGCTGGTTTTAAAACCCAAGCTACATCTGCATTCATAGATTCAGCAACCACTAGTTCTTTACTTGTCACAACTTGAACTACCTTACATTCCTTACCTCCCCCTCATTATGACCAAATTCATAGCATTGAGAACAACACGATGGAATATGGAGGTACTGAGCCACTAGATGCATAAGCCTTTCTCCTTCTGGCATAATGCTGATCATTTCTAGAAACCCAGAATCCGCTGAGATCTCAACACAAACCTTTGCAACACCTGTTAGTGCTCCCATTCTTGTCGCCTGAATCCGCTGAGATCTCAACCCCAACCTTTGCAACACTTGCTAGTGCTCCCATTCTTGTCGCCTGATCCATCCATAGTGGAACACCCAATACGCTAGCAATACGACTCAATCCCTACACTGTGCTGTATTTTGGGATTTTTTCTTCCATTCATTTATATTTTTTTATGGGAATTTTTTTCTCCCATTTACCCTACCCAAACATGGTGTAACTAACGCGGGTTCTCCAGAACTGCGGCATGGGATTAGATAGCATGCCTACCTTTAAAAGAGTTGGAAAAATGACACCCCCTATTAATTATAGGTTTTTAAGGTAATTAATTTGTGTTGCATTTAATAATCTGTACGAATTAAAAACACATATTAATTACTTTTCTTTTTTCAGTGCACTGGTAGTTGTATTATTGCAATGGTAGATGTATCAGTGCAATGGTAGTTCCAAAAAAGGAACGTAATTAATATGAGTTCAGTGTACATGTGCAATGGTAGTTGGGGAACGGATCAGGTCAGTAACTCTATGGTCAGTAACCATGAGTAACATGTCCACATCATCATGACATCAGTACCCTCTCTCTCCTGGAAAGTCTTTTATCCATTCTCCTTTAATCTTTAACGGGAGATTTCTCTCTCGTTTTAAGTCGAATTTTTTTATTTTTTTGCACAGATAAGTCAGATTAAATGTGTTCTTTAAAATTATATCCACTTTGATATATTTTTAGTACAAAAAAATTGAATAATTTTTTACCAGTCATTACCATATGGTATGCTCATATTTAATACAATATGGTAAAAAAACGTACCATGATGATATGAACATACCAATATGGTAAGAAGGTTGAATACATGATAGTAGGAGTATACTTACTAACTGTCATTTACAACTTTCATAATTGTTTATTACAAATTACCACAAGTTACCACCCACATACCATAGTGGTAAAGTATGGTAATTTTTTATCCAGTATTTTTTTCACCTAGAAATTTATAGATTCAATAGATCATGATGAACTCGTTTCTTCTGAGCATACGTTTTCTAAAACGACTTAAAAACGAAGAAGTTACCATATGGTATGTAGTTGGTAAAAAAAAGTTTCTCAAAATATATTGAAATTGATCTCATTTTCTAGAGCACAACGAACTTGTTCCATCTGCGCAAAAATTGAAATCCAAGTTAGAGCAAATAAGATAAGAGTCGATTAAGAAAACTAGAGAAAATAAAATGTCTTTAATTGACAACTCTTAGATCTGAATTTTTTGGACCCACCTAGATCTAAAGGTCCAGATTTAGTTATTCATACCGACCCTATCCTAAGCATGGTAGTTGTATGAGTATAATTATAGTTAAAAAAATGTAATTAAGATAAGTTTTTAATTTTCAAAATATTAAATGCAACACGAATTTAATAAAAAAATAATTATAATTAATAAATGTATCATTTTTTCAACCCTTAAAAGGTCCGCATTCTAAGACTAGCTCCAACCCATGGTGTCAAAATGCTATAAAGCCATATTTGGCTTTTTTTCTTCCTCCAACCCACAAAAAAATGGGAAGCAAAATATGGGTATTGGGTTTTTTGGAGTTAAATTTGGCTGGGTTTTGGGGTAGGGAGTTAAATTTGGCTACCAAAAAGTGCACACCACGTCGGCTGGCGGGGGAGGGCGCAGGACGCGCGCCTGGGCCGCACGTCCTGCGCCCTCCCCCGCCAGCCGACGTGCTGTGCATTATTTTTTTTTTCTTTTAACTTTTGTTTTTGTTGGTTGGGAATTTTTTTTCGATTTTTTTTCTCTATTCTCATTGGTTGTTTGTGATTCCATTTGAAATATAAATTTGAAATAATTGATGTAGTGACGAAAAACGTTCATATATTAACGGCCATAAAAAACGGTCATATTTTAACGACCATATTTTTTCTTATATATTACAGCACTCTTCATAGATTTCTCTTCACTCATTCTAAGAGCATAAATAGCATTCTCTCAAAATTCAATTGTTATCGTCTCTCAAAATAGAAATATGACAGGCAAGAGAGGACCTAATTGGCGTCCGAATGAAGATGAAATCTTGTGCAGAGCTTGGGTGTCGATATCAGAAGATGCAGCGGTTGGCACCAACCAGAAGTCTACAAGGTTGTGGGAAAGAGTGGCGGCAGAACATCAAAAATGGGATCCTACTACAATTCGTACTGCTATTGCAATGGAATCCCGAATGAGGATTATTTGCTATCACTACAATGCTTGGAAGGGAGTTTTGCAAAGAGCACAAAGGCATCAATCGAGTGGCACGAACCAGTTTGATGTGGTATTCTTTTGGACCCTCAACTTGTGTATTTTCTTATTTTTTATGTGCCAATAAAAACTTCTCTAACCCATGTATTACATATTTTATTACGAAAAGGAGGCAAGAGCAATATATAAGCAAGAGAATGGGAACAAGGCTTTTGATTTTGAGCATTGTTTCGACATTCTTCGAAATTGTCCAAAGTGGTACTCCAATCCTGACCTGCTTGTTAGTCCCATTCCACCTATGGGGCAAGGTTCCCAAAGTACTCCAACAGGTTTTGGTTCTCAATCATCTCCCGTGGAAGGCCTTGATGACTTACCAGATGAAGGAGCTACGCTTTTCGTGTTGACTCGCCCTGAAGGACGCGACAAACAAAAGGCAGCAAAGAAGAAAGGTAAGGTAGTTGCTGAATCGTCATACATATACACTACTCAACTGCTAGAGTTTGGTAATGATATGAGAGAGAGGCAAAAGTCGAGGATGGAGTACGAAAACAGAAAAATGAATGTTCAAGAGAGGAGACTAGAGCAGGAGAAAGAGGAATGGGCATACAAGAGGCAAGTGAGGGAGCGTGAAGCGGAAAAGTGGGCTGTGGAGAAGAAAGAGAGGGAAGCTGCAATACTTCAACAAAATGTAGCTCTTCTGGAGAAGGATTTGTCAAAGATGACACCAAGAAAGAAGAGATTTTGGAGGCGTAAACAAAATGACATTTATGGGTACGATCAAGATGATCCCAACTCTTATCCAAGTGATGGCGGAGATGGAGATGGCGATGCAAGTGGTGGAGGAGATGGCGAGGAAAGTGGTGGAGGAGATGGCGATTACTTTCCTGTCATGGATTATTAATTAGAAGAAGATCCTATTTGTACTCTATTGTCTTTACATCTTTAATGTGTTGTGTGTTCTCTTTCAACTTTGTTATTTTCATGTGTCATGTGTACTCTTTGAACTTTGAGCAATTCCATGTGTAATAAAAACAAGTGTTATTGAAAGTTTGAAATACAAACAACCAAGCAACATGAAATACAATCACACACTGAAACTTGAAATACTAACAACCAAGCAACATGAAATACAATCACACACTGAAACTTGAAATACAAACAACCAAGCAACATAAAGTAAAACAATGCTAGATATTGCCGTGCAAATTCCAAAGATGCTCAACCAAGTCATTTCTAAGCGCATGATGTGTTGTAGATGAGCGAAGCCTGTTATTTCTAGCCAAGTAATCAATTAGAGTTGATTGGTGTCGGTTGATTGGTTCAGGTTGTGCATGGACCTCATAATCAAGGTCATCATCCATCTCGTCATCAGAATCAACCTGCTCATCCTCGATTATCATGTTGTGTAATATAATGCACGTCAGCATTATATTGTTAAGCGTGACAACATCCCAAGCTCTTGCAGGGCCACGAACAATTGCCCATCTTGTTTGGAGGATTCCAAATGCCCGCTCTACATCTTTGCGGTGTGCTTCTTGATGTTGAGCAAACAAAGCCTCTTTGTTTGACCTTGGATTGCTGAAGGTCTTCACTAAAGTCGACCATGAGGGATAAATACCGTCAGCCAAATAATAACATTGATCATAAGCATGACCATTTACCTCAAATCGTACATGTGGAGCGCTTCCATTGACGATACGATCAAACACTGGAGACATCCCCAGAACATTTATATCGTTGTTCGATCCAGGTGTCCCAAAGAAAGCATGCCATATCCATGTGTTGTAGGAGGCCACCGCCTCCAGAATGATTGTTGGCCTATGCATATGGCCGGTGTATTGTCTTGCCCAACCACTTGGACAATTCCTCCATTCCCAATGCATGCAGTCAATTGATCCAATCATTCCAGGAAAGCCACGACTTGAGACTTTACGGAGTAAGATCCTTAAATCAGCAGGAGTAGGTGCGCGAAGGTATGTGGCCCCGTACATGTTGATAATGTTGTTGCAAAACTTTCTGAAGACCTCCATCAAGGTGCTCTCACCCATACGAACATACTCATCAAGTTGATCAGCTGGAGAACCATATGCTAGCATGCGCATCGCACCAGTAAGCTTCTGCCCTGGAGATAGTGACAATTGACCAAAGGTATCACGCCTTAGAGCAAATGAGGGGTCAAACCTCACAATGTCGCCCATAATGCGATGGAATAATCTTGGCTGCATCCGATAGCGCCTTCTGAATATGCGAGCATTGTATACTGGATTTGGATCGAAGTAATCCCTCATAAGACGTCGATTACATTCGACCCTCTCACGATCAATGTGACGTCGGCTTGTAGTTTGACGGTGACTTGATGCACCTTCAGCCAGCCTCCGACCGATCAAACTCAAACGTAGGTGGTGAAACCTTTCGTACTCTTCGTTTTCTTCTTCTCCAGACGATGAGCTATCTGAGATACTCATGATGAATGTGTTTGTTTTATAAATGGGAAGAAGTTTTAGTTGAGTTGATGAAAATGAAGAACTATCATTTATAAAGACATTTGGTGCAAAAAATGACAAAAAAGGGTCGTAAAGTAACGGATACAAAAAAACGGTCATATTTGGAGTGGTCCCGAAGTTTTAACGGTAATATTTTAACGACTAATTTTAAAAAGAAATTATCTCGGAATTAAAAAAAATTACATCGAAAAATTTGTATTCAAAACTAATATGAAAAAATTAAAGTGAAATATAAAAATTAGAGGTCAAATAAGTATGGTTTATTGAAATAAATTGAAAAAGGGAAATGGGAAGCTAAATTTAGCTTTTTATAAGATTGGAGTGAAAAGTGGGTTTGGGGAGCTAAAAAGCCATATTTGGCCATTTGGGAAGCTAAATTCCCCTTTATGGGTTGGAGTTAGCCTAACCAATCCCGTGCGGTATCCCATGCCCATCCCATCACGGCATCATCGCAAATAAATAAGTAGGGATGACAAGTTTGCCCATACCCATGGGTTTCTTACTATCCAACCCAATTGGGTTGGGTATGAAATCCAAATAGATGGATATGGGTAGAGTTTGATGGGTTTGTACCCATACCCATTTACTTTGGGTTGAGTTGGGTTTATATCAAATGGATTTGGGTTTGTACCCATGCCCAAATACAAATTACAGTTTGGTACCCAAACTTAATAGACATGCATATTTAGTACCTAAATTTAATTTTTTTTTGCATATAAGTCCTCAAAATATCGATGGAAAATTACGTTTTGGTACCTAAATTTTTTTGGTCTTATATTTTGGTACCTAAACTTTTCAAGTTTTACAAATAGGTCCAATTTTTGCATGTGTAGTTAAAACACCCTCAAGTAAATGGATATCCATATCCAACCCATACCCATTTAGATTATGGAAGCCCCAAATCCAAACCCATCTATAAACCCCCAGATCCATATGTACTTCACCCATACCCAACCCATTATCAATGGATCTACTTGGGTTTGTGTATAATTACCCATGGATGGATAATTTGCCATCTCTATAAATAAGTTGTCTTAAAAACGTCCCCCAACAGTTCCAAAGTATGGGTCGATAAAGGCCAGGGAAAACCGCTGTTTCTCTCTTTCTGTCTTCTGGAGTAAAATATCCCAAATCTCTCTCTCCGATTATCCCCAAATCCGGCTCGATCGAGCTCTCCTTCTCTACTGGGGAATCCAGCGGGGAACCCTAACCCTACATTCTCGCTATGCCACACTCTCTGCTTCTGTTCTCCACTGCCTGATAAACCCTAAGGAAGAGCACCCTTCCGAGGTCGACAAGACTTCCAGGAGCCGGTAATCTCCCTCTTTTGGAGATTTCGCTTCGATCGGTGGAAGATTGAGGGGATTCCTTGTGACGCAGGTGGACTCTGCTTCGTGGAAGAGCTCGTGACGTTCCCGATCGGAGGAACTGATATCGGCTTCGGTTGTGTTGTTGTTCGTGGATTGATTGGGGGTGATTCTATCTCTGTCGCTGCGTACTGCTGAGCTCCCTTGTTCGGATAGACAGTTCGGAATCGGGGTTGAAGATGTTGTCTGGCTGTTAAATTCTGCCCAGTGGTTGGAGTACCAATTTCGTGGAGTCACAATTTTCTGATAAACAGCGTTGTGATTCCGGAGGCGAATGCTGCAACAGTTTTGACAGAGACGTCAGTGAATGCGTTATAAAGGTTCTTGCGGAGGCGTGCTGGCCGGAGTAGCATCGGGAAGCTCCTGATTAGTTGGTTTGGTTTGGTTTGAATTCCTTTCGATTGAGTACTTGGAAGAATCTAGAGGGGGGAAAAAGAGTTCAACTTTTGTGTATTGATTTTTCTATTTTATGGCCTTTGAGTTGAATACAAAGGTCCTGTTTTTGGGAGGCCTTTAATTTCTTTCTATTTGATTTGATTTGATTTTGGTTATATATATCTAATCTTAAGAAAAAGGAGAAATGGCAGTGTATTACAAGTTTAAGAGTGCAAAAGATTATGATTTAATCCCAATGGACGGGCCCTTTATATCGGTTGGTACTTTGAAAGAAAAAATATTTGAATCAAAGCACCTGGGCAGGGGTACAGACTTCGATCTGGTGGTGACTAATGCCCAAACTAATGAAGGTTGGTTTCGTTCTTAGTAGTTTAAGTTGTAAATGAAATTCAATTCTAGATATAGGTAGACTTCAAGTGGCTTCTTGATGTTTGTGTTACTTCTCGTTCTGTCCTTATGAACTCAGTAGTCAGATTCCCAAGTCAGTCATTCTTCTGATAACTTCGGGTTAAGAGATTTGTTTATGTCAAATAGTAGAAGCACATTTGTTACTCGTGTAGTTGTCGGCTTTCCCTTACCTTAGGTTGTTCTTAGAGAAGGATGTGGGGTTGTGATCCATGCTTAGTTTTTGTTTAGTGCATCTGGTGAGAAATTTCTCATTAGAGGAGCTGTGCACTATGCATGGTGAAGCAATCTTTCGGCATTGGATAAATTATGGCTATATCTGATTAGTCTTGGCTTGTCATTGCTGGGATGGATGCGGACAAGCAATCGTCTAGGTGAATTATAATTTTGGTTTCATCACTATTTAGGTTTTGGTATTTTATAGTTGTGTTCTCTCTTTCAATTTCAGAGTATCTTGATGAAGCATCGTTAATTCCAAAAAGTACTGCTGTGTTAATTCGCCGAGTTCCTGGTCGCCCTCGCATGCCCATTGTAACTGAGCAAGAGTACTATCCCAAACCTTTAAGTTCTGTGTTATTTACCTGTTTTGTATCCCCAACATTTTGGATTGGTTGGGCTTTTCGTAACTGTGATCATCCTGGTGACTTCAGTGCGTGTTGTTTAACATTCATACTGTTAAATTGAAGTGACAATGGTCACTGTAACAGTAATATTAAACAATTCCTTCTGATAGTGTACACTAAAGTGATGCCACATTACGTGACAGACCTCTTCTGTAGACTCTTGAGCATATGTATGAGTTTCGCCGTGTTATATTTGCAGACCAAAGGTGGAAACTAGGGCAGAGGATATCCCACAAGAGAAAAGTGGCTTTGCAGGTGCTGAATCATCCACTTTTAAATATGTAAGTGTCTATACCAACTTGTTCTAGATGCTTCACAAGTACAGCAGACAGCAGCACTTCATCTGTTTCCTGTGTATTCCAAATTGTGTAGACTGAAGAGACCGAGTGGGATGAGTTTGGTAATGACTTATATGCAATCCTGGAAGTTGCACCAGTACAATCAAGCATTCCGCCTCCTGAAGCTCCTCCTGCTAGCAAGGCTGAGGAGGAATCCAAGATTAAAGCCTTAATTGATACTCCGGCTTTAGATTGGCAGCGGTAAGCTGCCTTTCATGTGGTACAATTAGATTGATGGTTTGTTTGTCATTGTCCATTGTAATTCTGTCACTGAGAAGTTATATCTTATGCACTTGAATTTTCAGCCAAGGTAATGATGGCTTTGGCCTTGGTAGAGGTTTTGGCCGGGGGATGGGTGGTCGAATGGGTGGACGTGGCTTCGGTGAGTCTCTGTATGTTACTATAGGATACTAGAAAGTCTCTCTCATGATTGAAGTTGCTTAAACTTGTTTGTTTTATTGTCATAGCTCTTCTTATGGCGTTTATAACTTTTTTTTTTTTTTTTTGACGTCTGTTAGGTATGGAGAGGAAAAATCCACCGCAAGGTTATGTGTGCCACAGGTGTAAGGTACCAGGTATGTAGACGTTCAGGTGACAGGATTTACTCTTTTTTTAGGTACGGTTGTTCTTATGTTAAACTCTGTTATATTCAGGACATTTTATTCAGCACTGCCCCACCAATGGTGATCCAAATTATGATATCAAGAGAGTAAAACCTCCCACAGGAATCCCAAAGTCGATGCTAATGGCAACACCAGATGGCTCATATGCATTGCCGAGTGGTGATGTTGCTGTTTTAAGACCAAATGAGTAAGCTGAGACCTTTTCATTTGTTTACTCTGTTTTTTCGGGTAGCTTCTAAAATCGTGCACCAAGGGAGCCCTTCTTCTCAATCTGTTTTTAGTTTGAGGATTGATTCTGGATAAACTTATTACAGGGCTGCATTTGAGAGAGAAATCGAAGGATTGCCCTCCACGAGACATGTTGGCGATCTTCCACCAGAACTTCATTGTCCCTTGTGCAAAGAAGTTATGAAAGATGCTGTGCTGACAAGCAGGTGTTGTTTCCAAAGCTTTTGTGACAAATGTAAGTTTGATGGATCTTCTATGCTTAATTCTTCCTCTTAATCTCTACGGTGTTCTCACAAAGTTACGACTTCTTAGTTACATTAATAATCATAGCCTTCATGTGATCAATGCTGCAGTGGAGATTCTATTTGCTTGACCCTGGTTATTCCTGTGTTAACCTTCGGCTTTCATAATTATGTGTCTCCTTCTGTAGGCTACTGGAGCTCTTTATCATGTCTAATTATACTGTTTTGTGACACAGGTATTAGAGATTACATTATCTCGAAATCAAAGTGTGTCTGTGGGGCAACAAGTATTCTTGCAGATGATCTTCTTCCGAACAAGACTCTTAGGGATACCATTAATCGTATCCTAGAGTCGAGCAACAATAGCACTGATAATGCTGGAAGCACTTTCCACGTTCAAGGTTTGATTTTTAACATGTTATAAACCTGAGATGTACTATCTGTTGACATTTATGCTTTCTGTAACTCGATATTTTTTCAAGTATAGATATGGAGTCAGCTCGTTGTCCACAGCCCAAGTTTCCTTCTCCCACACAGTCTGCTGGATCAAAAGAAGAGCCAAGGCTGCCTCCTCCGTCTTCTGAACCAACCACTACGCATAATATCAAGCTAACGACGGTTGAGGAGAAGCCTGTTCCTGGACCTGTTCCCCCACTAGCTGTCGAGAAGCCAAGAACTTCAAAGGTGGTTGATGCATCAGAGGCTACACATGAGTCGATGAGTGTGAAGGAGGCAGCAGCATCACAAGGTAGCGCTCCCCTCATGGAGGAAGAAGTGCAGCAGAAGCTTGCTCCTGGTGATGCAGGTAAACTTGTTTTTGATCAATTTACTATTGTGGTCTGCTTTTCTCTTAGTTTATGATGCTGGCAGGCATAGGAGATCTAATGTTCGATGTTTTTTTGCAGCGAAAAAAAAGAAAAAGAAGAAAGTCCGTATGCCTTCAAATGGTAATCGGCTTTTGAAGCTCATCTGTTTCTTTTTTGGGCTCTTTTTGTATGGCATAGTCTTTGTTTCAGCCTTTGTATAGCTTAGTAACCTGCTTCAAACGCTTGTAGCAGATATGTGGAAGGCTTCTCACGATCTTGGACCCGAGAATTTCATGATGCCTATGCCCCCTGCTGCATTCAATCCTTATATGATGGGCGGGATGCAACCACCCGCGGTGGACCAATATATGAATCCTTATGGTGGTGGTGGTCCAATGCCGTTTATGGGTTACGGCCTCGGCCCGTTGGACCTGCCTCCTTTTGGAGGTATGATGCCACCGGATCCTTTTGCTCCGCAAGGGTTTATGAACAATATGATGCCAATGATACCACCTCAGAGGTATGAAATTTTTTAGACTTGAGGCTTTCCTTCTCTCTTTTCCGCTCAAATGTTCATTGACTTTGTTCTGTTTCTTCCATAACAGGGATCTTGCTGAGTTGGGTATGGGTATGGGAATGGGGATGGGGATGAATCATGGTCCTCCAGCAATGAGCAGAGAAGAATTCGAGGCTCGGAAAGCTGAGATGAGGAGGCGGCGTGAAATGGAGAGGCGAGCTGCTGAAAGGTATCATGGTCTCTCCCTCTTTTATCTTTGCAATCGGGAAAAGGAAACGCCATCATAGGATAGATATTGTAGGATCTTGATGTTCGATGGGAGTGGAAATTTTATGTCACAAGAACCAGTGCAGCAGATATTTGAAAACAGATGGTGACTGAAACAGGTTTTCGATTGATTGTTTCGTACGTTTGGTGGTCCCATTTGCGCGGTGGAAGATTAGTCTGCCCAATGGGTTGGAATCTGAGCTCGGTTTGAACTTGGAAAAAGCTCTTGATAACATTATGCTAATTGTGGCCAGCGGCGGATCTAGGGGGCCGCCCCGGGCTACGGCCCAGCCCTTTCCTAGATCCAAAGCTCGTATAGTACTTGTAAATTTTCGATTTTGGGTATATATTTCAATGTTTATAGGGTTACGTGCCAACACTTTCCATCGCTTTTTAAATGTGGCCCAGTGCTCTAACCTGTTGTGGATCCGCCACTGGCCAGTGGGTGATGCTTTTAGGACTTGGGTTGATGTTCTGGGAAGTGTAACATGTCTGAATGTGTATGTTGATTGTTGGGTGCAGCCACAGGGAGTTTCGGAGAGAGCGGGAATTCGGAAGAGAAGTGAGCAGCAGCGGAGCTAACGATGGTTGTCCGTCGATGAAATCTGTATGTCCTTTTTTCCAGCCATCCAAACGTTCCTTATTTCTTCATCCCTTATTCTTTTACATCTCACTCGGCTATTGGCCATTGGGGTCTCTTTCCACAACATCCATCCCAGAAATATCACAGGACACCAAAGCCCAAAGCCAAGCCCGAAACGTCTTCGCGGGTTTTATTAGTTACTTATTTATGTTATTAATAACTTATTATTATTACCACGGAATTTTTTTATTTTTAATTTACTATGCGTATAATTTTTTTTTCCGGCGGTAAATCCCTGAACACAAGCCAAGAAAGTTTGTTTTTTTTTTGTATTATTGGTGGGAATAAATATGTAAATTTTATGAATTGTTAAGAATTTCAATTATTCATAAAATAAAATAAATAAAAACATTTCCTTAAACCGAAAGGGGTAATTATAGTCGATTTTCTCCTTCAAAACTTTGGCCCAGACACTCTAGACGGACAGTGAAGGCCTGCGATACTTTGGATCTGTTTTCCCTAATTTATTTCTGGGCCCGAACTGTTGGGCTGAGGGTATTATGCTGGCTTTTGTTACTCGCTCTAACACATTTGTTACCTTGTGTTTGTGTATATTGGTTTGGTGAAGAGGAACATCCCTCCGACGGGCGATTCTCACCACCACCGTCACCGACCATCCCCTGACCGCTCCGCCGACCGGGATCTCGACGGGCCACCACCACCTCTCCCGCCGCAGCGCTCATCCAAGAGAAAGTCCGACCACAACGATCACGGCAGCAGTCGCGATAAGGATAAGGATTGGGACTACGACCATCACAACCACGAGCAGCGAGACCGGGAAAGAGATTACGATCATTCTGATCGCGAGCGTGGCGGTGATCGCGATCGCAATCACCACCACCGCAAGCGCTCGGAATCTTCAGCTAAAACGGCTTCGGACTCGGCAGCAGCTGCCGCTGCAGCAGCTGAGCGTAAGCGCAAAGCGAGTGTGTTCTCGCGGATCAGCTTCCCGGAGAGAGAAGCGGCCAGCAAAAAGCGGAAGGGGTCTTCCTCCGCCGCTGCTGCAGAAGCAGCTTCTTCAGCTGCTGGTGGAAAGTCCTCTGCATCGGGCAACGGATACCACGATAGGAAGTCATCTGCGTCCGCTTCCGTCGGTGGTGGAGGCAGGAAGAGCAGCAGCAGCGCAGTAGCGGCGGACTACGAGTCGAGCGACGATGACGAGAGGCATTTCAAGAGGAAGCCGTCGAGGTATGAGCCGTCTCCTCCCCCGCAGCCAGAGGGGGAAGAGGATGTGAAGCATTCATCCAGAAGCAGGAAGCATAGGTGAAAATGAATGGAGAAGAAATTGCAAAAAGAGAGAGGTGCAAACCTCGATTGACCGTGCTCTTCTTCCGCTACCATTGGCCCGTGCTTTTCTGCTCCTGTATCTTGTACATGATGAGAATTGAGAGATGTTTTACTCTGTTCTTTCTGGTTTTGGAATGTGGAATTTTCCCATATTTTCCAATAAAAAGATAAAAGAGTTAAAGAGCAGAAGCTGATGCCATTGATGCCTGGCCTGGCGCTTTCCCTTTTCGTTTTGACGAACGCGTGGTAATTATCTGTTGTTTAAGTGGTCGTTCCTTTTTATAATAAGAAATCGTTTTTCTGTAGTCGGCTGAATTCAAATCACACAAATAATAGTAGCAATTTGTATTCAAATTTTCCATTAGTGCAAGAAAATTTATGTTCTTCAAATACTCTAAACATTCAAATTGATTAAGAGAATAAGTGATACCAAATTATAAAAATAGTTCAACAATTTAAAAGAAAAAAACATTGTAGGGTTTTCAACATATTACCAATTGACTAAAATCATTTTATGGTAATGAAAGAAACTCAAATGCGAGGGCACCGACTTCTAAAGACCAATTCAAATGTACACTGTAATTACTCATTTTAAACTTTACTGCGTGGTTTCTTTTGGTCTTGTTTGCATTTTATCCGGCATGAGCAACAACCTCATCGTCACCATTAATAATGCCTTCATTTTCATTAGCAACAGAGTTATCTCCTATATCTAGGGATGGCAGGCTCGGGTCTGTAAGCGGATACCCGCCCGAAGCCCGCCCGAATTTCGACCAGATTTGTTATTTGAGGCCTGTCAATGGTCGGCGGTGAACCTAGTATCCATCAACGATGGATATCGGATGGTGGCGGATCGACGACTATCCGCCCTGCCACCCGCCCGACGGATTACCCGTCTGCAAAACGTCGTCGTTTTGGTCGTGGTATATATTTGCTCCTAACGACTGAGTTAACCCTAGCTCATCTAACCTCCTTCATTCGTACCATTCTCCCAAAAACGAAAGAAACCCTAATTCCTTCTTTCTCTCTAGCAATCAGATCGCAAAAAGATTGCGATTCAACAGATTTTTCGGCCTTTTCCGACTCCAAATCGCCAAATCTAGAGACTTTCTCCTAGTCCCCTTCTCATCTGTCTTCAATTCCTCCAATCAAATGTGAGAGGAGCAACCATTCGACGGCGATTTCGTCGACCATAGGTCAGAAAAGTGTCGTTAAGAATTGAATCATGCTCCCAAATCGCTGATTCTTCGTTAACAGATAAGGATCATCTTTCTTTCTTTTCATCCGATTTTCAAAGTTAGACCCAAAATATGAACTGACTCTTCTATTGCTATATATAGGGGGAATTTTCTAGCAAGAGTTCAACCTTCTTTTCTCATCCTCTGGCCATCTTTTGATATCCAGAACACCCCAGTCCCTAGAGAGCAGAGACAGAGATAGAGAGGTAGAGACGAGTCTCGAGAGTCGAGGCTGAGTTCTTTTGGGTAAGGTCTTGATTTCTTGTGTTCTTTTTATGGGTTCGTGGTGTCAATACATACATGCATGCAATACTAACTAGTTTTGTTTGTTGTTCAGTCCTTTTTGGGTTTTTGTAGACTAGGTTTAATTTGATCTTAAAGGATTAAATATCAAGGGAGCAATCAACTGACGACTGTCACTGTGTGCTTGACATACTTCAGAACACTTGTTAAGTTGTTTAGAAGGTAATTAATCTCTCTGGGTCTTGTGTTGTTTTTGTGGTTTAGTGGCTGTCTGAAGAGACATGCATGGATGGATCGAGTTCTTACTAGATTTTGTGTTTGTTCTTTGTTCTTGTCCATTTGTTTTTTGTGTTTTCTAGAGACCTTTGGAATAGATCCTCAAGGACTGCAGATCATTGACCAAATATACTCAACAATCTACAAACAATCTCAAAGACAAAGTCAAGGTAATCCACTTCTCCTTTCATAACCTTGTTGTCTTTCTTGCGTAGTTGTGTGACTTGATATGACTGCTACTTTTAATTTATCATAAGAAAAAGTTAAACTTACTAGGTCAGAATCATGAATTTGTAACCTGTTTTGAAATGATAATGTCAATGTTAAGTGGTTTGGTGTTGTCTTCTCAATTTAAAATCGTAGAACACTAAAACTATATTGTAGTAAATAAAATTGCAGATAATTAACTAATAAGTATTCAAATAACTTGATTTTATTCATATGGAAGGTGCAAATCCATGAATGTGGATCCTGTTCCTAATGGCAATTTCCCTGAAAATGGTGTCCCACCTGAACAACCTGCTCCTATTGCCAATAATGTGGTTAATGGTAATGAGAAAGAACTAGAAATATAATGTAAGTTAACCTCTAATGTGTGACCTCACTTTTATAGAGTTAGGATTAATGGGGGTAATGAAAGCTTGGTGTAAGTACTGTCGTAAACCCCTTGATGGGGAAACAAGTAATGGAACTTCACACCCGAGAAACCATATCAAAACATGTATCCAGAAGAGGATACATGATGGTTCTAAAAAAAAGATTACTTGGCCCCAACTATCAACCTGCTAGAAATCCTCAACTCTCTGCTTCTCAATATAATTACGAGGTTTCTAGGAAGTAACTTTGTTCGATGATTCTTGTCCATGAGTACCCCCTTAGCCTTGTTGATCATGTGGGTTCAAACGTTTTTGCTATTCTCTTCAACCTCAATTTGCTGTTCCTAGTAGAAACACTGTGAAAAAGGATATTCTGGGTTTGTATGGGGTTGAAAGGTCTAAATATCAGACCATGATTGATGGTAACTTGGGGAGGGTTTCAGTGACTACTGATTTGTGGACTGCCTCAAATAAGAAAAGGGGGTATATGGAAGTAACTGGTCACTTTGTTGACAACTCTTGGAAGCTCCGTAACATAATGTTGAGGTTTATGTATGTTCCAACCCCTCACACTAGTGAAAGACTAGCTGATAGGTTGTTTGGTTTTCTTCTAAATTGGAACATTGATGGTAAGTTGTCCTCAATCACACTGGACAATTTTACCACCAATGATTCAATGATATTTCTTATGAGAAATAAGCTTGTGAGCAGTGATCTGTTGCTTAATGGTAAATTGGTTCATATGAGGTGTTCAGCTCATATTCTGAACTTGATTGTGAGGGATGGTTTGGATGCAATCAAGGATGCTATACATTTGATTATGGACTAGGGAGAGTGTAGTTTACTGGAATTATATACCTAAGAGGGTTCAAACCTTCTTCAAAGTTGTTAAGCAACTCAAGTTGACTTTTGAAAAAAAACTAGTACTTGATTGTCCAACTAGATGGAATTCCACATACCATATGCTCTCTGTTGCTCTTCAATATAAAGATGTTTTCTTTCGTTTGATCTTAAGGGACAGTCAATACACATCTGTTCCTTCTAGTTCTCAATGAGAATTTGCATATATTGTGATTGAGAGCTGGAAATTTTCTCTGAGATAAGTGAGTTGTTCTCTGGTTCCAAGTCTCCAAATGCCAATCTTTTCTTCTCAATATTTGTGACTTGAGACAGAAACTGATTAAGTGGGGTCTTGATCCCAACCCTGTGATTTTTGGAATGTCCAGTTGAATTCCTATGAATTTTGATAAGTATTGGGATGATATCCATGTTGTACTTGCTGTCTCGGTTGTTTTGGATCCTAGATATAAGTTGCATGTTATTGAGTACTATGCTGCAAATTTTGGAAATACTGAAACGGATTTGGTGGCTGAGAATATCAAGAAGATTATTTGTGGTTTGATTATTGATTATCAAACCAAAGCCGAGAAGAAGTCTGGTTCTAAAACCGAAACTTCTTCTACTAGTTCTGGATCTATCTTGGTTACTGAACTTGACTTTGAGCTCTTTGTAAGTCAAAGGAAAAAGAGAAAAAGTTCTTTGATTACTACTGATTTGGATATGTATCTTGCCGAGGATATTATTCCTCGGACAACAGACTTTGATCTGCTCTTTTCGTGGAAACTGAATGGTCTAAAGTATCCCACCTTGCAGGTAATTGCAAAGGACTATTTGACAATCTCAATTGCATATGTTGCTTCTGAAAGTGCATTCATTTATGGTTGGAGGTTGTTAGACCCTCACCAGAGAAGGCTTCATTATTTGACTGTTGAATCAATGATGTGCACACGAAGGTGGATAATGGAAGATATGCAACGAGGTAACATGCAACTAAACCTCCCAATTTTCGTACAACTAATTTTGTTGAAGAGTTCATAATATTTTTCATAGGATGGCCAATGGTTTGGAGCTTTGTTTTACCTTAGTTGGTCTTGCTTTTGAATAAGACTCGACAATCATACTGCTGAGAATGGATTTTCTTTCGTTGATTTCAAGTTCGGATGATTTGATGTTGCTCTTGATTGTTGATTTCAACTTTCAAGTTTCGAATGTTGTTGAGTTCATGATTTCATGTTGCTGCCAGTTTCAATCTTTCAGACTATCATTTATTCATAATAAAGGGAGATTTTCAAGTTTTTTACTTTTTTCCATATAAGTTTATTCTTTTTATTATTATAGCGGGTATCTCAGAACCGCGGGCACCCGAAAACCCAACGGTGACGGGGTTGGTTCCACTACAAGATCCGGAAGTCCGTTTGGGCTGGGAACGGGGAAACCCGAAGCCCATCGTGGGTGGGGGATGGATACAGGGTACGTGACCCCGATCCGCCTCGTTGCCGAGCCTACCTATATCAATTGAGTCTTCCTTCTTCTCTTGGATTTCAGTTATATCTTCCTTGTTTTCTTACATTTTATTGAGCACAAAAATTTGATGGTAAAATATATTTGTACATACAAATCATATTTTTCATTGGATTACAATTTACCTCGTCCAAATTACGAAAATTTTACAGGATTTGTTCTTTCTCCCCAACACCAGTCTTTATACCATCCTTATAAACAATTTCTTTCTTCTTCTCAATACAATCATCATCTCTAGCACCGAACCCATTACCATCATCGACAGCTGTGTCAATTCTTGTTCTCCTACATCGTCATTATGAATTTAGTTCATTTACCTTCAAAAGTACAATATACTGGGTGATTTTATCGAAGCATAAATGATAAATATATGTTGTAGACTAATTTGTAGCCAGATACAATTAATTGCAAGTTAGTGTGAAAGAAGCAAAGTTCCCAACCTACTACCAAGGTTAGAGATACTAAATCCACTACATTTCCAAGGAGACATTGAAAGAAATAAAATGTTGGTTTCCACCTTTTAACTTGAGGTTGATTTTTTTTAATCCATCCAAACTAATTTTGTTAATTAAAACATCAGCTCCCTTCATCCATGTAGTTGCTAGTTTTCAACTAGATTACATACTATCACTAAGTTTGACACGTGCATGGTATAAAATCCCATATCCAATAGAGAATAGCACAAATTTGTAATTAATATTCAAACAGAATTTGCCTCGATCAAGTCAGGAATATTGTGGAAGGTATGCTCTTCCTCGTCCTTCCCTATGTTGATTAGGGGTGGGCAACGGGAAACGGGTATTTGGGTATACCCGTACCCATCCCGTTTTTTAAGGGTTACGGGTACCCATATTACCCGTAATATTTTAAACGGATGGGACTTGGGATTGTACAGTCCTAATATGGGTACCCGCGGGTTACCCGCGAATACCCATTTGGGTAATATGGGTACCCGTTGTACCCATTCAAATTACAAAGATATATAATTCAGCCCATGCGCCCAGGCCCAACCCAATTCAAAATCCATTAAAATTACAAAATCCATTTAATTCAGCCCGTGAGAGTTGAGACGCTGACGCACCCCTAGGCCCTAGAAGACACGAGACACGCGACGGCAGGCGGCAGCTTCTCTGGAATTTGGAAAGGTCTGTCTCTGTCTTGTGTCTTGTCCCTGGCTGGAGGAGTCTGTCTTCGCGGGTAAGTTGCACTTTCCAGGAAGCAGAACTTGTTCTCTTTCTGGGTTTTATTATTTGGTCCTTTCCCCTTCCTTGATTCCTTTTCATCTTCATCATCATCCCTTCTTTGGGTTGTAGGAATTGGTGTAAGTTGCTACTTGTGCAGCCATTTTGTGTTTTGAAATGAATGCTTTGGATGTAATTGACTAATTGTCTTTAGGTAAAATGTCATTTAAACTTTGGGTATTTATGGGTAGTATGGGTACCCGTTATCCGTCCCGTAGGGGTAATGGGTACCCGTTTCCCATATGGGTTTGGGATATGGGATGGACTTTGGTCTCCAAATGGGACTGGGTACCCGTTTAAAACGGGACGGGTATCCCGTCCCGTCCCGTTGCCACCCTAATGTTGATAATGGTTTACTCACTTGTTGGATTAACGATGTAATCTGTGAGCTTGATGTCGAACTTCAACATCATTTCCTCAATTTGTAGGAGATGAGCAGGTGTGGTCCTCTAGTTCTATTGTTGTCGTGGAATAGCCTTTCAACTGACATTCCAAACAATCGAGCTACCACTCTATCATAACAACAAAGTCGGTCGCTCCTGTTTTGTCCGAAACTCGAAGGTTGATCCTGAGTCTCTACAAGTGATGGTAATGAATTTCTTTTGTTGAAGTACACATTATTTTTTAGGTGGTAAATGCAAAATATCAAAATTATTCAGTCAATAATACCAACATAGCGTCATAAGAGTAAAATAGGTGTGTCGAAGGAAAACGCAGCCTCATGTCCTTTTTTTAATGTAAAACTCCAATCTCCCCTAATCTCTTTAGGTGGACCCTATTTAATTTAATATTGTACTATGTACCAATGCTTATCTTTTGTTGCTTCAGTAATATAATCTATGCATTCAACGAAAAATAACATAAATTATGTTGTTGAAAATTAATTATCCAATCACTTGGCATCTATATTAATCAACGTAATATATACAAAAATTCGCTTACAATCTTAACAAGAGAATTATAAAGCAAGTTCATGTTAATAATGGTAGCATTACCTTGTTGTTGTAGTTTTTAATTTTGTTGTGCAATTCCCACAGAAGTACTCGTCAGAGTCTTCTTTGAGTTTTTGTGGACATTTTTTGCATCCAGCATAGCACCACCTGTTCTTAACCTTGATTACTTTGCAGTTGATGAAATACATAATTCCCTATATATATATTGAAAGTTTTAGTATTTGATAGTTAATAGGTTGTTAATTTGAAACTTACGCTTACCTCTTCTCCATCTTGCATCTTTAATTGATTAAGCTCATGAAGTGTTTTGGTTGGGATTGACTTTTGAGTTTTTTCTAAGCTTTTCATTGGAGGAGTTGGTGCATCGTGGTCACTTTATTCACAAAAAATAATGATAATTAATCACTTTTGTTATTGAATTCAAACTTATACGCATAAACGATTACGATGATTTTTTCTTGGCCCAAAATTAATGACTTTTAGAATTCTCGGATTCAAGGTTGCTCCGGTTGAGGCGAATTGTTCGTATTCATTTAGTCAATAATACATAATCAATAATGGTAATTGTGTGAACTAACATACATTTTTATTTGATATTTAAAAAATGTAAATTATGAAATAATTTAAAAATAAAATTTTCCAAGTTAAAAATATCATGCAATGAAATCAACTCTTACAAAATTCTACAAAACCACAAATTATGTAACTATTAGGATGTTATTTTACAAAATTTGATTTACCTCTTTCTTTCACAAATTATTGTAAATATTATTTTGTACTTCTTTCGATTGCTTTTCCATCTCAATCCCGTTGAAAGTAAATGTTACCATCATCCTAAATTGCATTTGTCTTCCCATATAAGTTATTTGTTGTCCAGTATTATTAAAAAATTTACTCACACACAATATTTTGCATGGTGTTTGATTCTTCACCTTCAGAATCAGAACTTATAATCTTCATCCCATGTTGCGTTGTAACTCGTGATAGCGCAATATAAAGCTGGCAGTGAGAGAACACATGCTTTGTCAAGTAGAGATCGACATTTTTCAACGTTTGACCTTGTCTTTTGTTCATCGTCATAGCAAAGCAAACTACAATCGGATATTGTTTCCTAACCAATGTGAAATCTGGATTTTTGTAATGAGTAGTCAATTTAATCCATTAGAAATACCCTTTCACTAATATGAGTACCTGTCATAATCTCCACTTCAATGGACCATGTGCCCAGCCTCTTCATAATCATCCTTGTGTCATTGCAGAGACTTGTACTTTGATCCATATTTCTTAGTAAAATGACATGGCATCCAAATTTTAATCTAATAGAATGGTCTGGAAAATTACTGATTTTCCAACGAATTTTTTTCTTACTAATCTTCAATGTCTTATGAAACTACACCGAATAATCTCCATTTATATGATGCTTGTTACTGGGATCAACCTCAATTGAATCTGAACTATGATAACAAACTTCTTATGAAAACCTATCCGTCAAGTAATTATTTATTGTAGATATCATTTCATGATATAGATCCAATATACCATGATGGACCAAATAGGTTCCTTCACTACAACTAAAATGGGGATCATTATACACATCATTGACAATATCAACAATGTCATCTCCTTCATGTTGAATGCTTAAAGATGTTGGAATTGTGATTATTGTATCCCCATAAACAACGAGCCCACACCACCACTTGTATCCAAAATCCATCTGCTGATTTCTTTAGTCTCGGTAGCTTCTTCATGCCCACAAATTTTACAGGCACAATCTCATATTCTAAGAGAGATTCAAAGCTTTCAATGTATGTCATAATTACGATCTCTTGATAGAAGAATTTACAATAGAAATCCCTCGAAAGATCATGTCCTCGCTGTATGAATGTTTCACATGCAAAATGGCTCTTAGATTTCTATCCACTGCTTCAATATTATGCTTATGAGCCATATGAGCTTCGTCCCCAATCATAAAAGAAGCATTATGAATCATCTCAGATAACTTGCTTTCTTGTTCAATATGACATGTTGATTTTGGGTCACCGTCGAATGAAATGTGGAATCGAGAATGAGCAGTTCTACCTCCAATCATTTGCAAAGCTGCAATACCAGAAGAAGCAATAAACAACACTATGTTCTTTTCGGCCCGTAGTGTGAAAAAAAACTTACAAAGAAATGTCTTCCTTGTACCTCCGAATCCATCAACAAAGAAGTAATTTCCTTTTTCCTCATCCACTCCTTGAACAATTTCATCGAATGCCTTCTTCTGCTATGAATTCAATTTAGGATAGAATATATTAAATTATTTCATTAAATCTTTTGGATTGTAATCTAACTCCTCAGCGAGCATCGATTTCGAGAATTTATTCTCATAGCTCTAACTAGAATGTGACTCGCCAATACCGTCACACTAGAAAGTGGTCAAGTGTAACTACAAACTAATGAGTAGTATAGCGTGTTTAGCTTTAATTGTCAACCCAGGTCCTAGATGTGATGACTACTCCGTGAAGTTCTCGTTATTTAGCAGTTTGAACGTAGTGAAAATCTTATCTAAGCAAACACAAAGCAATAAAGTTGTGATTCAAGTTTGAGAGATGTCACCCAGATATGGTTCCCCCTAGATTGCAGTTAAGGCGAATTGTAATTCACCAAGTTCAGATATAATGATAGTTATACCGCGGAAGGTTCTTTTTCAGGCCAAAGCATAAATCAACCTATGCATATATTCTATTTCTAGGTCAAAGCAGAAACTACAAGAATGTGATCAAGACTGAAGCAGTTCTGAAATCATGCCTCAATTGAATATAATCAATATCAAAATTTCATGTACTTGGATTAATACAATCAACCTAACATACAACTCTAGGGTTCTTCATACCTAGGTGAGAGAGGGAGGTTACTCCATAGAGAGAGAGAGAGAGAGAGAGAGAGAGAGAGAGAGGAAATCAGCTTCGGATGTAGAAATCATCTTGTCGAGGATAGAATTCAGTTTCTAGTTTGTCAACCAGTGCTTCTCTAGGCTTCAATCAAGCTCCAATGGTGTCAAAACCCGATCTAGGTCACCTTGGAGGATGGGTTTTTCACTTTCTCTATCTAACTCTCTATTTTCTGCTCTAAACCTCGGATCCCTTTTTCACAAACCCGAAATTGTGTTAAAACCCATATTTTCCCAATTACACGGCCAGCGCATGGCCGTGTAGAATCCCGTGCCTGCCCGTGTAGCTCCCAAAATGCAGCATCCGGATTAGTTGCTCGTGGTCGACTCACAGCCAGGATGTACAGCCGCGGGAATGCAGCCTTGCCCGTGTAACTATCCTGGAAAAGGGTGCCCTTACACGGCCAGTACGACCCTGGTCGTGTAGTCCCAGGCATACGACCAGACCACACGACCTCGTAAAATTAGAGCAGGCCGCATTATCTCTCAGCTTTTCGTTAATCGTCCTAACTTCGTCCAATCGACCCCAAACTTGTGCCCAAACCTTCATTCACGTACTATGACCAGAAATGTCACTAACAAGAACAACCTTACATGAAATTGGTTTAAACCATGAGAAATGAGCCTCACATGATATAAGAATGGTGGACAAAAACATGTGCAAATATCAAGTCATCAGATAGCTTCAAATCAGGCAAATTTAACTCCCTGTTTAAATTGAACACGATATCATCGCTCAATAGGTCCTATTTATTCCCCACAAAGGTGCACATCAGACACTTGGCAGTGGATAAGAATTGTGACAAACAAATTCCTTACTTTATATCTAGAACTCCAAAAGGCTACTTCTTTCAAGCAATCACTCCACTCATCATCATCTGCCAATAACCGAAGAGCATAACATGCTTTTTGGAAGGAAGCAATAACAACGCCATTTATTTTTTTAAGGCTTAACTCATCTGCATAGCCATAACTTTCGCGTTTTTGACAATATAGCCACCTCAGCTCCCACATCAACTCCAACACATGTCCAGCTAGGCTTGTCATGCCACTTGGACGCCACATCAAATTAAAATTTATTTTTTTTAAAAAAATTATTATTTTATTATTATTATTATCATCTTTCTCTTTGCTATTCTTACCGCTCGCTTCATCTCCTCTCCAGAGCTTCGATTTCTTCCTCTGCTACTGGTCTCTCTTTTGTTTTTTTATTCCTTCTGGAATAGATAATCAATGAGCAACAGATTCTAGTACCAATTCTCGTCGTTCAAACTTGTTGAGGGCATCGTTCCTAGGTTCCGCCGCCACCGTCGCCGTCGAATCCTTATCTAGGGGAGAGAGACCCCTCTTCGCTGAAGAAATCAGGAGAAGATCTGAATCGGCCCATTCATAACCCGCTCACCAGTTGTGGCTTTCCTTTTCCATATCTAGTTCTTCTTCTACAACAACCACTGTCACTAGTCACACTTCTTCCTCAACTCGTCGTTGCCTTTGCCGTCATCATCGTCCTCCTCTCCTGCGGTGGAGATAAAGGGGTTTGTAGGGGGCAGCGGGCTTCTTCTCTGTTGCTTGGTCTCCTTCCCTTCCCTTCCCAAATCAATCAATTCCCCACAATCCTAGTAATTAAAGCAAGCAAGCAGCATTTGGAAGAATGAACAAAGATTGAGTGGGGGAAGAAGTTGAAACTCCTCGTCGGAAGAGTGAGCGAGGCAAGCACCGTTGATTGGATATGGGGTACGGGGTTAGGGTTTTGGAATCTGAATTTTTTTACTCTTGATCTCCATTTGGAGAGAGAAAGAGGAGTTTTTTGATGGAGAAAGGAGGTGAGTAGTCTCGAAAATTGGGCTTTTGCAAGTGCAGTGGTCGAGTGCATGGCGGAGAAGCAGAAAAAGATGGATGGGTGGTTGGCTAATGGTGGAGGGTTTGACGAAAGAAGGAGAGAATATGAGGTGGGTAAAAAGGGTAAAGTGGCTTTTTGTTCGGTTTTTTTAATTTCATTTATGAATTAAATCCACCAATAATGTATAGTACACTTTTGTGTACTTTTCTCCATTTTAAATTTCTTGCTCTCTCCTTAATTTTAGGTAGGGGGTGTAGTGGTAATTAAGAATGTTAATAATTAAAAAAATATTAAAAATATGTTTAAACGTGAGGGAAGTTACCCACCAAACTTTCAGTTTTTTGGGTAGCATTATTTATTTATTAATTTATTATAATAACAATTAATCTTTATTTTTTAGTATTCTTAATCTTTCAATCATCTTTTCATAGTGTGAACACATTTTACTCTATAATTTTACTTTTTCTTTAATTCTTCGATTATAATTATCGATTTGTATTTCATTTATTCTAATTTCAAATTCAAATATTTTTGTGTAATAAAATCTTATATATTGTTATGTACACAAGATATTAATTTTGATATGTTTTAAAATAAAATATTTTATTCTCCTGAACATGTGGTCATCAAACCCCAAGGGTTGACCTAATGATAATGTGGGGATGAGATTATACCAGCATAGTATTAGTTGTGAACGATCATAGTATAAATTTATATAATGAAGGGATTTGCATAGCGTCAATTTACATGATAGTTTTGGGTGCCTAAAGTAACAATTGATGTCGTAACGAATTGTATTTTAAAGTATGCAAAAGTTTATTTCAGTGTGTGATTACAACTACGTCGAATTTATTGGATTACATGGATTGGAATTAATCAACTAGGTTAGTGTTCAGACTTCAGAGCCACACACTTTGAGATAGAGATATTGAAGATGTTTGTGTAGTTAGAAGTCAAGGTATAAACTCGCATGCTTAATTACTATTGATTTGTTTTGAAGGTCACTTTATGCAAGGAAGATTTTTTTGGTTTTAGGTTTATTAAGATGTAAGTAAATGTATGGTTGACAAAATTAGCTTTATTAATTCCTTGAAAGGATATTAATTCCACTTTAGTTCCTAGGAAATCACCACAATCATACATTTTTAAGTTGAATCTAAAAATTATGTTAATTATTGCATATTCGCATATTTTGGGCTATGATGTACAGTAGATTTTAGTGTTAAGAATTAGAGAATTAATAGTTTAGACCGTATATTTTCAATGTATTGACTTGAGGATATATGGTTAATCGTATAGGATGAAAGAGAATATGTATAAGCTCATAGAGTCATGTTTACTTGGATTCAAATTTGAGGTTTAGATTTATGATGAAAATTAGATAATTATATATTTTAAAATACTTATCATGATAATTTTTTGAACCATTTTCTTATTTAGAGATTTCAAAATTTTGGGCTTTGAGCTTAATATATTATATGTAGGCAATCGGTGGCTAATGACTACATAACCTAAACACTAATGTGTTCTTTCGAAAAGATTGAGTTGAGAGTTAAGGATTAATGGTGGAATATTTATTTTGTTTGAGGGTTTTGTTTATGATGGATTGTATGATTGAATTGTTTGATAAGACTATTTATTTTTATTGTCAAATACTAATTTAACTTTCATAATCTAAGTTAACTTCAAAAATGATTACTGAAATTAAAATTTCTATACTATATACTATAATAAAAATTATATGAGAACCATTTTATTATTGCATCTACCAACCGAAAGTGCAATTTACGAAAAATTAAAATATAAAAGTTCCGGCCAACTGGCCGGATTAAAACCTAGTAAAAAAATATGGATGTTTTCCACCTAGCAATGACATCAAATAAAATACGCCACACTAACCGTTGTCGTTAGTCCAGTCAGCGTCTTAAGTGCACCGTCAAAGAATTGGACGGAATTGGCTATATCTGTGTATTTTACAAAAAGTGGCTATAATTGTCAAAATCGTGAAAGTTATGGCTATGCATGTGAATTAAGCCTTATTTTAATTTCTTCGTAAGAATGACAACCTCTGACTAAATGCAACAACATGCGAAGATAAAATATTTCTTTGTCTGATGGAGGACAATAATTTAATTCTCCAATAACATACATATTGGAAAAAAAAAATGAATCGCCAGTAGGAATGTTAACAATTTTTTCATATATACACTTTTGCCTTATACAAAGAGCACGTTTCCTTCTTGCTAATTTGGTCAAAAGTTTCTCAATTCTCTTCAATTCTAACTTATGTGCATAAATTTACGAAAATATAAAATGAAGAGTGGTAGTTTTGCAAGATCAAACAGTATGAAATAGGTAAAGAGATTATAATCAATTAATGATTCATTGATATTCATAGCATACGAAAACTTATTGTGCACTTTAGATCGAGATTGATCTCTAATGCAAAAAAAGGAGCAAGATATACTATACAAACATTATTTGAATGCGAGCTAATAAAAGTTGCACACGATTATCACAATCAAATTTCATTTTCATGAAATTAACAGGTGTCCAATTCCACTAACTATATTTATAATAATGTATATGTATTATACGGGTTTTATACGTGTTTAGTAATGGTAGCATAAAATGAAGGGGAAAAATAAAAAGGCTTGACAATAAAGACGAACACTAGGGGTGGGCATTGGGTGAGTCAGATAGATTTTGACCATAAAATGCACCCACCCGCGGTTAAACGTAGGAATGGCAATGGGGCAGGTCCGGGGCGGGTATCTCGATACCCATACCCGCCCCATGGCAGGTCGGGTCCAGGTCGGGTAATTTATCACGGGGCGCGGGTCGGGGCAGGTCGACCCATTGGGTATGTAATTTATGCGAAAAACATTAGAAACATTCGTTATTTTCATTAAAAGACCAAGAAAGAAACCATAATATGATAAAATGTAGTTAAATTATTGAAGAAATTGAGGTTTTCACTTATTTACAACTTTATTATAGCTAAAATATAATGTAATAAGAGGAAAATCCTAAGTAATTTGACTAATATTATATGTAATAATGGCAAGAACGGATCGAGAATGGGGCGGGTCAGGGCAGGTCGGGTCGATGAGAGGTACCCATGCCCGCCCCGCCCCGCCTACGGGGCGGGTTTGACTTGCCCCAAAACAGGTCAAACAGGTCGGGTAAATCGGGTCAGGTCGAAATTGCCATCCCCACTTAAACGGATTGACAATTTTTAATCCACTACCACCCACATTTAGTCTTGAGATGGATTGAGGGGATGACGGATGATGAAGGTGGGTTTGCGGGTTCACCCACATCACAATGTACATAATATAAAAGAGTCAACTTGACACGATCCATTTATATTATAGAACCCCCTGTGTAACGTCAATATGTAATATAAAAATCCATTTCAACATTCATTTACCCTCCAACTTTGAGATTCACTTCAAGTGGCAAGATAATTGGCGGGGAGTTAATTCAGATGGAAACAAGAAGATGGAATAGGAAGAAAAAATGTCGAATTAGTTCTGAAATTGGATAGAATTCTATTATGGAGGAGTTTTCTACGGATGAAGATGATTATTGGGTGCAGGAATCTAAGAAAAATAATCCAACGAAGGAAAGACAGGTGATTTGGGCACAAGAATAAGCGGAAAAAAATAAAGGGAAGAAGAGGGAAGTCGAGATTTAGAAGATTGGCTTTGAGATTCAATCTCCAGGAGTAGTCCTAGTTTCCCTCAGCGTCTCTACTCTCCACTCTCCAGTGCCAAAGACTTTGTTCTTTTTTGCTGTTAGGTTGAGCGGGTCACCTGCGCACCCGCCCACAACCCACTAGCCACCTAGAGGATGCCTCCCAACACAATCTGTCAGCCGTCACCCACTCACATAACAAAATTCGGGTCAATGCGGGCGGATCGGCCCAAACCGTGGGTGACCCGCCCGCATGCCCAGCCCTAACGAACACATAAATTTTGAACAGATAAAATATGTACGGGTATATATACGTGTAGGAAATAGAGCATTTTACTACTATGTGTTCATCAACTGCCAGCAAAGTACGCCACAGCCCACACATCCACAGTTTTATATTTAAGCCTTCTCATGGAATTGGAAAAATCGATCATTTTTCAGCTCAAATGTGGAATCATGGGCCCACACAAATTAAAGTTTCTTCGTCCTCCCTTTAGTGCTATGTATGGCCCACTTGAATTGATATAATGTTTTCCTCTTTATGTCCCTCCGCCCTCTGCGCAGGAGTCAGGGAAATTGACATTGATGGGATTCTCGAGGAGAACCTACATATAGTAATGGTTTAGATTAGATGTGGTATTGAGCATCATGCTAGCAAAATTAATGTGTTATCTAATGAGTTACCTGATGGTATTACGTGGTGATAAATTAGCGATTATGGGGTGGTCAAATGAGTGGTGTAACTACTAATTATTGATGGAAATGGGACGGGCGGAAACTTTAATACCCATACCCCGTCCCATGCCACTGAGGGCCGGGTGAGTAATACCCGTACAGGTACAAGACATGGTGGGTTGACCCACTATTACATGTTATTTGAAAAAAATACACGTAAAATTTTACTTTTTATGATAAAACAAAGAAAGAACACTTTATGAATGTAAAATGGTGATAATAGAATGAATTATTAAGTCTAACTAGTTGAAATATCAAAACTAAGTAGTTGAAGAAAAGTCATAATAGGAGAAATATGAATAAATATTGTAAGAAATTAAGTTAGAATGGGCCAAGAACGGGGCAGAGCAGGGTGACGCGGGTCAGAAGTAGATACTCATGCTTTGCCTCAACACAGTTGTGATGCTTATAACACCATATGTAAGGACGTTCTTACAATGTAGACATCTAGCGGCAGATCTAGGGGGGTCGCCCTCGGGCCACGGTCCAGCACTCCATGGATCCAAAGCTCGTATAGTACTTGTAAATTTCCGATTTTGGGTATATATTTCAATGTTTATAGGGTTACGGCCCAGCCCCCTCCACCACTTTTGAAATGCGGCCCAGTGCTCTAACCTGTTCTGGATCCGCCGCTGAACACATCTCTTCAAGTGTGCATTGGACGCTCAGGGTCAGGGACGAAGCTAGCGTGTAAGCATGGCCCCCCCTAAAATATTAAAAATTTGACTTTGCACCAATACTATATCACACAAGCTGTGGTCTAGTGGTGTGTAGCATTTGATTTTAAAGTGGAGGTCCTAGATTCGACGATTGCTAGCTGCAGCTTTTAATTTTGTAAAAAATTTCTTCCTAACCTCAAATTTTGCATGCTTTACGATTTGGTACCTAATTTTTCATTTTGGTACATCTTTTGCCCATTGTCTTACGATTCGGTACCTAAAATTTGCATGAATCGTTTAAATTCGTGAACCTCAAATTTTGCATGCTTTACGATTTGGTACCTAATTTTTCATTTTGGTACATCTTTTGCCCATTGTCTTACGATTTCGTACCTAAAATTTGCATGAATCGTTTAAATTTTTGAAATTTTGCTTCTTAATCCCAAGTTATGCATGTGTGATTTGGTACCAATTGTTTTCATTTTAGTACACCTTTTGTCCCAAATTTTGCATGCCTTATGATTTGGTACCTAAGTTTTCCATTTTAGTAGTGTTTTTGCCCATTGTCTTACTTTGTATCAGACTTTCTCATCCCCAA